TGCGTGGTTATGAGCTCCATCACCATAAATGATGGTTTTCGGATGAGGTAAAGGAACGGGGTTGAGGTTTAAAAAGGCAAGCAAAGAAGAATCAATGAAGTTTTCGTCGGATCCAGGATCCACTAACGCCTGCAAAGGGTAGGCAACGCGCTGGGTAATAATACAGTCGATGACAATAAGGCCACTCTGTTTTTGGGGTTTTTGGTTTTTGTGGGTGTGGGAAAAAGACGTTTCAGAAGAAAAAAGGAAAGAAGTGTTTTTGGGTTTTGTGGTTTTAAAATGTTTTTGTGGTTTGGGGTTTTTGTGGGTATCAGAACGCGCAGAAAGAAACGAAACAGGGGTATATGTGGTGGTGTTGGGTGGTTGGGGTCCAAGGCTTAACGCCTCGGTCTGGACCCGTGAACCGAGGGTCGCGCGTTTCCCATCTCGTCAAAACGAGCGACGGGACAATCCTTGCGTGCATGGCGGTGGCCACAGACTTCGCACAGTCCGTGGGCCGCACGGTACGCTTTCTCTTCGGACGACTGACGACGCTTGCCGTCAACGGTCACCCAGACCTCGTGCTTTCTAGGTGGAAGGCCCGGAAAGTTGGGAGGCTGGGGAGCGGTCTTGGGAGTGGTGGAGGAAAAAGAACGAGACGAAGAAGAAGAAGAAGAAGTGGGTTTGTTTCGAGAGAAAGAAGGAAGAGCTTGTAGCTGGGTATCAATACGACCAGCCACAGCGGCAAAAGAAGAGACAGTGGTGGGAAGTAGTCCGCCTTGGGACATAATAACTGCACGGATGATATCCGGCTTCAAACCGTCCTTGAACTGCTCCACAAGAGCAGTCTCGTTCCACCCAGTATAATGGGCTTCAGCGAGGAAGGCGGTGTAGTAACGTGAAACAGCAGAAGTTTGTTTAAGGGACTTGAGACGCTGGATCGCAACTTCCTTGCGATCTATAGAGACAAAAGCGAGGCGGAGTTGCTCCTTGAGCTTAGCCCAGGAGTCAACGAGGTAAGGAGCGCTTTCCCTGATTCCTTGGAACCAGATCACGGCGTCCTTTTTGAGGTAGGTGGTAGCAACTGGAAGCTGCATGTCCTCGGGAACTCGCTTGACCAGAAAGTAATTTTCCATCTCAAAGAAGAAAGTAGAAAGTTTGTCTGGTGTGCCCGTAAAAGTGTCGGGCAGAGCAACATCAAACTTCTTAGTCGACTCCGAAGGAGGAGCGACTGGGGAGGGAGAGAGGGGAGAAAAGTGATTGTTGAGACGAGTGAAAAACAAATCCACAGCAGAGAGAGCATTCGGACTCACAGGCGCCGGTTCCACCGACTCTTGGCCGGCAGAATTAGCGCGATTGGCCGTCGACGAGGATGGTCCGCTTGCCTCGTCATTGGCTGATCCGCCCAGACCCTGAATTGCGAGCCCTTCCTGCTCCTGATTGGGCAATTGTTGTGGGCCAGTATTGGGTGAGGGGGGGAGTGGAATTTGGTCGGCCATGGTGGCGGCAGAGCGTAGGGAGTAGGAGCGGGTGGGGACCCAAGTCTTTTTGGGTGGTATTGTGGTAGGATGGGGTGGGTGGGTGCCTATCGGAGGTCGAAAAAGATGTATTTCTCTGTAAGGGTGATGGTAGGTGGCGTAACCTATGGGCGGTTACGTGGTGGATCCAACTATGGGTGCTGGATATCGACCTGGGACAGGCGAGGTAGGTGAGGAGGAATATACGGAAATACATCTATGAGGAAAAGGATATGAGACGCGGCAGGATGTATGTACGGGGAGCCTCCTCTCGCCTCCGCGCCTAACTCGTCCCTGAGAACATAGCGGCAACCCATAATACCAGACTCTGCGTTCCAACGTACACGTCACTACATCTCCTCCTACTGACCAGTCTGTACCAATCCCTTACATGTACCCAGGTTTTCTAGGTCGGCAGGCGTATTACATACAATGCTAAGGAATGAGCCGACTTCTCATTTCCAAGAAGGGTCTACTGCTGTAGTTATAGGATGATACGATCTTGTTTGAGAATAATGATACGAAAAAGGTCCCGGAACAATGAGAGACGACTGACTCTATCAATCGTCGTGGTTGATGTGAACAAAAGTCTTGCTCAGTCCCTTCAATTCTCCCCATAGATTATCATCCCCAATCACATCCCCCATGGCCACCGTCTCCACCCCTTGTCCGTCACCCATCGAGTTGACAGCTCCGGGGGCTCCATCGGGCCCCTTCAACGTCAATGCAAAGCAATCACCTGTAAAGTCGTAAGGTGTTCGGACAAGGAGAGGCTCGTTGATGCCGTCCAAGCGCGGTCGGTGAATGTGAGAGAAGAGCTTTGAGGGTTGGAGGTTGTATCGGTGTTTACCCAGAATGGTGTGAAGGAACGCGGGTTTGGGGTGGTATGAGGGGTTGTGGCGCTCAGTCCAGGGTGTGAGGCCCCATTGGATCACTGTCGAGCGGTCAGACGACATTTGAGAGGAGGATGAAAAGGACTTACTGGAGTGGCCGCAGAACTTGTCAGAGTCTTCTCCGTTTTGAGTTTGGTATCCTCCAGCAGTCGCAAAGATCTTGGGCGCCTGTTGATATGGCAAGCCCAGAGCATAGAACGAGTACCTCTATCATCTTGGTCAGCGTCCTGTTTACAACTCCCAAGACCCAACTCACAAAAGTATCCTTGTCACCATAAGACAGGAAGCCATACATGTCGGGGTTCGACATCATGTGGTTAGAGAGGTGCAAGATGGCGAGATTGAGTCCATTGTTGGCCCGTTTGGAAAAGACAATCTGGCCGGTTTCGGCGGGCCAGTGGTCGTCAGTGCATGATTTGCCAACAATTCGGAAGATTGCATTGTCGGCTATGCTTTGATTAGCAAGATCGTGAAGGATAGGGGAGGAGGCATACGGTGGTCTTTGTTGAGATCGGCCCAGAAGACGGAACCGCTCTGCTTGTACTCGACACTGTCAAACAGCTCTCGAGGGTCGTTCAAGGGAATGTTGTCCTATCACATCATCAGCGTACAGCCCTCTTCATAGAATTATTGACTTACGCTATCCATATAGACAAACTCTGTGAAACGAGTCGCCAAGAACGCCGCATTCTTGATATGCCAGCTCTTTCCATCCGGCCTCTTCTCACTCGCAACGACCAGCTCGACACCAAAAGCTTCAAGCACGGCGCGGGAGTCGGGGTCTTGCAGCTCGTCCGGGAAGTGGTACACCTGAACTGGAAGGGTAGACTTGATGACGTTTTTGAGCATGTGAAGGGACAGCTTGAGGCGTTCGAGCGTTTTCTAAGAGCTATCAGTGATTGACAACACCTGAAAAGAGTCGACACTTACACCCTCACCACCGGTAAAAATGATACCCCGCCTGTCCTGCTTGGCCTCCGCCTCCATCGACTGATCCCAAATCAACTTGCCTCCTTCTCTCTCCACCTCCCTAAAGTAGTCGACGATCTTGGCCCTGTACCTGACGATATCGTTGGGTCCGATTTGCTCCCATTGCTCGGGCTTGCCGTCGTGGAAAAAGTAGGTGTTTCGAGAGTAGGTGTAGAAGGGGCAGCCGTGCCTGGAAGGAAGCTCTGCTTCCCACTGAGCCAAAGCTGGGCGAGTCAGGAGGTACTGGATCCTTGCCTCGAGCGTCAAAGGGATGTTGGCAAGGCCCCCGGAAGCTACTGGAACATGCTGGGTAGAAGCGTCGGTGGTGATATAGTCTGCCGCCCAGTAATCTTGCACTTTTTCACGATTGTAATGCGCAAAAGGCAGTGTCACGAGGAGAAGGACGACAGCGAGAAGAGCGACCTGAGTGTTGCGGGCCTTCAGGCGGTGGGTGAAGGGGATGGGCATGAGAGAGGGGCGGTAAGATGTGGGAGATGAAGGAGAAGAGGAGCGGGTGGTGGTTGTGGGAGTGGAGGGGAGTGGAGCGTATGAGCCGGTTGGCATGGTGGGGTCGAAATGGGGATGGGTTGAGGGATGCTGATAGTCAAGAGGGTTTCCTGCTGCCGAGCTGACTCCAACGGACAACGGCACCGGATGCTTTGGTGTTCCGAGAGATGCGGTGGGATCAAGACGCCGAGATGTCTGTGCCGGATGCTTATGGGTGTCTGGGCGCTCTGGGTACACGAGTGAACCTGAGAGGGTGATGCTGTCGTGTTGTTGAAAGATTGAAAGAAGAGAAATGGAGAAATTGCGGTTACTGCATGACCTCGGATATGGCTATATAGCGGCTGATGTGAGCGCTGAGATAGGGTTGGCTGACTTGGCTTGTGATGCGATGTGCTGCAACCGGGACTGGCGGCGGGCTCTGGGATAACGCGAGAGCCTGGGGACCGACGGCCTCCTGAAATAATGTGTGCCTGGGAGACGCGAGTGGCCCATTGCTTGCCTCTTTTGGCCACAGAAAGTCGATCCTGGCGAGAACAGGGGGTCTTGCAAGCCACGATTTGCAAAGAGTGACTCAGGGGCAGCACCCAGCAGCGAGCCGCGATGCGATGGAGGAGGAAGAGACAGAGGAGGGACATCGAACAGGGCGAGAACAGAATCTTGTCACCAAAAGATCCGGCCTATCTCACCCCTATCTCGACAACCTCAAACTCTCTTGTCACTCACCTTCCGTACCCCCGTAGCTCCCGCCCGCCCATCGCCCGGTTGTCACGCAAACTGTCACTTTTTCTGCCTTTTTTTTTTTGCGAGACAGAACATTGAAAGAGAAGAAAGGGTACGTACCTTTACGTATATGGCAAATTGGCAAGGCACGGGTCTCCTCTTGCGCAGATTCGGGTGGATACTGTGCAATGGAGGACTGGGAGGGCCCGGAGGGCGATCTTTGAGGGCTGAATTTAAACAGGCGGGAGAACAAGCATGAGACAGGAGGTTGAAGCTCGACAAGGCGCAAGGCGCAAGGGGGGCAAGAGAGGGCCGAGAGGACAGCTTACGCAGTTTCGGGGGTGAAGACGGAGAGACAGGGGACTAGCATGGAGTCAACGTGTGTGGCAAGACACAGGGTACCTGGCCATGCACAGAGAGAAAGAAAGGCGAAAGAGGAGAGTGAGAGCGCTCGATCAACTCACAAGATCCGTGGCTAATGGTTGTTTGTAACTTTGTAATGGATTAGTCCTTTGATTAGACCAGGGAACGACAGCGTGCCCGTGCTAAATCAACTCTCTCTGCGACCGTCATCATGCACGGTAACGAAAAACGGAATGCATCTCTTTCTCCATATCATCCACAAGTCAAGGGAGAGCATGCCAATGGCGAACCCACCCTCGCCGCTGCACCTCCTCCAGCTGCTCGTCCACAGACCACGCTTCCTCGCACTCGTCCTCATCCCCGTCCTCTTCTTGCTCTTCAAATGGCAGTCGTCCCCTTCCGGCGCGCCCTCTCTGTCTCCGGATGACCCCAGATTTGTGAGGGTGAAAGAAGCGCCCCAAGGCGGCTCCTGGGAAGCGCTCGCGGATGTCGATGAAGAGTGGGAGTATAGCGATGACGGGGCTGGGGGCAAATGGGGTTCGGGAGTTTCAGATTGGCTGGGGTGGAAGCAGGAGGAAAAGCAGGTGGTATTGGTCACTGGAGGTTCTGGACAGCTAGGTGAGTACAAAGCCTCCTGCTAGGGTCGTGGATCCCGCACTGACATGATCCCCAGGTCAAGCGCTCATACCGTTGCTTCTCCTCAACTACACAATCCACGTCCAAGACATCGTCCCTCGCCCGTCCACCCTCCCCGAATCAGTCATCTACCACCGCACCCTCTCCCCCACCGACACCTACGCCGACCTCTTTGCTTCCTACTCTTTCGACGGCGTCATCCACCTTGCCGGCGTTTCGCTCGACTCTTGGTGCTCTGCCAAAGAAGAAGAATGTCGTGCAGTCAACGTGGAGGGTACTCGTGCTCTGATGCAGCAGGTCGTGGGGCTACAGGGCGATAAGAAAAGAGGCAGGATGTGGAGAGATATCAAAGTGCCCTGGGTCATCCTCGGCTCGACGATGGACGTCTACGGGCCTGACGTCGGCGCGAGCGAAGACTCGGATAAAGAGCCTGCCACTGCGCTCGGCAGGACAAAGCTCGAGGCAGAGCAAGTCTTTGTCGAGTCTATCATTTCTGACGATGGAAGTCTGAAAACGCGCGGGATGATTTTGAGAGTACCCCAGGTGTATGGCTACCACCAGATGTCTTCTATCCCCGAGACGTTTGTCACTGCCCTCCTCGCCAATGCTTTGACATCACTTCCTATACAGTTCTCCTCATCGAGAAAACCGTATGATCTGCTGCACGTGCAGGATGCTCTGGCGGGGTACCTGAAAGCTATCAGCTGGATCAGCACCGACGGACCCCTCTCCGAGGTTCCTGACGTCAACCTCGTCACCGGCAAACGCACTCCTGCAAGGGAGGTGGTAGAGCTGGTCAGGAAAGAGACCAACTCGAAATCTCCCGTCCGCGATATCGGAGACAACTCCAACCCTGAAGCGCCCCAGTACAATCCCGGCAAGGGCAAAAGCTTCCTCGACTGGGAGGCGGAGATTACGCCTCTGATCGGGATGAGTATGGCCGTCACCCAGCTTTCGGATGATATCGCTGCCTATTCCCGGGCTTACCTTCATGCCCACTGCCCCCCGTCCCCCGATTTCCCGGCAAAGGACGGCGACCTCTCTGTCGCTTTCGTAGAAGATGAGCGCAACAAGCCTCTTTGGAAGCTGGATGGTTGTACTGTCAACGTCGGGTTCAATCACAACAATTACTTGCATCACGTCAAGTGCGAAGATGGCCTGCATTGTCGGGCCGACGGCGTCAAGGTGACGGCGATGAATTGGAACCAGAGTGTGTGGATTGTGGAGAAGGTGGACGGGAGCAAGAAGCAAAAGGAGAGGGTGGTGAGGATCAGGCTCAAGGAAGAGTCTGGTATGGGATACCTGAGGAGGACAACCCAGGAGGAAGGGGCGGAGATGCAGTTTGAGCTGTCAAAGGAGAATGGGCCGGATACCGTATTTGACTTAGAGGTGAGTCTAACCACGAGTGGTGAGGCAAGTGCTGACAGATGTAGGTGCGACGTGATTCATCCCACCTCCGTCTTCTCATCCCCGGCACCGACTTGCAAGTCCGCGCTCTTGCCAATCAAGACGGGACAACTACGTTCACTGCCGAGCCGTTGACCAGATTTGTCGACCCTCACTTTGACATGCGGATGAATGTGCTTTGCTGTTCTTCGGAGGGTGATTGGCCTTTGCTGTTGGATGATTGTAAGTGTGACATCTATCGTCTACATCCAAAGCTAATACGCGTCGCAGACGAATCCGCCGATATCCGGTTCGGTAATACCGGCCAGATCTCTTTCGAGTCTTCTCGCCGCTCCCATCTTTGCCTCCGCGCCGAGCAAGCCGTCAAATACAACTATATCCGTCTCAGCACCGCCAAACAAGCCGTTAGCAAAGTCACTGGTACCGCCGGACACGCTTTCTTTGGCGAGGCTGGGCCGCCTACGGACCCCAGACCAAACGAGTGGGCGCTCAAGGATCTACCGGTGTGCTGGAACGACTGCGACAGCCCGACGATTTGCGTGCAGACTGGTATCTGCAAGTGCGTCCAGGCAGACCACTGTGCAATCCGCCGGGAGAACCCGCTTTTGAAGCTGTACCCCACCAACAAGGTTGCCGAGCCTGTCAAGTCTGATCTGGGCTCGTTCGCTGGCCATTCTGCTCATCTCAGCAACGCCGTCTCTTCCATCAACTGGCAAGACATTCTTCTCCCCGCCGCCCGTGCTTACCTCAAGGCCAGCCCCGAGTTTCCCAAGCTGCATGTAGCGGACGGTTACGACGGGCAAGAAGCGATTGAAGCTGCCGACTGCCACAAATTGCAGGATTCGCATTGCTTTTCGGCAGACAGTATTCTGTATAGGGGTATGAGGCACTTGTCGGTTTCAAAGGAGCAGGCAGAGCTTGTGGTTCTCCCTGTATACCAGCAATGTACGGGCCAGCCATTCTTGCTCCATGATGTCGTGCATCATGCGACCGAGACCATTCCTGGGGTCAAGGAAGGTAACAAGCACCTGGCTGTGGTGTTGACGCATGACTGGGGGATCTGCTCTGCTTTTGCTTGGTGAGTCGTATTCGAAAATGTGTTGGCATCTGCTGACAATATCAACAGGGAGATCTGGTCTGCTCGAGACAACCACACTCTTTATCCCGACTGGATCCTCAACGACATGATCGTCTGGTCTGTCATGGGCGATTACGATTCCCCATGCTATCGTCCGCACCAAGATGTCGTCATCCCAGCCCGTACCTGCCGCTCCTATACCCTGCGCGAGACTTTCCCCACAGTGGAATCCATCCATCCCATGAACACTCGACCCAACTTGCTCACTTGGTCGGGCACTTACTGGGGCACGGGCAAGAGTGATAGGTTGAGGATGACTTGTGACCGTGGTGGGGCTGGGGATAGAGAGCTGATCAAGGGTGGCGGTAAGCAGAGCAACTTTGGTAGTTGGGATTACATGAAGGATCTCAGTAATGCGAGATTCTGTCCCCAACCCCGAGGTATTGCGGGTGAGTAGGATTTGGACTGTAAAACGGCGCAACTGACACTGTGGTAGGCTGGTCTCCTCGAACCAACGACGCCATCTGGGCAGGTTGTATACCCGTCCTCATCGCCGAAGGTTCCCACTATCCCTTTGCCGATTTCCTCGACTGGTCCAAATTTTCCGTCCGCGTGGCCCCCACCGAGCTCGACAAGATTGAGAGGATTCTCGCCGCGATCCCGTTGAGCAAGGTGGAGGAGATGCAGGCCAACTTGGTCAGCGTCAGAGAGGCGTTTGTTTATGCAGGGGATGAAAAGCCGGAGGAAGAGCTGGAGAGACGGGGACCAATGTTCTTTGCTTTGCACGAGGCAGCGTTGAGGATGCGGACGCGATACCCTATAGCGTCAGAGAATCCGTAGTAAGATATAGGGGCCTTCTCCTCATAGTCCGGTAATGACTATTGTTGTATATAGATTGGCAATGTAATAGTACGCAAAGAAGGTTCATTCATCCGTCGCCCGAGTCCCTCTCCACGTATTGCGCAGGTATCGACTATCTGCCATCTTCGCCCGTCTCTCCGTCTTTGACGGCCTTCTTCTCGGATCGGTACAGGACCAAAAACATAGTCATCCAAAGCGCCACAAAGCCCATCTCAAAATAGAGTGAAGCGCTGATATTGTCAAAGTCGGAGATTCCACCATCGTTGGCCGTAAACAGACCGGCCTGGAGAGCAAAAGACACCGCAGCACCGAGCTGATTTGATACTTGCAGAGTCGCCCCTGTGACTCCTCCGACGTGACTCGGGACGCTGACCACACACCGAACCTCCACCTTTTCGAGTCCCCTAGAGGGCCCCACGCATCCAATGGCAGCAGTAGCACGATGAGCAGGGTATGGCCTCTTGCTATCTGAATGCGCCTTGAGCAGCTGTTACTCGAAGGGCTCAACTGACAGTCCACGAGTACGGTGGGGCGACGACGGCAGGGATGGATCGCCCCACTTGCGCGCTGCCTGCTACAGCCCATGCTCTTTCTTGATCGGAAGACACGCTCCTCTGTGACAGTTTGCTCGAGTGCCGGGGCTATCTCTCTGCGTCTGCATCATGCACGGCGTTCGATGGGGATTCCAACTGGCGCGCCTGTTTGGAGACGCGATTAGGGATCAGGGATTATCTGGACAGTGACAGTTTTCGTCAAACACATATACAGCGCCATGGGGGACCGCTTCTACTCGCCCCTCTCGCCGCTCTCCCAGCTCCCCGACGACGGCGACCAACCCCCGCCCCTCTCCCTCCCCGCCCTCCACCTCGCCGACTTCGACTTCGACACCGCCTTCCACCCCGACAACACCTCCCTCGCCCCCTCTTCCGCCCGCGAACAGCCCAAAGCTCGGCCGCTGGCACACGCCCTCACCATCCATGTCCCCGCTCCCCTCACCCCGTCCCCGTCCCCGTCCCCGTCCCCATGGGACCGCGACGAGCCCTCTATAGCCTCGCCGCCCATATTCAGACACTCGCCCAGCGTAGCACGCCGTCGGACGGTGATCCAGCACAGCAGTGTCACGTACGAAGGCAACGTTGTGGATTTGGCAGAAACACCCCCCCGCCAGGGCACACCCGAGCATGGACCCGTGGCTGAGGACGCTCAGGTCAGGCCCGCGTCTGTGGAACACGGGTCTATCATCATGCCCCAGCCGCAATTTGTAGGCACTAAAACGCAGCCTGCAAGTCCACGCAGACTAGAGAAGAAACCCGCCACGCATGACCTGAAGCAGTCCCCAAGCTCTCAATCTGTCAGACGTTCTCTGCCCCGCCCCCCGAAAATGGACACACCGCCTATACAGCAGCCAGTATTCGCAGAGAAGGCAGTGCGCCAGCAGCCTGCCAGCGTCCCCGTCCCCGCCCCCACTCCTACCTCGACTTGGCCGCCCCTCAATATCGAGCGCCAGACAGTTTCGCCTGTCCCTGTCGAACCTGCTCAGATGCGCCCAGCATACTATGCCAAAAAACACCAGTCGAATGGCTCCGTGTCTAGCATACCCGTCGTTGCTGGTCTAGCCGATGCCGGGCCTTACTTTGCTGCTACTTCCAGCGCCCCTTCTCGACAGCCTACCGCCCGTGAAAGCCCAGCACCAGTGGCTACCAAGGCGATAGGCCTCGGTCGACCTGGTGTACCGGCAGGGGCGCCCGGTCCGAGTCGGGTCAAGCAGGAAGAGGTATGTCTGGAATGCATGATGCGGGATAGGGATCTGGCAGATGTGGACGTGCAAGGCGAAGGTGTCTGGGGACGTGCGAGTGACGTAGATCTCACAGACCTGATTTGGCGGGAAGAGGCCTTGCTCAAGTCGATGGGTGACTTGAACTCTGCAGACCTTCATGCCAAGTCGGACGACGCGACCTCGGAAGAGTCCCGCGCTGAAGAAGATCCCGAGGCGAGACAACAGGGGGAGCAGGAAAGGGCGGCGAGGCATGCTGCGATCCAGGCGAAAAAGCAAGAGGCAGACTGGAGAATCAGCAGAGAGATCGGATGGAGAGGTTTCAAGTGGGAAGAGGGCAGAGAGGGTGAGGGTTTGCCTAGAAACTTTAGAGGTGGTAAGGGTGGTGATTTGACGATAGAGGGTATCAAAATGGTCATGACCAAGGTGAGTTTTACTGTCTGGGCTGGGGCATAGACTAACATGCTGCATAGTTTCCTTCGGCCTCTGCATTCCGATACCAAAAGTTGCAAGACTATCTTCGCAATCAATGGGCATTGGTTCTCGAAACACGAGCTGAAGCCCAACGTGTCGGGCATTTTGCCTTTCCCGACGACCTTTCGCCTGGCTCTTCGACATCTAGCCATGAAGTGCGAGCTCCCAATATGGCTCTGCCCAGCGCTGTCGCCTACGCCAGTGCCAGGGGAGCTAGCGGAAGTTCTCCGAGACATGCCACGGGCGGTATGCGTCCCAGTCCTTCCTCTCCCGCCGGTTTCAGCCTTTCGTCTACTGCTGCCCAAGCGCCTCTCAGACAAGCTCCTCTCCAGCGTCCTTTGACACATTATCTACCCGAGCGGGAGCTGATGACTATGAGGCAACCAGTCACCCCAACCAATCGAGTCGACGCATTCTCCCACAGCAACAGCATGCTTACGCCTCAGAGTCGGCATTTCAGGAATAGCCCGAGTCAAGAGCCAGATACCGAAGAATTGTGGTCGCCTGATGATGAGCCGACGCAAAACTTGAGGCCATTCTCGTTTGCGGTGCGGGCTGGGGCCGTGGCGCGGGATGGAAGTGAAGGTGGACATGGAGCCGGAGCAAGGAAGAGTCTGTTTGGAAGATGGGGTGGCAGTGTAACGAGCTTCTTTGGAGGAAGCCAGAACGGAAGTGGAAGCATGATGGATATGCAGTAAGTCGTCTGTCCCTGAAAGGCACTGAAAGGCAGACTGAATGCTCACAATCTTGTAGCGTCGGGCTGGAGAGCGACAAGCGCAACAAAGCCACCTCAGGAGCCTACCCTCGAGCAGTCTCCCTTGCATCCCCAACTCGTCCTTCCTTCTTTTCCAACTCTTCGTCTGTTCAATCACATGACCCCCCGCCTCAGCGCATTTCGCGTGCCATCAGTCATTCGCTGTTGTCCCGAGTGCAAATCGGTGAACAAGAGGAAGGTGGGGCTACAAAGAAGAAGGGTATCAAGGGATTCTTGAAAAAGATGACTGGCGGGAAAAAGAAGGATGGGCGATCGAGAGCAAACTCTATAGCTCAGCCTTCCGTGCCGTCAATGCCCGTGGCTCAACCTGAAACGCCCCTTGCACCACCACCCCCTATATCGGTGCTCGTTGGCGGCAGGGATCCATCCCATGCCCGTCAAGGTAGCGGCTCTTCATCATCCATGTTTACCGATGGTCAAGAGTCTGGTAGCAACCGTCTTTCTGGCTCAATTCTCTACAACCGAAGTGTTTCCGCACCTCTCAACAACGCATCTTCTTCGGACGTCAGTGTAGGCCAGTCGGGCAGCCCCGCCAGCTCTCGCTTCATGACGACTGGCCAGACCAAGCCTGAGTCTTACAGCTCTACCGGTGGAAAGAGGAGAAGCACGGTTGGTGAGATGGGCGAAGAGAGGAGGAGTGTGATGGAAATGTTTACCCATGCAAAGGAGGATGGTGGTGCTTATGACGAGATACCCGCCTCTCTTCGTCCTGGACGGCCCAACAATAAAACCAACACTTCCCTCTCGGCGTCGAGTGGGACAATGTTGGAGACTCCACCTGCTCTGAACTATGGCTCTGGCTCGTTCTTCTCGCAACAGCAGACTCCTGGCAAACTCACAATCAACACCGATATGCCAAAGCACACTCCATCCAATTCTATTGGTTCCTTGTCTCCCAACAGATACAAGAATCTTCCTCCCATCCCTCCTGGCGACCTCGGATCAAATTATCCAAACCAGAGCACTGGGTCGAGGGGCGTGGTCGGGTCTCCAGACTCAATCATTGCTGCTTTCCCTGATCAAGAGTTTGCAGAGTATGGTGGTCGGGTGCCTACAAGACAACCTACTGGGCCGGGATCGCCCTTCTACAACAGTGGCTATCCCCAGCCCCGACATCACCAGCAAATGTCTCAACAGCGTCTCCAACCCACGAGCGCTTATGCCCCGGGGTATGGTTACGGTGGGCGAGCTTCCCTTGACCAGAGGGCATCATCACCGAGGGTGGAAAGGGGCGGGCAGAGGGCTGTGCAGACCATGTATGGGATGCCGGCGGGGGACGAGTATGGGGCACCTTCTGGTGGCTTCGGGCCTGTAGAGGGTGATAAGAAGAAGAAGGGGTTGAAGGGGTTTTTCGGGGGAGGCAAAGCTGGGAGGAGGTTCGCTTGAGGGGTTGGGAGGGTGAAGAACACGGACGACCTTAACGCTTCCTCTACATGATTAGTTTTTATCTATGTTTCTGTACACGTCTATTTACGCATTTATCTCACGTTTCTGGCCGGAACATAATATGATGCCTTCTGCTGGATGTGCATGCGGGCATTGTTCCTATGTCTATCGATGGGCTTCAGTCTCGGGCCCTAGAACCATGTCGATCTTGTATGACGGATGAATTGCAACGCGCACACGTTTTGACTGCCAGCTTGTGTAGCGTCAACAAAGTCGAAAGCCAAAGGGACGAAACAGGTCATAAGATTCATAAAGTTTCCGGTGTCACAACAAAACCGAGACTTTGTAGCTCTTTCAAGTACTCCCACAAACGACCAGCGTCGTGGTTACAAGATATGCGGATATGCGTACGTATGTAAATCAGGTCCTCGTCGAACCGACGTTGCTTGAGATGATCGGAAGGTTCGTGTATGTATTTCACAGCCAATGCTTGTTGAGAGGTCCAGCCTCAATCTTCTTCCCCTTCTTCATCTTCACTGCCTACCACCCCAGACAAATCTCATCATCCTCTGGAAAGCACCAACATCACCCCTTTCCTCATGCTCATCATCATCATCATCAAACAACCCCAGGTCCACTTCACCTTCTTCCATGTCCAACGCGGCCTCGAAAGCGACCACAGAGTCGACCTGTGGTCGGCGAGGGATAGGAGCGACCAGCTGGACGGGCTGAGATCGATGGGCGCTGGACGGGAAAGCCCCAACGATAGGATATACGGGCTCAGGGCTGGCAGCCCGCTCCTCCTCTCGCTCGGCAGCAGCAGGCGCAAACCTCCTCCTTCCTCCAAACTCGTACGACTCGGTACCTTCCTGAGACTCTTGCTCCGCCTCGAACCTCGCAGCCATGACCGTCTCGCGGTCGGTCTGGGCATTGTAAGGAGGAGGAGGAGGGGGAGAGGCACGAGTATAGCGGGTTTGCCAAGCTTGGTTGTATGATGGCAGACGCGCGGGGACTCGGGGAGGTGTCTGAGGACGAGGGCGGTGAGGAATGTGTCTCACGAAAGGAGCGTCGGATGCGACGTTGGCAGACGAGGGGAATGCGCCGAGGGGGTGGGCATTGGGTGGCTCATACTCGGGAGGGTCAGAGCGGACGGTGACGTCGGAAAGGGCAGGGCTCGACGATCGCGAGCGCTCTCCAAGTTCCTCGAGCTCGTCGCCGGCGACGCTTTCAGTGGCTTCACTAGGCTCGCTACTGACATCGGTGAGGTTGTCGTCAAGAGCGAGACTCAACTCTCGGGCGATGCGAGAATCGGCTTGTTCCTGGACCTGCCGAAGAGCGAGAAGCCTTTCCTCCTCCCTGATTCTCTCCATCTCCCACTCCCTCTCTTCCGCCGCATGTTCGGCTGCCCGCCTGGACTGCACCTCTCGCGCTCGCTGCTCAGCAGCTCGAGCCTGAAGATCAGACTGGATAGACGCCACTCGACGGGCCATGATCTCTGGGTCTTCCTCGGTACGGGGTCGAACTTGTCGCTCTTCGGGGGAAGGCGTGACAGAACGCTCTCGAGCACGCTTGCGAGAAGTCTCTGCCACAGGAGATTCGGGTTGACGCTCCGTAAGATCCTCAACGGCCGCTTCCTCAATAGCCTGGTCCTGACATGCGTCGGTGGATGCTACCGAGTCTTGTCTGTACAAAGCCTCCAGCCATTTTCTTCGCTCCGCAATCCTCTCGTTGATTCTCCCGCTTTGAGCTTTGACAGCTTCTATGCGGAACTTTCTCGCAGCTCTCTGGGCTCGGAAGAGCGCAATACGACTCAAGCCAGGAAGTACCGCACAGAACTGCAAGTTGGGGTGGACAGAACGGCCAGCCTTGGGCATAAATGCGTCGACGGATCTGACAATGGGGTCATCCAGTAGCTGACGAGCGTAGCCACAGAAGCCACGTCGGACAGGAAGGAGAGAGGTAGGGGAGGTACGACGGAGACGGGAAGTGCTGTGCTGACCAGCAGTACGCACGGGGAAGTGTTGATGTCGAGGGAGCCGCTGGACACCTCGCTCAGACTTGAGCTGTTCAAGTCTGAGACCGGTGACTTGTTGATTGCTCAATGGCTGAGCGGGCTTGTAACGGGGTCGGGCGACAGGGTTGACCTTTGAGCGGAGCTCCTCGATGGCAGGTTGCTCAACATGCGCAGTGTTTGATACGGGAATGCGAGAAGCACTGAGCATTTCCACGTCGCTGGACGAAGAGTTTGAGTCGGAGATCGATCTCATGCTAGCATCACTGTCATAGAGCCTGTCCGTAGTGTCGATAGCCATGTCAGGCGTATCGCCGTTGAAGTGCCAAGAGTTCCTGTCCCAAGCCTGGAGAGCTGGGAGGTTGACAAGTGGATCCTCGAGAGCGCCAGGGCTCGAAAACTTTCGGCCTCGAGGTCTTCTGTGAAGCTTTCTGTAAGCTTGCTGGCGGGCTCGAAGACGAGAGGAAGTCTTGATAGGAGCCTTGCGGATGGAAGCTGCAGCGTCCAGGAAGGCCTGTGTAGGGTTGATCTGCACTTCCGCACGCATGATAAGACTGGATGTCCGCTGACCAATGGTCAGCGCTAAAAAGTCGACATTTTGCAGTACTCACCAAAGAACTAAAGTCCTGATCAAGACCTTCGATAGATCCTACAACGTTGGAGAACTTTTCGGGAGGGTACGATGACTACATTGTGTCAATATGTGTCAAGAGGAGAGAGCTCAGGTACTCACCTTGCGTGCGTGTTTGATCGGTCGCCTCTTTTCGGCGGGGCCAGCCCCACGATCTTCTTGGTCACTCTCGTCAGACGAGTCTGCACTTCTGGATCTCTTTCTGTCAATGATGGCAAAAGCGGGAAGCTTTGGAGTCTGCGGTCTAAGGGAGGGAGTCGGTGTGGGTGTGTAAGGACCAGCCTCAAGTCCACAATCGACATCGCTCTCTTCATCGTCTCCATCTTCAGCCAGGTCGTCGTCGGTTGTGACTTCGAGAAGGCCTTCAGCGTCGCTCTGGTAGTCGCCATCGTCCTCGCTGCTCGATTCGAACCGGTCGATACCGCTTTCAACGTCGGTCATGGCAGAGCTTTCATCGGGAGAGTTTCGATAGCGGAGATAGAGAGAGTTGGACCGGGGAACGGGGGTGCGGGAGGGGCTGGGATGGGAGTAGGTGTAGCCGGCGCGCCGAGGAAGAGAGCGAATCTCCCCCGGGTTGGGACTGGGGGATGGCGGTGTGGAAGTCATTGTGCGACAGGTCTATAGAGTGTCAGCGTGATGGCGAGACGCGTCAATGAGGGCTAGCTTACGCGTGGTGTGGAAGTTGGATACAAGAATGATGGATGCCAAGTGACGGGTGGACTGTGAGGGATACTTGATGGATGGAGAGGAGGAAAGAGATGCGGGAGGGAATATAAAGCGGCGGTGTTCTCGTGCGATTTGATCTGTGGCACTGATATGGGAGTTCAGGGAACCACACCAGGAACGATAAAGTCAGCAGTCCGTCGTCAGAGTGGCAGAGTGGGCTTACCGGGTCCAGAGCACCAGCACCGTGGGCAAGGTATTGCAGGAGTGACCAGCTGGTGAGATGGCAGTAGAAAAATAATGGAAGCAGAGGCGAGATGGAAGCTAGTAGCGATCAGTATGAACGTAGCGATTGCAGGCTGGCGGATCATCTCAACGAGGCTCCAATATATAAGCCCTCCCCACAACTCTTCCACCCATCATCCGACCCGTCAATACACTCTCATCTTGACGAGTTTTTGACGTCCAAGGGTCCTTCCGAAGCAGCGGCAAAGTGGGGATGGACGAGGAGTTGAAGCTATATATGCCGTGAAGATCTCTTTGAAAGGGGACAGGTGTACCCTGCGATACACCCTCACGCCGTGTTCATTGTCTTGCTTTGCACAGCCATGTATGATCCGGGACGTCTAAATCACAAGTGCATATTCTATATCATCTTCAATCGCCCGTGTTGATTAAAGCTCCTTCTCAACCATGTCAATGCCCTCCTCCCTGGCGAGCCTCTCTCGGAAGAGCGCACAAGTCTCCTCGTCGTAAGGGGCCTGGACACCAGTCTTGGTGTAGGCGCCCTCAAGGATGAATTGCACAGCCATACCGCAAGGAACCTGTGATCGCATGAGTGACTGGATCTCGCACAAACGAAATGAAACACTTACACCGACAAGCTTGGCCATAGCAGAAGGACCACCGTTCCTGTCACCGTAAGCCTCAAGAGAAGCAGTGATAGTTTTCTACGCCCCATCAGCATCACCTTCACGCCTCAATCCCCTTAGTGACTCACCTCGGTACCGTCAGCGTTGATGACCTCAAAGGTGTGTTGCAAGATGACAAGGTCAACCTCGCCCTCCTGGACAGCGCACTTCTTCTCGAGCTGAGCAGAAAGGGATCGCATGACGGAACCTCGCTGCTCGGCAGCCTCCTCGGAGAAGAGACCGAGAGACTTGAGCTTGCCGAGGAGGATCTTGGTGTCCTTCTCAAAAGCGGGAAGAGTCTTGAGCTTCTCAATGATAGCGCTGCGATATCGTCAGTAGATGCAGCCGGTATATGGAGAACTTACGCCTCGTTGGCCTCAACACCGAGGAGCTTGGCAAGGATCTGGGCCCAGGTGACGGGGGCGGCACCCTTGGCAAGATAGTCGACAGAGGCGTCGCTCATCAAACCAATCTCCTTCCAGGCAGTGATGACTTCACAGAATCCAGCGTATCGCATAGTACCTCGGACAAGGTTCTGAACCTCGGGGATGTTGTAGAACTCCCTGAAGACGGTAGAGTCTCGGTTGGGGTAGGCAACGAGGTTGTAGGCGGGGGTAAAGTAGTAGGGCTTGGCGGTAGACATGAGGTCCTTGCCGGCAATCTCAACGGCCTTGCCGTCCTTGAGGTACTTGCCGTCGTTGTTGAGGGCCATAAGGACACCGACGGGAGACCAAGAGAACTTGTAACCGAGGGCGTTGTCGGCAGCAGAGGGCTCGACGAGACCACCACAGAAGGAGTAGAAGCTCTTGATCTTGCCACCGGCACGGTGAACCTCGTCAAAGGTCTTGACGGCCCACAGGTGGTCAACTCCGGGGTCAACACCAATCTCGTTGAGACAGGTCAAACCGGCGTCCTTGAACTTTTGCTCAAGGGCTCGCATCTGGGGGTTGATGTAGGAGGTGGTGACGACGTGGACCTTCTCTTCGAGAGCAGCCTCCATGACGGCGGCGTGGAAGGTGTAGGGGATCAAGCTGACGACAACGTCATGGCCCTTGAGAGCCTGTCGAAGAGCGTCAGGAGAGCTGACGTCGAGGGCAATGGGAGTAGCGTTGGGGAGCTTGCCGGCAAGGGCCTCGGCGGTAGACAAGGTTCGGCAAGCGACCGTGAGCTCGTGACCGTGTCGGGCGATGTAGTCGGCAGCGGGGCCAGCAACGAGACCGGAACCGAGGAGAAGGACCTTCTTCTTGGTGGTGGGGACGGTACCGGGTCGGACACCGCTGAACTTGGGCAAGACGTTGACGCCGTCCTCGAGCATGGCTCGGCCGAACTCGGGGATGGTGAAAGCGGCCTTGTGGACCTCGGAGTTGTAGTACTTGGTGTCGGGGACGGCTCGGAGAGGAACAGAGACGTCGACCTTGGCGTCCTTGGAGCAGACCATGATACCGATCTGACCGGCGGGATAGGTGGGGATGGTGGTGAAGCCATAGTTGACAACGGGGAAGAGCTTCTTGCAAGTCTCCTGGAGCTCCTTGATCAAGGGAAGGTGGACCCACAAGCACTCGGCCTGGGTGGAGACGTGACCGTTCTCCTTGAGGGCTTCCTTGAGGAGCTGGAAGTAGGGAGGCTTGAAGAGGGCCTCGGCGGGGCCGACAGGGTCAGAAGAGTCGGTGATAATGACATCGTACTCGTTCTTGTGCTCGGGAAGGAAGACGAAACCGTCGCCGATGTGGACCTCGACTCGGGGGTCCTTGTAGCAGTCGGACATGATAGGGAGCCACTGCTTGGAGACTCGGATGACGGCCTCGTCAATGTCACAAAGAGTAACCTTCTTGACGGACTTGTGCTTGAGGACCTCTCGGATAACACCTCCGTCACCACCACCAATGACGAGGACGTTCTCGGGGTTGGGGTGAGAAGCCATAGGAAGATGGGTGATCATCTCCTGGTAGCTAGAGAGGTTCAGCGGCTTCCAGCGTATCAGGGGCAGACATACGAGAATTCATCACGTTCAGTGCACTGGATGACACCGTCGAGGACAAGGACGTTGCCGTAAGTCTCGGACTCGAAGACGAGGACGTCCTGGAAGAGAGACTTTTCCTGGTGCAAGACCTGCTTGACCCTGTGATTGGGATTAGCCTTGTTCGCGCTCTTTGCAAGAGCTTACTGAAGGGTCATGGCCTGGCCTGTTGGACTGTCAGCTCCGTCTCATGAAAGGATTCGGGTTGACTCACCAGGCCACTGGGTGTTGATCTCTCTGAACCAGCCGTCTGCACCAACATTAGCTCAATGGGCAAGCGAAGTTGGGGTTGTTTGACGCACCGACGATGTTGGGGTGGGATTGAGAAACGGCCATTTTTTATATTCTGGGTAAAGAGAAGAGAAGAGTGGACGGGCGACTTTGACACGTCTCTGCACCGGCCCATGTCATGAAAGGAGGAATTTCTTTTTGCTCATGTCGGGGGTCTCCGCCGCCCGCGCCGAGTAGTAATGTTTGAAAGTTCCGTATTGTTTAACAAGCACATAGTTGCCGGCTTGGTCGCCGATCTCAGCCACCCCGCCTCTATTATGCACCCCCCGGGCTCTGATACATGCTTGGGGGGAGCTCCATGGCAGCTAGGCGAGCGACTGGCATGGTCAGAGGCCAGGTCTATGCAACTCGACTCGACCGTCGGATATGGCCGGTAGTATTTGAACGTGTGAAGATACATATAAATGATGATAAGGGCACTCACTAGGATCACTGCCATACTCAATACTATGCAAGTGGCCTGGTAGTATATAAGAATGATATCGAGGCGAGATGCTCTACGCGCTCTGCAAGCGGAAACGTGCATGGTGGCATCTTTGAATCAGGCTGATGCGTCATTCAACTTGGGCAATCCTCTCCGCTGCGTAGAGGGTCAATGAAGTTGTGGACGATGGCCGCCCTAGATTGGAAAGATGTTTAGGCACGCTTCTACCATCAGGCTCGGCAGATCGCAGATCGCAGAGTGGCCCGGTGTCTCCGGGTAATCAAGTGAACTTTTCGTGTGCGTGGGGGACTCGCCGCCAAACATTCATTCAGATGGATTGACAACCTTCATCACAACTACGACTACAATCCACATCCTTCTTATCATTCGATAACTCCATTCGACTCAGGCACAGGCAACCTCTACCTATAACTTTGACATTCTACCAATATGCCCCGTCAAAGCCCTTGAGCTCGGGCATGACGAGAACCTCGAGGTTCCGCAAACTGTTGCAAGAGACGAGACCGGTAGCTCCTGTGAGTATAGGTCTGGTCTGTCAAGTCGAATGCTAATGCGTCGAAAGACGCTTGTAGGATCCCCAAGGCGGAGGTGGGCGGAAAGGAAGGAAGTGGCGCGGAAGAGAACCTCGTGGCTGAATCTTGCAAGGACGGCATGTACGTATGGATCTGGATGAGCTCAGCCGACAAAGCTGACTCTAGACATTTTAGATCGCCTGAGCAACTCTTCTGGAGGCGTTTGCGGTCACATCAAGGATCTTTCCACCAAGGGCAACATCGCCCCCTTCTTCTTCCTTGCCAACTCTGACGAGAGGGCTCAACCGCAAACCACCGACAGGCAGGGCATCCCAAAAGAGACAATCTTAATGTACACGCGGCATTCCATACCCTGAAGAACTCTCCCGCTCCCCTTGCATCTGCCGACCTCCCCGTCGTCCACAGTCTCGGAAAACAGCGCCAATGACTACGAGCGATACTTATTCGAACGTATGACCGAGCTGGAACCGAAGATTCCCGACGGAACTTTCGAGGACGACAGGGCTCGTCCCAAGGTCGACGGCGATGTCCAGAAGCGTGCTCGGGCTTTGCTGGCCGCTATGCATGAGGACATCCTCCGCTACATCTCTGGAGGTGTCAATATTCGTAAGCGGTTGGATTTTGATGTTATGAGTGTGACGAGGAAGAGCCCGCGGACGACGAGTGATGTGCTGGGTGGCTTCGAATGTCTCGTGTAGATTAAATATCGTCTTTCTTGGTATGCCCTGCCTGTTGGTGGTTAGCGGTTGGGCCGTCTCGTCGGGGCTGGTGAGGAAGAAGAGGGGGTCGATCTGGTGGACCGCGTTGATTTTGGCCCGAGTGCCTTTGGTTGCAGAGGCTCGAAGAAGTCGTGTCTGTGTCGGGGTCGATTGGCATGATCCAATGATAACAACGAGGGATGTGGATCGTAGTTGAAATAACGCTTGTCAGTTGATCTGAATGAATCTTTGGCGGCGAGATACTAAACTTCACTTGATTACCCGGAGACTCGAGGAATGCATGTACAAGCACAGATTATTTCCACCTCCCCGGAAAGCTTCGTTTGTATCGCTTATCTTCACTCACGACTCCAACATCAGTGTCATCGGATTCCCCCTCATCACCGTACTCACCGTCTGGCAGATCAGATCGTTCGTCATCCGCGGCTCTCTCTCCCTATTCACAAGAGTCTTCCTTCTGCAAGCCTCTCTTCATGGTCACTGTAGCCCGCCTGCCGCCACACTCCATGAACCGCCACACCTCGTATCGCCGAAGGTCCGTCCTCGTGGTCTATCAGGGCCAGCCGCCCTAATAGACTCTTTATTCCCAGTAGTCCCTAGGTTTTCTCTTGTTGTGTCGCTAGAGTTCCCATGCATATAAGAAAGAGGTTTGGGAAAATCCCCATTCTCATCCTCTTTTATCTCTTCCTTACTTACCCAGTATACGTTGAGCCTCCCTCATCCGTATAGTCTACGCATATTATATCTCAGACTTCACGAACTAATCGCAAGCCCGCAACAACTGAGCGCACTCGAAACATCGTATTGGTTGACTCTTGCTCATTGAGCCCTTCTGGGACTTCTTGGGGCGGTCTAACTCACTACAAGGAGGGGTGGGGCGGATACCGAAGCCCAGAATTGGTGAATGGCTGGGATCAAATAGGGTGGGAAAGAGTCCCATCGGGACAGGGTAGAATGCCTACCGTCCGGATTCTCGCTGAGCGAGACAAGCAGCACTTCACTCAATATCAACAGCTGCTGGCCAAGCTACTGCTTTTTGTCGACGGGTGCATCGCGGATCATAGGACTAGCCAATCGGGGAACATCAACCACGATATGCTTTTCCGATACGCCTCCCGTGTCTGGCACGAGCTCCCCAATGACAACGAAATGGCGGATTTATTTCCCCACTACCTCTTCAATCCTCCTCCACATGTCCGCCGCGGTTACCGTAGCCGTAGCACCTCATCACTCCGCTCGGCGTCTCCTCGACGTTCTCACACTCCCCAACGCTTTGCGACGCGCTCCCGCAGCCGCTCCTTATCCTACTTGTCTTCAAGCTCCCAGTCTGAAGGCTCCTCCCGACGCCACAGCTTCCATGCCTCTCCCCTTCCTCGCACCCCTTCTCTACCCCCTTCATCCCCCCGACCCTCCACATCCCCACTCCCGCCCCCCGTCACCACCACCATTGGCAAAGTGACGGTGCACAGGTCTAAAACCGGAAAGACATACCTGATGTACTGTCATTCAGAACCGGACGGTAGGCATTCTACCCTGTCCTGATGGGACTCTTTCCCACCCTATTTGATCCCAGCCATTCACCAATTCTGGGCTTCGGTATCCGCCCCACCCCTCCTTCAACACAAGCACCGTGCCTTGGCCAACCTACCGCCTCCGGTGTAATTCCTTCCCATCCACACCACATCGTTGTCCTCGTTTGGGTCTCGTCATGCGTTGCCATCACATCGTTGTCGTTTTCACGACTGCCTTATGTCACATTTCTGCTCTATGTCCGCGCCTTTTGGTCCTTTTCAGTCGGGGCCGCCTCGTGATCTCTATCGCATCGTTGTCGTTTTTACGACCGCCTTGTGTGACATTTATGTTTCCTGACTGCTCCTTTACTGCCTTCCACCACGTCGTTGTCCTCATCCGGACTTCCTCGTAAACTTCTCGCGCATCGTCGTCGTTCCCGCGGCTTCCTTGTGCTCCGTTGGGGCTTTTCAATTTTACCACCTCTATTTTCTAGCCCTCGGGACAAGGCCCTCTTCGAGCGGGGGGGCAATGTAGCGTGCCTGCCGCCACACTCCATGAACCACCACACCTCGTATCGCCGAAGGTCCGTCCTCGTGGTCTATCAGGGCCAGCCACCCTAATAGACCCTTTATTACCAGTAGTCCCTAGGTTTTCTCTTGTTGTGTCGCTAGAGTTCCCATGCATATAAGACAGAGGTTTGAGGAAATCCCCATTCTCATCCTCTTTTATCTCTTCCTTACTTACCAGTATACGTTGAGCCTCCCTCATCCGTATAGTCTACGCATATTATATCTCAGACTTCATGAACTAATCGCAAGCCCGCAACAACTGAGCGCACTCGAAACATCGTATTGGTTGACTCTTGCTCATTGAGCCCTTCTGGGACTTCTTGGGACGGGCTAACTCACTACAGTCACACACCCTACTCGCGTTGAGTACCGGTGTAGCACACGCACCCAACTCTCGAGCAGACTGTCTCTGAGGCTGCTTAATAGGTGCTGGCACAGATTCTCCAAGTTCGTCATGAGCTCTTCCAAATCCACTCACTGCACCACTGTCCCGGTCTTGCTGTAACTTGAAGTATAAAAATGTTCACAAAAGAGCAAAAAGAAAGAGAAGTGACGCGAGTGAGATTCGAACTCACGAGCCCGAAGGCACCACATAATTACGTAACACAAGATAGCAATGTGGCGGAATAACCACTATCCGATCGCATCTTCGCTTGTGACAATTGGAGTTAAGTGCGTATATAAACCGGATCCCAGTCATGATAGCTCGGAGCTTCTTCTCTTGACAATCCATCTTATAGTGCTGCTGACACCCCTCGGACTCTCTGGCAGAATTACTCAGCTGATCCCCATGCTCTTTGCCCTCTTGTTGAACGACTCAGACCAACGAAGGCGCCATATGCCCCATAACGTCAGCCTTCCCAACTCTCGCGATCGTTGCCCGCTGCAACAGATGAACCGACTCCCCCATCCTTCGTCGGTCAGGGGGCGTACGTTGTAAGAGTAGATATCAGACATGGTACTTGATCTGTGGATAAAAGTGCAGAAGAAAGATGGAAGAGAAAGTGAGGGATGGACAAAGTGAGAGAGAGAAAGATACTGTCTATGGTTCTCACCTATTAACTCTTGACCTTGACGGGCTTTCTTGCGTAGCCAAGAAGCGAGCCCAGCAGCTTTTCATCGTCACATCGTCTGCCCACCACAACCGATCGAACCCGATCACATCGTTCCAAACTATATCCCCGGCCGGTTTTGCCCTGGTGCTTCCATTAGTGTCTCATCTCAGTGTTTCTGGCAATGAGCCTTGACGTCGATTATAGTTATACCATTATGACTCTATCATATACATCTAGCACAGAGACATCGCCCTTTTTGTCTTGACAAGAGGTGGGTGAACGTTGCCCATACAGACCTCGCAATGTACTCGTTCCGAAGGACTGCCGTCAAGATGTGCGTAGCTCCCGGTCACAACGCGGTCTTTCACGACAAGGTCTGGGAAAGAACATGCCCGATCATGCGGAATCTGACCGGCTGGTGAGTTCTGAGTAGCCTCGATAAGCCCTCGAGATCGTCAAGCAGGCCTTATCTTCGGTTGATACGCCGTACTAGTATAGTAGATTGCATACACGCCTCCTTGAGAGGCAATACTACCGTGTACCAGACATCCCCCACTGCGGCACTGTCTCCTCACTCGAATCGTTCGTGTTCCCACTCCTACTCGCCTCTCCCTTCTGGTGACTATTGTTCCCAATGGAACCAAACAGAGCCCAATCACTCATCCCCATGTTTGGGTCTGATGCAATACCCGTCCCCATTCCTCCCCCTGGCTGCAGGCTCCCGCCAGCTGTACCCAGATTCATTCCCTGCCCCAAAGTGTTGTATCCGCCAAACCCATTGAAGCCTGTGTTGATGGGTGCAAGACTCTGAGCCCACGGAGGCGCGCTGGCAGAGTTTGTTTGGGAATTGTGGGACATGGGATCATACGCATTGGGCGAAGGGTCGTAATTGTAGTTGACGTTTGACATGCCCAAATGGGCTGCTGAAAAGTCGAATGTAGGGTCCGAGCCGTCCATAGGAAGGAGTGGCGTTTGAGTGTCAGTGTCGATGCCGAAAGATGATATGAGACTGAATGCGGTCAGTGATGAAGATGATCACTGAGTGCCTGAAAGACTTACGAGAAGAAATCTTCCTTGATGCCCAGACCGCCATCGTTCCCAAACGTGGGCCCTGCAGAATCCATTGTGACATCTGAAGCCCATTCGGCCCCATTCCCATCCGCACCCGTACGCGCCCACTTGTCTGGCGACGTCTGCCGAGCACCCGAGTTGGCCATCGGTGCCATCCCGGAGTACATCCCGAGCCTCCTCATATCGAAACCGGCCGCATCCAACAACTCCCTCGCCTTTTGCTCTTGTGCCAAGGCTTCCGACTGCCTCACGCCCGCTCCACCCGAGCACGCCACATCTGCCCCGAAAAGCGCTTGCATCTGCGTCGGCAGCTCTTTTCCATTCAGCTGTGTCGGTTGAGGGGCAGAATGAGAGTTGTTGACGAGATGGATGAACTGGGACATGATGTCGACAGGAGGTTCCGGGGCTGTGGCCTGGGCGGACTGTTGTTGACCGGAGGAGCTGGGTGGTTGGAGAGGTTTAGGTCGGCCCCGATTGTGGACTGAAGGAGTGGAGAAAGTAGCGAAAGCGCTGGTTTGAAGATCACCACCAGAGGTCTTTTCTTTCACCCGCGTCTCCCAGGCATCTACAAGCTCCTTGAACAACTTCTCGTGCCTTTTCGCGCCTCTGAAACGTTCTCCCCAGATACCGAGAGCAGCTTCACATTTGCGTATACCGCCCTCTGCTCGGCGAAGCTCAACTTCGGTCATGTCGGTTGGGAAGGTCGTGAGGATATGGAGGAGGGTCATGCCTGCAAGGAAAATTCGGTAGAATCGCCATGTTGAGAGCTTTGAATGATGCACAGGCGGCTGAAGGTATTGCCATTGGGTCTGCAAACGTGTGAGAAGCGCTCAATGGATTACAAGACTACTCACCTCGCAAAGGGCCACAGCAGACTCCAAACACAATCCCACATACTGTTTCCCAGCCTTTCTACTCGCAATGATAGGCCTCAAAAGCATCTGCACACAGTTGTGGTACTCTAGCTCCCAATGCTCCTTCGGTAGCATAGGGACCTGTGAATCGGGGGGAGGGTCTGGGTGGCAAGCGCGCCATTGGTCAAGACGCTCGAGAAGAATGTCAACTTCATTTATAGACTGGCGTTCGGGTGAGTATACGTCGTTTGTGGGCCGGAGAGGCTTGTCCAAGCGGTAAATGGCGTCACTGTCTGACGTTAGCTTCATTCAACACATCGGACAGGCGACGTACGTGACCATCTGCTTCAGCTGGTTGAGTCTGATGTTGTGAATCGCCGAAGTCATGCTCGTCACTGGCCCATACCCATTCGCGTACTCATCCCCCGGTCTCTTACTGCCCATCAGCTCCGACTGCTTGCTTTGCATTGCTGCCAGTGCTTTCGGCTGGTTGAAATCAACATCTACGTTCAGCGGCAGTTCGACATCAATGTCCCTGTCTTGAATCCCTGACGGTCGGCCAAGCTGAGCCGACATCATCCTATCAAGTGAATAGACGGCCCAGAAGACACGTTTCTTCATCTCGTATCGTCTGGGGTCTTTCTCGCGCTCGGCTTTCGAACGAGTCCGGCGGTGAAGGCCAATCTCGACTGCGGTACGCATAGACAGACCTCCAACCTGCCAGACGGAAACTTCGGCGGTGGGATGACGGAAGCCGTAGATGGTGAGAAGTACGAGGGCCTGTACTGTGGCAAGCGAATGATGGGACGTCAGGGTGGAAAGGCACGCAACGGCGGCATTATAGTACACTTCGTGGTTGACGGTCCCCGGGAGATTTTCGCCCTCGCTCAACCTCGCGCCATAACCATAACAGAGCCATAGGAAGAACGCTCCGAGACTTCTCCTCTCGTCTTGGCCTGTGCCAACGCCCCACAATGGCCGCCCTTGGCATATAGCCTCGCGATTCTCATGCCAGAAGCGCACGGTCTGCCAGTCAAAGCAGCCGTATCTTGCTTGTACGTGATCATATACGAGGTTCAGGTAGTGCGCCGCAAGCGTTGGAGGCGGCAGAGGAGGAGTGGGATGGTGGAGAGTGTATTCGAGAGCAGACTTGAAGGAGGCGAGCTCGGGTGGGGCGAGGTAGTTGAAACGTGACAGATGGGACGGTTGAGACCGACCTTGAGGCCGCTTCAAGGCGCTGGAATACCAGTCAGCACATCGTCAACACCATGAATGAGATACTCACGAAGCACAAACTCGCGCCCAGTTGACACCCGAAGATGGTCCTACATATACCGGCTCTTCACCGCCGCCGAGACTCAGCATACCAATACCCAAAGCGAAATCGGCTTCATCTCCTTCGTCCGCATCACCCTCGTCACTCTGTCCCGATTCGCCCTTTTTGCCAGGATCGTCGTCAAACCGAGCCAGAGGTATTGTGGCTGCTTGAGCACTGTTTCTCGGAGCAGTACTGGGTCCAGCTTCTGCATTGTCGGATGCTGGACGCGGCGGCCCAGAAGGATAGACCGTGTTGAGCTTGTCGACCGCAGCTTCTCTAGCCTCTACGGGCGCTGGGGTGTGGTCCGAGGCAAATTGCGATTTGGGGTTGTGTTTCCGAAGCTCCATTTCAAGAGCGGCACACCGCGATTCAAGCTGCGAGACGTACCTAGGGAACAGTCAGTCCACATAGAGACGAGTCATATACCAGCACTCACTCCAAGAGGAATATTTCGTTAGGTGTCCGATCCAGATATATACACTCTTTCCTTGCACCGAGGCAATTGGTGCAGGTGGGGACAGGGCTTGACCCAGGAGGTGCTGGTACACACTACGAGTTGGTTAGCCAACGTACTGCTTCCAAGTTCGATGACCTTACCCTGGCCTTCCTCTCCTTGCATCTCAAACAGGCGATAGCATTACGCTTGGGGGCTGTGGACCGCTTCCTGCTTGCGCCTGGAGCTGAGCCACTTGCGGGGCGGTTATCGGGAGGCATCTCGATGTGGATGGGCAGGCTGTGGCAGGTGGCTGAGGGGCTGCTGTGGCTGAGGATCTCTGTGAGGATCCCTGTGAGGATCTCTCTGCTTTCACTTTTGACCCGTGCCTGGATGCAGCTCGGGATCTGATCTCGCTGCTTTGGTTCTCCAGTCTCTCTCGAGTCTCTTTCTCCTCGACTCTGGAAACATCATGCTGTCACGGAAGAATCCATGTCCTGCTGCCAGTCATCTCAAGAGGTGGATGGGGTCTCAAGCAGAAGTCACTGCCCCAGCTCGTTCAGCGATAATGACCTCTCCTCTCTACAACCCTCCTCTGAAACCGGGTATCTCTGGCTATCCTCGCGCGACGCCTCTCAAACGTCACCGAAAGGCGCAAGAGGCAAAGCAAGTAGGGGCTGGCCTTGCCAAGTCCGACCATGACCCTTGGAGTGCGTTCACATGCAACTAACTGGTTTTGACAAATGTTGACGGTCGCACAGTCAAAATGTTGACCTCGAGAACAAGAATGTGCTGCGTCACTCGAGAATTGCGACCCGTTGGTAAGTCCGTGATACAGCCCCAGCCTGACAATAGTGAGCTCACTCGAGTCGTAGCGCATCTCATACGTCTCACCCCCACATACTTTCCATCAACCGGCGATAGACCGCACTCATTACAACTTTTACCTGACGGGGTCGCCGAGCCAAGCACCGCTTCAAAGGGTAAGAGTCTGTATGTGACGTGTCATAGAGACTACATAAAGCGTCTATATGAACCGAAAGGTAATTGACTACCCACTTCGAGTCATGTCTCTGACACAAGTATAGGCCCTCATTTACCGTTCATCCGCGGAATATCATCCCTCCAACTGCCCCCAAATCTTGTGGATATCATACATGCTCAACTTCTCTCCCGGGTGCTTTGGGAACTTCGATATACCCTTCGGCGTATCAGGCACTTGCCCAAAGTGCATCTTGAATCTCAAGAGCAGACTCGAAGAGTGCTCGAACGGTGGCCGAATCCTAAAGGTCAAATGGACAGTGCAAACGGAGTTGTAGCTTTGCTCGACCTGGCCGGCTTGACACCAGCACCCGTCGACTCATCTTTTGACCTCAAAGAGATCCCCTTTCCAGCCTCGCTCCCACAGAATGTCCCGAGCCCATTGATGACACCGTTGTCCGAGCACCAGGACGTCCCCACCTACCATCTAGCCTCCCTCTTCCCTCCTTCGCTTCACGCTTATCTACACAAAAGTCTTTGGACTATATTCCACGTCGAGAGGCTGAGGGGAGTGCCCAATACATCTAGCTCTGATGCCAAGGGCGAAGAGCAGAGTGAACATGGGCTGTTGGCCACGAGTACGCTAGAAGCGAGCTCTAATGGATCGGCACTAGGGACAGATGTGGCCATTGCTCTTTGGAGACTGGTGTGCTTTCACGGACATGGCTGGGAACAAACATAGACGAAATGCACCGCTCATTGCCGAGACAGAATATACATGTTTCTGATGCCACGAGAATGTGATTGACTTTGAAATTCTTTTTTTTGCTTGTTGATAGTCGCCTACTACGACCACTTCCACAGACCTTCGCCTTCACCGTACCGATCCCAAAGAAAGGAAAAACTATCAGAAAAAGAGATAAGAGAAAAACATGCGAGTCGATGGAAACATATGATATGAAAAATGAACAATGAAAAAGAGTCATGTATACAGATTGTTATCTCCTTTGGCCCGCTCTCCGGTCCTCTCCTGACTTTTGAACAGACTTCAAGCAGCGTAGGGGTTGCCTGTGAGGCCTGCATCAGTAACAAGCATAGAAATCCCAGAGATTCTGACTTACAAGCATACACAACCAGCACAGGCGGACTCTTGCTCATATCGCTAGTCACAATCACTGGCAGACTCATCAACTCCTTCACATCTTGGATCTTGTGACCACCCTCCGCACTCCTCAGACCCTCAAACTTGAGGGGCCTGGGGTGCACAGACTTCTCGTACTGTTTGGAAACGACGCCAGAATCGTTGCCAGAGAAAAGAGCGGATTCGGCGGTCGTGCGGGAGGTGGAATTGCCGAGGGCGAGGCGTTCGCCAAGGGACTTGATTTTGAGAAGGTTGGGGTCGTCGGTGCTTTCAGCAAGGTGGGAGATGACGTCCTTTGCGGTCCAGTAGAGGCTTGAAGATGTCAGTACGTTCTCGTTCATGGTCCAAAACCACTCACGAGAGAACGTCCTTGTGCTCGTCGTAGACCGCTGTCTCGACAGGCATCTTGTCCACGTGTACCCTCTTCTCAAGACCAAACTCGGGCTAGTAATCATATAAGCGATACAGCCAGATAAAGTGGCGGCACTCACAATAACCACATCGAAGGCAGTCTCCAAAACACTAGTCACCCGAGCGTCTCGCACAACAGGTCCGTATCGCTCCGTAAGATCGTGGATGAGGATACAGAGGAAGAGGTGCATGGACTGCTCCTCGGCAAGTTTTGCGCTCTCTGTAAGATCGTCAGCTTGGGATCAGGAGACATGCAGCGTGAGACTCACGTCTCTTCATATTGCATTGTTGAGCAGCCTTGGCTACTTGGTCGCGATCCATGAGGAACTTGACCTCGTTAGGGTTGGCTAGATAAATGTCAGTCAACTATGTAAGACCGTTCACTAGATCAAACTCACGGCTAGCAAGACAGGCATCGAGCATGCGGTGAACCAGGACATCTGCGTAACGGCGGATAGGGGACTATGGTAGGTGAGCAGCCATTCGTGATACTGTGGAGGAGACTTACAGTAAAGTGGGTGTACAATGGTGCGTTAAGACCCCAGTGAGAGTACTTGGCAATGTCCAACATGCCGGCACAGAAGTATCGAGCTCTACACGTGCGTCAGCTTCTAGCTTTCACCGCCCCAAGGAAAAAAATGACCTCTGCATAGACTTTCTCCTCAACAAGTCGATACACAACGCAGCGTCAGGGTCCTCAACCTTCTCAATGGATCTTTGAAGAGTACCGCCGGATGATGGGTCCATCTCGATACCAAGCTTGGCAGATCGCTCGACGAAGGACTCCAATCTGCGCTCAGAGGGGGCTTCGTGTCGGCGCAGAAGAGCTTGCTCTGGGAGACCGCTGGCGATTATGTGGGCCACTGCTTGGTTGGTGAGGAGCATAAACTAGTCACAAATGTCAGTCTTGCATGCAAGGATATGCTGAAACGCGTACCTCTTCGACAATGGCAGACGCCTCGTCCTTTTGATATGTCTCACAGTCGACAGGTCGACCAGCTGCATCTAGCTCAAATGAGACCTTGAGAGATCCGGCCAACATAGCACCCTGGTCGATACGTCTGTTTCGGATCTTGATGGCAATGGACTGATGTGCGGGTCAGCTGGTGTCCCTAGATGAAAGAATAGTATACTTACATGCAATGCCCTGAGATCAGCCTCAATATCTTCAGCGTGCTGGGTGCCATCGCTCTTGCTCTTGGGCAGAGAGCCACCGTTAGAGACACCAAGAGCGTCCGCGTAGCTCAATTTGGCGCAAGACCTAAATATCATCAGCAAAGTGCGGCAAAGTGGTACAGTATGCAGCTCACCTAACGATAGTCTTCGCAAACCTCTTTTCGATCACGTTTCCATCCTTGTCCACGGTGAAGAAGGCAGAGAACGTCAATCGCTCAGCTCCAGGGAGAAGACTGCAAAGTTCTTCGGAGAGCTGGGGAGGGAACATGGGTACAGCACGTTGTACGAGGTAGACGCTGGTAGCGCGTTTGCGGGCCTCTCGGTCAATCTGCGTGTTGGTCTTGACTGAGATAATGTCAGCTCAAGCTACAGCTTCAATATAACGCAAGTACATACCAAAGTAAGCCACGTCGGCGACATGGACACCAATTGCGAAGGTGCCATCGCTGTTGTCCTGGAAGGAGAGAGCGTCGTCCAAGTCCTTGGCATTGGGAGGATCGATTGTAAACACCCTTTGGCTTCTGAGATCTGTTCGGACCTCAAACTCGCGCTCGGGGATTGTCCAAGGCAAAGGCGGCAAGCACTTCATCGTCATATCAGAGAACTCCTCGGTGGGGAAGTTGCAGTCCTTGAGGAGGGCGCTGGTCTCAACTTCGGCATTGCTGATGGGACCAAGCTCTTCAACCAGTGTACCGAATGGGTGCAAAGAGGTGATGGGCCATCGCTTGATAGTCGCAACGAAGAGTTTGTTGCTGTAGGAATCCGGATTCTCGATAAAGTCTTCGGGCGCCTGTTCGGTGGGGATAGCAATGAGAGGAACTCGCTTGTCGGTGGGCTTAAACCAGACGATTTTGGGTCGAGCTTCAGGCTCGTACCCCTTGTTTCTGTCGCCCTCGCGCTCTCGACGTTCGAGCTCTTGCTTCTCCTTGGTGGCCGCCGAAGATGGACGAAGCACACCGAGTTGACCGGAGAAGAGCTGGCCAGGCATGCGCTCGACCTAAATGAGAGTTGGTTATGAAACGCACGACAAAGATGAGACTTACCACAGCAACAACGTGGCCAGCATAAGTAGGCTTGGTGTCATCGTTCACCTCTTCGTCGTCAAACAATGTCAATCCTTGGCCTTCGACTTCAACATCGTCCTTCTTCTTCTCAAGCCTCTTAGCGGCTGAAGGCTTCAAGTCATACGCCGCATTCTCCTCCTTCTTACGCTTCTTCTCCTCCTTGTCCTTCTTAGTGAGCCAGACTTCATCGACATCCAGAAGCTCGACAGCAACGATATCGCCCTCAAGAGCTCGGTTCCTATCCTTGGATCCACAGATATAGATATCGGCCTCGAGTACATCGGTAGCAACATAGGCGTCTGATCGGTTCTTCTTGTTGACTCGCAAGACGCCGACAACAAGTTTACCAGCCTGAAGAAGAGGAGGCAAGGACGCTTGGGGAAGGTATGGTGCAAAGAGAGACTTTCGCTGGGGACCCTGAGAGGTCTGCTGGAGTTGCATCTGGAACGCCTGCTGCTGTTGCCAAAGTGACTGCCCGACGGGTGTCTGCAAAGTAGTCGCAGCGAGCAAGTTTGGCAACATGTTGGGGAAACTAAAGGAGGCCATCTTTGAGTGACCACCACCGGCAGCAGCCCTGAATTGGGCAAGAGATTGAAGCTGCGCCTGGGCAGCAGCGAGATCGGCTACCTGGCCTTGGTGGCCAGGGGGATTGCTGATAGAGCCACTGCCAAGACGCCAGCTACCACTTTCAGCGCCAGACCTGCTGCCCGCTCGACGGTGACCAGAAGGCACGGCGACGCCCTCGGGGATGTCGTCACTCATTCCGAAACCGGCACCTGGGCCAGCAGTCTTGTTGAAAACGTTGACACTGTGGCGCCTGTTGTGACCAGCTGGGACAGGAGGAGGGGCCATCTCCCCGAAGGAAGGCAGACGCTGCTCCTGGTCGCGCTCAAAGCTCGCCTCGTTGCCAGCGGTAGCGGAGGGCAGACTAGATTGAACTCGACGATGCCGAGACAGGGTCTGCGAGGGAGTTGGCTGCGGTGCCAAAGATGTGTTGATCTTCAGGAGAGGGTTTTCAGCTTCAGGGGCGGCCTCCTGCTGCATGAGAGCCTTCTGTTTGGCTTGTAGGGCCTCGATTTCTTGCTGGATAGCGAGCTAGGATGCCTTTAGCTGATACTCTCATCGCCCGAGCTGCAACGTTACTCACCTGTTGCTGCAGAGCAGAAGACATTTCACTTCCAGTACGCTTATGAGCTCTAGCGGCAAGACCGGCGAGGCCTGTAGCCGCAGCGCCACCGATACCCTCACTCCTGTTGACAACGACGGGGGAAGCATGGGATTGAGTGGGAGAGAGGGATTCTCTGGCGGATCCCCTCTCAGAGACGCTCTCGTGAGCAGCGTGCTTCGGTTTGGCGCCGAATGTGAATGACGGGGCGAGCTGAGGCCTACCAGTAGGGCCGACAACGCCGGATCGAGGCTCAGGAGACTCTTCTTCTTCAAACACTGGCTGGTTTCGAGGGTGGGTAGCTTCAGACTCGGCTTGGGCTCGAGCCTCTTCCTGTTGCTGGACTAGCTGCGCCTGTTGGAGCTCAAAGACTTGCTGAGCTTGCGCAAGCTGGGCAGCTTGTTGCTGCTGCTGAGCAGCAGCCCTTTGTGCAGCGAGAGCCTGGAAACGCGGGGCGATGAAACTACCCATTTGCTGATTTTGATGCTGGGCAGCTTGTTGCGCTTGCTGTTGAGACAGCTGAGTAGCAGCAAGCTGGGCTTGGAGGAGCTGAATGTACTGATATTGTTGCTGCTGAGCAACCAAGAGCTGCTGTTGTTGATACTGCAAGCTCGCCTGCTGCGCGAACGCTAACGGAGACAAGCTTTCGTTCTCAGCCTCTTGGTGTACCGAGAGCGAGTTATTGAAGAAGGGCGGAAGAGGATTACCAAATGACTGAATGGGAGACTGGTTGAAAGCAGAGACCGAGCTCGAAGATGTGCGTCGAGGATGGTTGGCTTGACTGCTCTGGGAGAAAGAGCGAGGGTGTGCCGGGTGAGAAGCAGACAAGGCTGTAGAAGGAGAAGCGGAAAGGTTGGATTGTGTCGCAACGGGAGAGAAGGAATTTTGAAAAGAAGGCGTGAATGTGGGCGCATCGGCCTTCAGGGCCTTCTGAGAATTCGCGCTAGAGCTCGAGTCTGGGATGGCAACAGGCTCCGTCTTTGAAGAGGTTATAGGCTCGCGAGCGACACTGGCCGAACGTGATCCAGAAGAGCTAGCACTGCCGTTTGCCGAAGCGGGCAAAGTCTTCAAATCGGAAATCATCTTCTGCAAGCTGGCCAGAGCATCGCCACCTGAAGACCCCGAGGCGCGCTTTCTCGTAGCAGCTTCGCGAGCAGCCTCAAGAGCGTCGCGGGGAGTGGAGGTCGCAGCGTGGATGGACTTTGGCGCTGATTCTTGCTTGACAGAGTTCTGAGAGCTTGGTCGAGAAGTGCCCGCGCTGATGGGGTTCGGGCGCTTGGCGGACTGTGATCTCTTTGCCTTTTGGTGATTACCCTTGGGTTGCTTCTCACTCTTTCCAGCGCTGGAAGGCTCATCCACTTCGTTCTCGTTCCTGTCCTCCCCTTTGCCCTTCCCCGCGCCTTTCTTGGTTTGCGGCTGAGGCTGTTCGCCGCTGAATCCCAGACTCACGCCACCGCTGATGGTCGTGGTGGGACCACTCTGCCTCTTCTTGTCACTCCTTCCACTTTCTGATGGACCTCGAGACGAGGCATTCGAGTTGCTTCGAGACAAGTTGGTAGATCCTCCACCACTCTTGCTGCGCCCACGGGAAGAGCTGTTTCTCTGAGAGTTGGCCGAGTTTGGCCGAGAGGGATGAGCTGAAGGAGGGGCAAGGGTGGCTTGGGGTTGATTTTGTTCTGGCGCAGCCGCGCGATCGGCCATGACTGTCACTTGAGCGTGAAGACGCAGTGGATGGCTAGTATAGCACAATTGTGGTTCACGTAAAGGATGTCTGTATGGTCAACATGTCAGCATGAGCGTTGATCGTTGAAACTCGTAGACAATAAGGGTTGGGGAAATCTGTGACGTCTTCAAGTATGGATACTTTGCTAGCAAAGTAGAAAAGCAGCTACACACCACGACGTAACCAGGACTTGCTGGGGCAAGGTAGACCTGTGGGGGCGTAGAGGTCGGCAAGAAATACACGGGAGCAGCAAGTTGCGCGTGGAGCCACGATCGGTCGCATCGCGCGCTTCTCGTCCTGCCTTGCGGCTGAGCCATGGACAAGGTCGGAGAGCAACCCAGTGATGACACCAGGCAGCCCCCAGCCCCAGCATTGCCAGTACTGTGCCCCATAGGTGCCCACTTTGCTCGTCTGCCTTGCGGCACAGGCCCGGGCTGTACACCGCACCCTGAGGTGGAAGGGGACTTACGGATAGTGCGTCTGCTGTGGGCTGTCGGGCGACGGTGGGTAAGGATTGTGGGAGAGAGATGTTGAAAGGCAATGGGAAAACGAACTCGACAACGGTCGTCCATCTCTCGGCGCCAGCAGATGACGCACAGCCCTAAGTCTTCCCGGAGAGACGCGTCCAGGCTGCGCGGTTGTGGCACTTGGAAACCCTTACGTAACCTTCGCTCACCCATCTGGCTGACGCGACGCGACGGCAACAACGAAGTCTGTATCGAACAGTGCTCGTTCCACGCCTCGTACTCTGCCGTGTGGTGATCTATGACATAGAGGATGATACATAAAACAGCTGATATGAGAATTATACTCTGATTAAACCTACGGAAGTATATGTATAATAAATTAATGGTGAGGAAGTAATGAAATGCTCGTGCTTTTGTTGTACCCTTCTTCCCATCTACCCCTTCCCAACACATACTCATGCAAGCTCTCTAGATGCTTCTGGGCTCAGTGGTGAGGCCCAAACCGCTACCGGCCACACGCTTAGGAGGGAGACCGCATCGACTTCGCAGCTCTTGGATTTCGGTATGCTGGGCATCGACCTGGGCGCGCAACTCGGCAATCTCTTCCTCACGCCCACGCAAGCTGGCTTCGAGAGTGGTCACATAGTCTGTGTCGACAGTTAGCGATCGGTGACGATCCAAAGGCGATCTACACTTACCTTTGCGCTTAGCACGGAACTTTCGAGCACCAATTCTATCGCATCGATCATCAGCACCTTATCTCATCAGTAAGTGCAATGCAAGCCCACCTGTTTCTGACCTGCTTCTTTGCCGCCGGGGGCAAAGCCTTATAGTCTTCTTGAGGCATCCCCCAAGGTTGCTCTTCCGTGCATTCAACATCGTCGACACTCGAACCCCTTCTGACACCTCTCCGGATATCCTCATTCTCACTCGAAGAAGAGTTCATGCTCAGCCTCTTTGAACCGATCGCCATGGTCACAGGAGTCTGCGGCATGTCGTGATACATCTGTCGAGGTGAACTGGCGGAACCGCGGATTCCCGGAATAATATGGGTTGTTGGTGAAACCGGGGACAGATTGTTGTAGGATGGCGAGGTAGGATAGGCGGGCATGCGTGGAGCAGCTTCGGGATGGGGGTAGGGATTGTTCATCAGAGATCTGGACCCGCCCTCCAGACTGACGGGAGAGGGGGCTGGATAGGGGTATTGTGGGTGAGGATTCGAAGGAATAGCACCATAGGGAGACAGGCCTGTGAGGTTCTGAGGCGGACCGCCTTGGAAGCCAAACATTGGTTGAGAGAAAGACATTTCTCCCCCCCCGCTCTTGCCGTTGTGTGACGCTGGGTTACGTGGTAGAGATGAAGGTGGCGGGAACTGCTGCTGATGGGGTGGAGGTGGGTGCGTAGAAGATGACGCCTGTGGTGAAGAGCGGGTAGGGGAGTCGTTCGCGGGTGATGCAGTATGCCGTGCTGTCGAACGTATGGGATGTTGACTGTAATAGCCGTAGGAATTATGTGAAGGCTACATACGAGAACCAGTCAGCCTCTCCTTTATAATATAGGTTGCGGAAACGAGATCCCGCAAAATCACGGATGAGGCAGATGACTCACCCAGCTTGCCCCACTGTTTGCCATTGCGGATTCAGAGGAAACACGGTGTTGCCACAACAAACGACCCGAATGACCAAGAGACTCCTTTGCACCTTTGTCGTCACTGTCCTTCGCACGAGAGGAAATGTATCCTTGATAGGAAAATGTCTGGATACAGTAAGGGGAAACTACCTCGTCGGCATGGATCACCAACCCTTGGAAGTGTCTAGGAGAGGAATGGGCGGAAGGGTTGTCGTGCGGTTGGTGAAACGTCATAATAGTTGTGGGCGGAAAGAGGAAATGCACTTGCGTCAGCGCCGGAACACATATCGCGGAAAGCGTCGAACTTGTTCAATTTAAAGTAGGGCAAAGCGAGCTAGAAGTTGAAAGAAAAAGAAAACGACCAAGTCAGAGGAAGCCATGGATCTAAAGCAACTAGAATTGGAATCGAAACACGTCGACGACACGGGCGGAATAACAATGAAGGCCTCGAGCCTCGGTACAACTCTAGATCTTCGAGACATGGCGGCAGTGAAGATCTCTGAATCGGGTAATGGAAATTATCCGGCTCACATGCTTCATCCCAGAAAGGAAAACCAGATAGTCAAACCGAGGAACGTATTTCAGCTGAGGTAACACGTTGATTGATTCTCGGCGATGCATGAGGATACCAGCGACTAGCGCCCTGCAGGCTTCCACTGCAGCTGGTTCCCACCGCTCCCCTCCTCAGCATTGCGGTGCAGGGCGTGCTGGAGAGGCATGGGCAGGCAGGGGCCGGAGAGATCCAACAAAGGCCCCAGCGGCGAAGGAGATATCCAGCCAAGTGGCCAAAGACAGCACAATCGAGAGGAACGACCAAGGCACCAACGCAAACAGTAAAATCGTTAATTCCCCGACCCGCGACGTAAGCCCAAAATGAAGGCAATTAACCGCCAGAAAACAAAAATAAAAAGACCACCCGCGTAATGATAAAGACGCGGACCGAGAAGTGAGACAGCGCATGGCCATGACTTCATGCGCTCTTGCTTGTGCAGCCAAAGCGCGCACGGGAAGCACTATTCAGGATACAGCGAAAAGCGGAAATGCTGCAGAGCCACGAGCAATATAAGGCAGAGGACGAAGACCACGTCAAATAACAGTTGAGAGGAGAGGAATCGGGGGCCGGGACACGACAACTGACGAAGCGGGGGAAGGATGAGGTAAATACCTCTAAACCCAACCTGACTTTCGCAGTTCACAGATCTCTGACAAAGGCAGAGAGTGGAGGGCGCAGAGGGCCATAGAGCGGAGGCATACAAGCAAGCCGAGATCTAGAATCACCATGAACATGACGGCAGCGCGGCGGCTGACGCGCTGGACCGCTGGAATCTCGCAAACGCCGAGCAAATTCCCAAGAACACGAGACGAAACAATGTGGATATATAGATGGGCCTGGACTCACTGGTCGAGCTTGGATGGAGCCAGAATATATGACGGGGAATGTAATGGCCAAAGGGAGAAGAAGGTGACGCTGCGGCGGTCGTGGTTCTGTTGGCAAGGCTGTCAGCAAAGCAAGTCTACCCTGGTTTGAACTAGCTTTGAAGCAAGTATGTAAAGTACTGCAATCACCACTCAAAATCCCAGATTTGACACAACACGCTCGAGGGGAGGCAAAATCCATAGAGCGCATAATGTAGGCCACCACCAACACATATACCGATCTTTGCAAAAGTATGTGACTATATCGCAAATGGACAGGTTTAACCTGGAATCTGTAGGGTTTGAGTCGGTCTGAATCTGTGCTCAGATCACTGTGCCCGTATACATGTGCTTGACGTTTGAAAGACCACAGGGCCACCACGCAGACTCGGGCGTGTCGGACGAATACCGCTCAAAGATGGAAAGGAGAAAAAAGCAGGGACGAAAAGAGAGAAAGAGAGCAGTGGAAGGACTCACTTCGTTCCTGCAAGAAGAGGCACTCGAGGTCGAAGGTCGAAAATCGATCTGCCTTCTTCCGCCTTCTGCGAGATAACGGGTGTTGTTGTTGACAGGCACGCGCCTCAGATGGCTATCGGGGAATGCAGCTTCTTTGAGGGAAGCCTTGGGATGATATTAACAGTAGAGGGAGTGCGAATATGGAAGCACAAAGACTGTTTGATGTCTTGTGCGAAAAGCATGCTCCGCCTCCACCTTCGACCTCGGCCACCGCCCGGCTTGGCGGTTGGCGGGAACCGACTATAAGTCTATATTCTCCCTCATCCAGCTCTCGATTTCCCTGGTGGATGTAGTCCACGTCCCACATCCTGAAGTGCCCATGCCCCATGCAAGAGTCCCTGCATACTCGTTATGCAGTGCGCAGTGGCCAGTGTGAGTAGCTGCATCCACCTGAGATCCGCTGTCCGCTGTCCTCCGCTGTGACGCGCCGGCCCTGCTACATAGTACATACTCCGCAGCCTGCAGCCTGCGTTTCTACCTTCTCTTCTTCGCTGCTATTTAATGCTTACCTGGCTCCAGGCCCCGGATTCCTGCCCCATCGGGCAGCCTCCCCTGGATCCCCTGTCTCCTGCACCTCCTGCACCCATAATTGCCACGGTCGAACGTACATAACGTTGTGGCCGTCGGGGAATTACGGAGTATTTCTGCAGTGATACCCTGGCCACCCTGATCCCGTGTTTCCCGTGCCCAAAAGATCAAGAGATTCGACGTTCGAGATTGCCGTAACGTCAAACTAGGTCAAACTAGGCCCGCGTGCGGCATGGCGCATGGCGCATATCTGTACTCGTGCACTCTCTCTGACTGAGTGTACTGTGTTTCCCATCTGTGGAAATGTCAGGAGAAGAGCAGAAGGACGAGAACGAGGAGCGCATCCCAATCTCAGATACGTCGATTGCCCTCGAATCCACCAGTTCCACAGCGCCACGGTCACAGGCCCCACAGGCCACGAGATGGGGAATGAGGGATGGTCTGATGACCACGATGGAAGAGTTGGGGAGGGGAGACTAAAATGCTCTGGATTCTGCCGTTAAGAAGAATGTAATTTGTGTTTGTAATTTGTGTTTACGAGAGATCCTCTCTAGTGTGATACCAGTGATCTGCCATCTGCCATCTAGCTGCCATGCTTCACCAGCCAGAATGATCGGCAGTCCCTCGGAATGTGTGGCATGTGCGGAGCAGTAGAGGATGGCGATGTTGGCCGGTCATCAATGATGCTACTGCATCATAGAAGTGTGAAGAAATTTTGAGACAACTGGAGTATCGTCCGTCCTCTTTGCTTCTTACTCGTTCCGGCGTCCTTCATTCTCGTGAGTCGAGCTAGTAGGCTCCACTGTCACATTGTAGGCGTCGCAGGACTTTTAGAGCACACCAACCGGGGGGAGCCTGGGAGGCCTACGAAATGGTATGATAATATTGCTTCATGAGTCGATGGCCCGCGACCGCTAGTACAAAGAGGCCACATTTCCACACCTGGCGCATGTGTCGTCAGGCTCCCAGTCCAGATGTTCACTGCTCCAGGACAGTTGCCAGAACGAGCGGCCGCGACGCGGCTCCCGGTTATAGATGGTGTTCAATACCCCTCTGCGGATTATCTTATCTTATCACTCGTCGATCGAATGCCCACCGTGTTGGCACAAGCTATTAGCGTTCGACCACTTATGCTTGCAAACGAACGCTGCTTTTGATGGCTCGTGGTTGGCTCAACGCGCCCCTTGCATAATACTGCGTCGGTGAAGTCCGGAATCAAATTTCTGCGACGCGGAGTCCATTAGCCGAGACTGCAAACTGGACCACTTGTGTACAGATTGTATACAGCCTGCATCTACCCCGTCCACCGCACAGCTATCGCTCATGGCGCCCCATCCTGACCTCTCCCGCGCGTCCAGCCATCTCCAGCAGGCAAGCCACGGCGAGCAACCGCAGCCCAGCAGCAAGAACCAAGTCCTCATATCCCACGGCAGGGCCCCCTGGTATGGACCGGATGGCCGCAATGTCGAGGCATATGTAGTAGGCATCGCAGGGGGGAGTGCTTCTGGAAAGGTAGCTATGCTTGTTGTGTAATGGTGTTGAGCTGACAATATCTAGACGTCCGTTGCTCGAGCCATCTTATCGGCACTCGACTATATCCCAACAGTCCTGATTCTGTCACAAGACGCTTTCTACTATGCTCATACACCAGAGCAGCTTGAGCTTGCTTTCAACAACGATCTTGACCTCGGTATGACGCGACAGGACCAAGCTGCGACCGCTATCTGATACCGTGCTTAGATCACCCGGACGCGATTGATAAGCCCCTGTTTGCCCAGTGTCTCAGTGATCTCAAGCAAGGAAAAGCTACAGAGGTAAGCGCGTTACCCACTACGTTGGTATGTGTCACTGACCATGTTTCTGTAGATCCCTGTGTACTCGTTCGTGCACCACCGTGAGTATCGACGGGGGCCGATCAGTTTTGACCCAGGCTTGCAGAGAGGATGCCCGAGAAAAAGTACATATATGGCGCTAGTGTGATTATTGTGTATGTCCACTCTCCCTCATCTGGTCACTGCTGACAGCAAGCAAAGCGAAGGTATCATGGCCTTGCAGTCTCCCGAGCTGAGATCGCTCTATGATCTCAAAGTTTTTGTTGTAAGTCCGAGGCCACCGCTCGGTGCTGGCGGCTGACGACGACAGAACTGCGACTCTGACCTGATGTTGGCGAGACGTATAAGACGCGATGTCAAGGAGAGGGGACGAGACGTCGATGGGATCCTGGATCAATATCTCCGATTTGTCAAGGACAGCTACGACAACTTTGTGCAGCCTTCATCTCGATATGCCGACATTGTAAGTATTCAAAGTTTGCATACATTACACAGCTTATGATGTGATTAGATTGTGCCCGGCTCTTCCAACCAGATTGCCATTGAGCTCCTAGTAACACACGTCAAGCGTCAGCTAGAGTCTCGCTCCTTACGATTCCGAAAGGTATTGGCGCATATCGGTGAAGATGGAGCAAGCACCCACGAAACGGACAGGCTAGACAAGCAGCTCACTCTACTGGCACAAACCAACCAGCTCCTCGTATGTGTCCCTCCGCACGTCTGGGACATAGCTCACTGCACCACAGGGTATTATGACCATCCTGCGAGACCGCACCACATCCCGAGAAGAATTCATCTTCCACATCGACCGATTGTCCACCATTATCGTCGAAAAAGCCCTCGCGCTCATACCCTGCACCCCCAAGACAATCAAGACCCCTCAACAAAACGTCTACCCCGGCGTCGCGCAAACCAAAAACCTCGTCGGTATCTCCATCCTCCGTTCTGGTCTTCCCTTCTCCCAGGGCCTTCGGCGAGTCGTGCGCGATATCCCCATTGGTGGTATCCTCATTCAGTCCGACCCCAAGACGGGCGAGCCACTGCTATTGAAGAGTGATCTGCCGCACTGCGTCAAGTCGAAAGAGACGAGCGGGGATGTCAAGTGTCTGTTATTGGATTCTCTTATGGGCACCGGTGCCGCTGCCGGTATGTCCCTCGTTCTTTCATGTATACACAGCTGACCTTGTTTTCCAGTCATGGCGATCCGCATACTCCTCGACCACGGCGTCATTGCCTCCAACATCATCTTCCTCACTTACCTCATCTCTCGTCCAGCTTCGTACGCCGTCCTCCGCGCCTTTCCCGACGTGCAGATCGTCACAGCCGCCATAGACCCCAAGCTTGACGAAATGCGTATTCCAGTCCACCCAGGAAGTTTGGTTCTGGGTGAAGCAGCCGGGGAGGGAGACTTTGCTGTGCGATGGGCAGATGATGAGAAGGAAGGCGAAGAGAAGGAAAGGGTGGACCCGAAAGAGGTGTTGAAGACCGACTCTGAAGTGGGTGCCGAGCATTTCAGGGTAAGGGCGAACAAGGAGATGGAAGAGTACAAGTTTTCGAGGGGAAGGAGCGTGGGGAAGCATGGGAGAAGCGACTCATTACCAGCGGAGAAGAGGGCTTGGGTTATATCACCTGGTAAGTACGTTCTTGTCTTTGCGGACACTGCTGATCTCGTATAGGCATGGGTCATGTCGGAGACCGCTACTATCTTACATAGATTCTCACACCAGTAAGCTTGGCATGTATACACACATCTGCATCGGGCACCTCGAGCAAGATTGAACCGGTTCATAACTGCATTCTGCATCTCGGCTTCAAACTTTCGACACTATTCTCTGTTTTCGTTTGTATCGTATGTATCGACAGATCGGGAGAAAGATCATTTTGGCGCAAAGGCAGGAGAAGGGCGTAATCGTAAAAGGTCGTATAAACATGAAAGATAAACACAAGAGCGATCTGGAAAGAGAAAGATGAAAGGGTATATCAAAGAGCGCGTAAAGAAATGCAGGAAGATGAATGCGAGTGAAACTAGGATGCGATGTGATGGATGTTGAAGACTATGAAATAAGGAGGTATATGAAGGAGACCTGGACAATTAAAGACGTGATAAACCAGAATGGCCGTGAAACGGACGCGAAGAATGACAATTCGGTAAAATCTATAATAACTTATTTTCTTTGTTGTGTTGAGAATTTCGTATACAGTATCGTAGTGAAGAGAGAGAGAAAAAACATAATGGGTGTACAGCCAAGCCGTCGGTCGTTACGGGCGGGAGGTGGAGTATGATGAGCGGCGTTACACTCGCCTTCTTTTGATAGACACCCTCGACACCTTCTTCTTCGCCGAGCCCTTCTTCGCGCTTCGCCTGGTCTTCCTTCCAAGCACAAAGTCATCATCACTATCATCATCCGGCTCTTCCGCCGCACTCTCATCAGACTCATAGTCTTCGTCCATGTCGTCCTCGGGGGTACCCTTTTGAATTCGCTTCCCGTCACCAAAGTGGACGTTGGCGATACCCAGACCGACCGCGTTGACGCTCTGGCTCTCTTTCCGGTCCTGCCAATGCTTGGGAGGAGTCGTCAGGGTGATATTCTCCGTCGAGCTATCCCCATTCTCCTTGTCCTCGTGCGCATACATGGGATGAACCTGGTGAGCCTGGTGGTACCCTCGACCCATCATCAAGATGGGCTTGAACTGCGGGTGGTTCCACTCGGTGGCGGGCGTGATGGGGGTGGGGTACATGCCGTTGGGTTGGATAGGCGTGAGGGCCTGTATGGGCATGGGCATCTGATGCTGCTGGTTCTGGTAGACGTGGATAGGGGGCAGGTTCTCGGTCATGCCGTGGGTCGGTGTACCGTGAATCATGGCAGAAGCGTTGGAAGCACTGGACGCGCCAGAAGAATAGATGGTGCGGCGCTGGTGACTCATGGGAGGAGCAGGGAAAGGCATCGGCTGACCCCAGTGCCCGCCGATGGCCTCCCCATCCTCAGGAGTATGCTTTTCAACTGTCTCTGGCGTGGAATCCTGGTCGGCACCGACAGACGTCTCGCGGCTGATGATTTGCTTTTCAAGCTCTTCCAGGTCTTCGTCTTGGCTTTGAGCACTGCCGACGCTGTGGCTCTGGTAGGTATTGACCTGGCCCCAAGAGCTGACGGTAGGCACAGCAGGCATAGAGTTGAAACGCTGGATGGCAGGCGGAGCACTGTGAAGACGGCCAGACTGCTGATGGTCGGCATAGAGAATCTGGCCGTCGGGACTCGGGAGCGGCAGGTTGGAGCCTTCGATGCTGGTGAGAGGCATGCCGACGGAAACGCCCTGGGGAGGATGGAGCGCAAAAGTAGGGGCGGCATCAACCGAGATGAGCGGCTCGTCCTCGTCGTCGGAATGACCGGAAGGCGTGTGCGGCTGTCTCGAATGGGGAAGAGGGTTTGTAGCAGACCTCGGCATCATGTTGTAGTATTGTCCGCCGTTCATGTGCACAGAGGTGTGGGGCACAGCGAGCTGCGAGGCATGGAACCCTCCGCCGACATTGCCACCGCTCCACTGCGAGGTGTCGTGCGAAGCCCTCGGTTGACCGGGCGCAGAGGCCGACCTGTTCCACATCACTGCTCCCTCACTCGGGAAACGCGGGAGCGGGTAGCCACTCGGGTAGGCGGAGAGTGGACTGGGGTACTGGCTCGGGGTGAGGCCAGTGGAGGGGTGAGGTGAGACGCCTTGCCTCTGACTATGCGCCGAGTGGGGAGCCGAGTGGTGTCCTCCGTTTCCGAATGGAGAGCCGGAGGTGGAGATGGGTGTGAGGTGGACGGGCCCGCCGTGGGAGGAGGGCTGGAAGTGTGGTCGGACAGCCCCTGTTCCCTGGAAGAAGATGGGCTGATGGGCACCTGGAGGTCCTCCGAATACCTGTCCGGGGAACCCGCCATGGAAGGGGTACGCCGCGCCCTCCGACGGGTGAGGAGCGGCGAATCCGTGGGGGGCACCGGGGTTCGGGCTGGGGTAGTGGTCGGAGTGGGAAGATCCCTGAGAGAAGAATGACCCAGAGGAGTTTTGAGAAGTGTTGCGGTTGGCAGAGCGCGGCGCAGACGAGGTAGGCGGCGGAATGTCTGGGTGTTGACGCTTGAAATGCTTTAAGAGAGTGTTTCGTCTGGCGAACAGCTTGGTGCAGCCTGGAGCATCGCAAGTGTAGGGGCGCTTCCCGGTGCTGAGATAGTTAGATAGAGTCGAGAAAGAAGATAATGTACTCACTGGATACGTCTATGCCTGGCAAGAGAGCTCGAGTCGGCAAACGCCTTGTGACACGTCTCGCAATGATGAGGCCTTTCTCCGGTGCTGTCGTCCGAGTCAGCGAGAGCTGGAATGCGTTTTTCAGTATACGTACTGGACACGATAATGGACGGTGAGGGCTGATCGTTGGATGAAAGACTTGCCGCACCCTCGATAGTTGCAGATGAACGCTCTATGAGGCGATTAGCAGATGTAGATATGGCCAAAGGCGGGGACTCGCCTGTCGTTGGTGTGGATCTTGAAATGACGGGCCAAGTCGCTCTTCCTGGCAAAGGCCTTGTCACAGGTGCCAAAGGTGCAGACGAATGGGCGAGTATGGCTGCTGTGTCCTCCGCCGGCATTGTTGTGATCGTTCACAAGCTGCAAGCGGGAAAGCGACAGGGCGTAGAGCAGAGCAAAGAAGACAAACTGTCAGCGGTGTACTGAGGAGGTGAGGGAGGGTAGCAAGGGAGGGCTTGCCACTGGGAAGTGTACCGGCCCAGAGGCAGGCTGGAAGGCCGGGGTGAGGGAGGAGGGACTTACGTCGAGAACGTCCATTGCGAGGTGGGAGACTCTGTGAAGAGACCTTTTGAGACGAGGAAGAGAAAGAGAAAGAGGAAAGGAAAGGCGAGTGATTTTTGGAGTGGCGGCAGATGGCGATCAGGCAAGCGTAAAGCAGGTCTAACTGGGGGGCGGATTGGACGGCTGGGAGGGAGGTGTCTATGCGGCCCAAGCAACGGGTAATCGAGGTGGATATCGAAAATTTGGGTGACGACCGGGGAATGCAGGGGAGTGATGGCGACAGAGAGGCACGGCCATGTGCGAGAGGAGGGTGATGGCAGAAAGGCAAAGTATCGTCAGCCACAGTTTCTGACACGGCAGTGTACGATGCAGCGACGGCTGATCGACTGGTGATGGCAGAGGGCACTTACAAGTCAAGGGCAGTAGGCGGCAGGCGGGTCACAGACGGCGTGGGCCGTGCGATGTTGAGTGATGGATGAGGAATCAACAAGGGCCAATAAGGGCGTCTGTCAAAGCCAATCGTCAGCTCGCATCACCGCAGCTACTTGTACAGCAACGAGAGGGACAAGCTATCCAAAGGAACACAGCTCGGACCCAAATTACCCATGTCGCGAATGCACTACACCGCGCCTGGCTCGGCACATCTACGCAGCATCCGTACTCGCACGGCCAAATATGTCCGTGGGCAGATGGACTACTCACAATGGGTGTTGACCGAGCGAGGGGCCAGGGCGAGCAGGTCACGGCCTAACGAGGAAGGACTGCTCCGCGTGGTCGCAAAGGGGGGTCAGGCCGTATCGGCAGAGCGAGGGGGAGGAACAGTCCAAAGGCGAAACGCGTTACGCCGCAGAGTGGCGCAGGAGAGTATGTAGCGGTGGAGCAAAAGAGGGGTAATAGATAGGGCGAGTGGCAAGCGAAGTGGTGGAGCGAGTGACAGGTGGAGGATAGTGGCATGGGCAGGGGCAAGGCAAGCATTAGCAAAGCAACGACACACCCTAGCCAGTGGCACTGTGGCACTGGTAAGAAACAACTCACGAGAGGCCAGAGCTGACGATATGGGCGGACAAAAGAGCGTGGGGTTGTGCTGAAGCACGAGCAGTTGGCAGGGCAAGCAGGGATAGAGATCAAAGCACAAGCAATAGACCCAGTATAGGTCAAAAGAACAATGAAGAATGAAACACAAGTGGGGAGAACAAGGTCAAAAGGCGAGGCGTGTCTGTTTAGAGGGGAATTTCGGGTGGGCTGTTGAGGGTCAGGATATATAAGAACAATGGGCTGGAGACAATGGGCGAAAACGATAGCGACGCCGGGCTCTGTCCCGCCTGCTGCACAAACAGGTCCTGACTCTTAGAACAGGTTTGGCCGTTCGGCCAATCGGCCTGCCGATAAGGTGTTCGGAGCATTATTACCCTATGATGGGTCGTTGCGCAGAAGGGGCAGACGAAGCAGACAAAAGGCAATCCACCGCCACCTCCTGCCTTATTGTGGTTAGGCTGCACTTCACTCTCTTGTCAACGATTTCCCTGTGCCTATGTCCCGGAGGAAACAGCAAGTGGACCCTGTAGGAAATGGGTGGAGCTTGCGTGCTCGACTTTTCTATTGTTCAGTCCGCCCGCACGAGAAGGACGCACGTCCAGCGTCAGTGCTCGCCAACACTCATGGCCCCACGCACACCACATGTCCCCACACTCTTTCCCTCCCATGCAATCTACATACTCATCCCCCAAGGCCTCACAGCAATCCGTTCTCACATCACTCGCTCGTCGCTCGTCGGGCGGCCGGCGGCAGCCTCAATTGTTCCGCATCAATTGCCTCTTCTGTCTCTCCTAGGGTACCCAGGGTCCGAGACATTCTGTGACTGGGCCGAATACAGGATAGATCCGGTTACAGGCACAAGCCCTTGGTCGACTGGGGTTATTGGGTTGTTCTTTATCTTCCGAAAGATACGAACGCACGGAAGCGGTAATAGTCAATTACGATTACGGGAGCAGCTGGATTAAGGTCGTAGAGTACGAGTACGACCCAGATTAGGCTGCGACGAACACGAGTCTCTGCCCCTGCAGTAAGGAACTCACTAGGTGTATATCTCCATTTTAACGGGTGTCCAACCTACAGTCCCTGTACACTGCAATCCATCTCCTATCGTCTGCGAAGGGACCGGAGACGGCGTACGAGCCTTTGATCCGGCTTGTCCTCACCCTCTCCGTCTGATGCCCAGCTTGCTCATCAATCTCACAGCCCCCCTGGTGCGCTGAAACGCAGTGGCTTGTCTCTCTTGTACGAGCGTTTTTGTTCTCGAAATTGGATACAGATTTCTATTGTTCTTTCGGACCCCGAGCTGGCGCGCGCGTCGGCTTTTCCTGCTTCTATGTCTTGGAGCACTCACAGTTTCCTCTTCGAGAAAGACCGCCCCAGTCGCCCCACGCCCAGCATCATACGCTACCGGTCCCAAACGCGTCCATGATCACGTACACCGTCTCAATATGGCAATAAAGAGACATCACCGAACGCTCAAAGAAAAGATGGTTGTCACTAGCTCGGGGTGAGGTGGAGGGTCAAAAAAGCCGAAATCTCACGTCAGCCAGCATATTACTCTTTTGGGCGATTGTGCCTGCAGGCACGTAACGCGTGCCACGCGCGTTTCTCCCGTTGACTTTTCTTTTCCTCGTTTACCCACCGCACGCCCTGCCTCATCCTCTGGCCGTACCCTCTTGGACCTCTGGCGCGGCCGTCGACAGCATGGTCACAACCCGCCGCGACACTACGCCAGTTCTCGACCCACTCTCCACATGGTGGACGACGTCCAGCCCCGGCACGACCTGCCGAGGCCCAGCGCTACCATCTGATTTCAATAACGCGCCATCACGATATCACACCAAGTTCAAGTGTGGAATACGTCCCCGTCCTCTCTACCCTGCACCCGGGTGCCTCGCATTCTTATGCATCATGCTGTCTCTGGCCCTCTGGGCTTAATAATGGCATACTTTTTGGGTTTCACTAGAATCGCTCCTTGCAATACGCGAGATCAGACCTGATAAGGGATAAGTGAAGCCGACATGTAAGGCTTGCACATCCGCTACTGGCCGTCGGCGATTGAGCGCGGTAGCTCACAAGTTGATTGTCTCAACGTAAAGATCTCATGATAGTGCAGATCTTGGCCACATACCATCCATGTTGTCTGTCTATCGCCCTGCTATCGCCGCATGTTAATCATGCGACGCGACCTTGTCCCTGGGATCCCTGGCTCTTGTTCGGTCCTCTTGCAGCCTATGTGTATAGGGTGTATATTTGGAGCGCCTCACCGCTTATTACATAGCACTATTCAACGAAGCAGGGTGGCAGGATCAAAGTCTGGCAATACCCGACGAGCGACGGGGACCCTTTGACGACGACCGATGAAAAGCTGAAACAAACCAGACATCGCTCGCTCTTCAACCCGGGAGCAGGGCAGGGCTTCCGACCTCCGAGACCTCACCCCTGCCCCCCCGACAGCCGGCAATACGTATGCTGATGAGGACCGCGGTGATGGCAGTTCTCGACAAGACATCCATCAACCATCAATCACCTATATTTTGAGACTACTGCGCGAACGACTCGTTAAGGCTGATGAGATAGTCGTACGCTTCTTTCGCCCCTCCGGCGCCGCAAGAACCGGTCAATTCCACGTTTCCAATTCCGCAACTTCCGTATACAAATGGCGCATACAGATTGCCGGAAGTGGCAAGAAAAGATACGAGACTAGGCATACGCGTAATAAACGAGCATGGATCACACCCGGGTGGAGATGAGATCTTTTCGGCCACACCTCGGGCTGCAATCAATCATCTTCTGTGCTTCTGCCAACGGTTGCCAAGTGTTTTCCTGCCATAGTTAGCACAAGCAGTTAAGGATACCGAACGCACAAAACTTGATCAACCACACGGACACGAAAGGGATGGCAAAGATACAGAGATGCGTGGTCACTAACCTCGACCGGCAAGAACAAGCATATTATGATCCCGGTCCGGGAAATGTGGAAGGGCCCCATCTGCAGCTATCTGCCCCGCATACCCCATGCCCCCATATGAGGGCCATGATCCATAATCAATAGTAGTCAGCATATGCAGCATATGTACTCGGACTACTCATATGAAGTTAGCTAGTCTGCAATTCATGTATGTATAACCAGATCACGCCAGGCTGGTCCGAGTTTCCTCACAGACTAAACCATGTAGATCGTCGACTGATCGGTGCTACATCTCGATCTCTTTGGATAGAATTCTGATTCGTGAATCGGGCCCGTGATAAACCAAGTAAACATGGTGTGATCGTCTCCCGTTGTCGAGCTTGCTGGTAGTACAGGCTTCCACCTGTTCCATACGGCACTCTACGGATCATGATCTGAACCAAGAACAGACCCTCCCACCGCCGCTCACTAGGACTCCACCTGAAATCCTTCCGCTCCACAGTAATCCTTTTGGCGCTATCTCTCGGGTCTCCGAAATCCTCGCATCCGGCTTTTGCCTTTCTACAACCGGCTCTGGTGCAAAACGATAGTCTTGATCGAGTTGGACTTGAGCTGGTCGGTAGCATTCTGCATGCTGATTTCCGAGTTGACGTTCTTGAAATCCCATACCTACAAGACTCTTTCAGTATCCAGCCCATAACGCATTCGAGTACTCACGCGTTTGTACAGAAAACCTCCAGCAGCGACCTGGAACGCCCAGCCGACGCTGGTGATTGTTCCAAAGACGGCGGCAAGGATGTGTCCTTGGCTAAACATGGAGACGGTGTTGATCAGGCCAGCAGATCCCGTAGCTGTGCAGGTCAGCTCAGTTTACAGGCCGACAAATGAAAGGTGCGTACAAGGTATGCCGATAAACATGTACACAGAGTACGCCAAGTGGAAGCCAGCAAAGAGAAAGTAGATGTCTGTCTCGTCAACACGGGCCAAGTTGAGTCTTGAGATGACTTACAGAAAAAGACGGCCATAGCCTTTCCTTCATTCCTGCAGTACCCAAGATATATCGGTCGGAACCAAAGGATAAAGGAGGTAAGGGTGATAAAGACAAGGTAGCTCGCAGAGCTAGCCATATCGGCGCTGCCTCCAAGTCAGCCCAAGCTTGTCACATCCAGATACGGTACTCACCCTCCCTCAGAGCTTCCAGAGATTAACAAGAATATACACCCCAACAAGTTCAAGATGAGTGTCGCGACAAGGGCGTACCATTGGTACCCGATCAATGTGATTGTCTGCCTCTTGGCGGCGTCCTGGATTATACTGGGATCGTAGTGTACAAATGGGTAAACTGACAGGCTGTCAGTAGCTGCCTGGGTACCACAGCAAGATGACTCACGCGGTGGCCAGTTGTTTGCATATGTTCCTGTCTCCTGCTGTCTCCTCTCGAATTCCTGCTCTCGCCTCGCCAGCTCCTCTTCCCTCTTCCTGAGTTCATCCGCCTTCTGATTCGCCCCCGCACCAGCAGTGTATCCTCCTCCGTATCCATAGTCCCCATAAGCATTTGTCGTTGATCCGCTTGCGCCACCGAACGAGGCGAGGGATTCGTTGGGCTGGGCAGTGAACGGGTCTTTGGTGGAGTCGGCGAAGGGGTCGGTGTCGAGGGTAGCATGGGCGGTGTTGTCTGCGAATGGGTCTGCCTGGTTGTAGGACATTTTGGATGGTGAGGATGCAGAAAAGTGAATGCGCAAGAGACTCTGAGAGTGACGCACAGCACCACAACAACGGAACCAAATTCAACCTCCACCAACCGCGATCCAAAGAATTCCGGCTGTCAGCAACATTTCTGCTCAAGAACAACATGAGCGCGTTTTTGAAGAACCTGAGGCATCTCCTGCCCTTTGCGAAGCCCAAGGTGAGTACCGTGGAGCGTTGCATGGACAGCGCTGACGAGGGACAGGGGCTGGCAGGCTACGATCTTCAAGGTGAAGCCTCCACTCTGACTGACCACCGCAACCACTGACGGCAATGGACAGGGAATCGTTATTTCGAACTCCCGAATCCCATGGGCGGGCGACTGAAACGGTCAGTAGAATACGCCATCAACCGAGATATTGCAGAGTACGGTCGGGCAGAGTTGAAACCACCAGGTATGTCTGCCATGGCCGTCTTTCTACATTGCTGATCGGCTCAGTGCAATGGCGAGCCTGGCTCTCCCATACACGAAGTGACCCCCCCTCCCGCCAAGAGCTTGAAAAAGATCTCTACCGCCAAAACGACCTGCTCCCAAAGATTGCCGCTATCGAAGCGCGCGAACGAGAAGAACGCATTCGTCAAGGGTATCTCTTGCCCGACGGCTCCGAGCCAGAAAAATCAGATGTCAAGCAGGTGACTGCGCCATCAGAAATCAGTGGAGAGAGGAGGGCGCAGACGCAGAGGTTTATCGACGCTTCGAATGCGTCGAGGGCGGGGACGAAGGAGGCCGAAGCAGTGTGGCGAGAAAAGTCGGCGCCTGCCTCGGAGGTGGCGCCGCCAAGGAGAACTATCGACCCTACGACAGCTTCTCCAGAAGAGTTGAGGAAGCTTGCGGAAGAGGACACCAAGAGGCGTATAGCGCAGACTGAAGGGGCGCCAGAGGTGGCCAAGAAGGGCGACGTACAGTCGGTCCGGTTTGGCGAAGGCGGCCTCGCTCCCAAAAGACGAGGCGGCAAAAAGTAGAGCACCATCCACATTCATCAGTTGTACAGGGCATACCGGGTCAAATATATGCATACAGATATAATCGCACATGGTGGAATGGTGGTTTCGTCGTTCAATCTTCTCTTCTCTTTCGCGCCCATGCTCTCAGACTCGCCGGCGACAGAAAGAAACTCTTGGGTGATCCTTCTTTCGGTTCTTGCCGGCTGGCAGCTTCTGGCATATCAGTCCAGCTCTCGCTAAAGCCCGGCGGCGGCGGTGGAAAGAATTCGAATTCGGCAGTCTCGGGCAAGGGATGGCGGTAACGCAGCAGTTGCAAGATGAGGGACATGCCTTTCCGTGACTATCCGCTGATTAGCTCGAGCCCCATACATGTAAGAGCCACCCACTGTCTCTGAATTGCCCTCAAATTTGCCCAGGCCATACGACTCTATCCGCTTCCGTATGAGACTTGACCATGTCCCGCCTAGGTATGACCGGACCTCGGCGGTCGTGTGATGTAGCGTTGTCCTGGGCTTCGTCAGCGCTATACCTCCATGAGAGAGACGGTACTTACCCATTGGGCCCAGCTCTCAGATCCCCACCCTCAATCACATGCATCGCCTTTCGGTGATTTAGATTCCCCTGCTGCATTCTCAGTCTCGGCTGCTTCCCAAAGTCCTCTCCCTCCGCCCCAAGATCCTTTCTCCCTTTACCCCATCCGGGGGGATCCACAATGCTCTCCTCGTATATCCACGCATCCAGCCCACTCCCACCTGATGTGGCGCTCGAAGGCAGCCATCTTGTCGCCCATTTGGGCAGGATGCCGCGTTTTAATATCAGCCGGGTCGTGTGTATGCGGCCCGTCACAGGGTCAACTGTGCGGTCAAGGACGTCGACGGAGAGGACATGGCGGGCGAATGGGTTGGGATAGCGGAGGAAGAAGGCGAGGAGGGATGTGGCCGGTGGTTCGGGGCTGAGGAAGATGGTCAGCGGAGGTCGCGTGGGGGAAGAGGGGCTCACTAGGAGTGGGTCTTTTTGTATACTTGAACCATTGGGTGCCCAGGGGGGCTGTGGGATGGATGGATGGACAGGAGACGGATGGCGCTGGGAGTGACCGGAATGCGAACTTTGTGAATTGTAACCCGAAGACGGAAAGTTGCTAATACGTAAAATGAGCAGCTCTGATTTCCCATCATCTCTTATTTGTCCACCGTCTCCACTCGCCGTGTCTTTGCGCATGCATGCATATGCATGCGGCGTGTGAGTGGCTTGGGCAGTACACAGTGCATTCCTCTCCCCTTTGTATGGATGGTATACATGCATGCAGCTTGTAAGTGTGCGTTGAAAGCGTGCTTCCATTCGTCGCCACTTCATTCAACGCGAGCTGTACCTGGATGATTCTTGGTATGCTCTCGGTGTGTCCACGCTTCAAGCACTCTCTGCCGTGGCCATGCACTATCGGTAGCGGTATATGCACTCGACGCCGCCTGGTCCGATGCATGGGTGTGACGGTGTGTCCTGTGCACTCAGGGTTGAGTGACGGGTACTCGGACGCACCGAAGGCACCACCAAGCAAACAGGGAACAAAAGAGTCTGAGGGTCAGTCGTTGCAGAGCGGGTATCTGCTTCTTGCATACTTTTCCTGCAGTCCCCCCTTGCCCCCCTGTCCCACTGGCACGTCGCGCCTTACAACCCACCATGGCCTATTACCATCGCCCAGACGACCATTGTCAGACAGGCTACAGTTACCAGCAATCCACTTACTCCCAGCCAGACTCTTATCACTCATCCTCCCTCCCGCACCCCTCATCCTCCCCATCCCCCGCCGGCGGGTACACCACTTCTCACCACACCCCCTCGCCCACCACCAGGGCAGCCTACCCAGGGTACTACCAGCCACAGCCCACTTCATCGTCTCTCGACTCGCATACGATGATGTACGGCAGACCCAGTCCTGCTTCAGGGCAGCAGACCTATGGCGGAGGTGCCGCACCGGGAGAAGTGTTCAGAGGGCCTGGCGCCGCTGCACCTCCCATATCCTATAATCCCCCTCAGCCTCAGCTCCAGCCCCGCCCCTCCTTCTCCTCTCACCACTCGGACTATCCTGACGACGGCAAGTCCTACACCTCCACAACACACTTTGCCAATCAAAAGGAATGGGACGTTGGTAACGTCGTGCCTGCTATGCCTCAGCAAATGCCACAGCAGAGGCAGCCGTATCAGTACCAGGCGTACCCTCCTCCTCAGTCTGCGCCCTCGCCGAGATTTGCTGCTGGCGGCACCTCACATTGGCATGCTATGCGCAATCAGCTCCTCGAGCGACGAGTCATCAAGCAGATCCCACTCACCAATGGGAACCTCGTCATGGACGTCCCTGTTCCAAAAGGAGTCATCCCTAGTACCAAAGGCTTAGGTACGCAGGATGGCGAGATGGATAGTATGCGCTACACTGCGGCTACGTGCGACCCAAATGATTTCATGCGAAGCAAGTTTAATCTCAGGCCTTATCTGTATGGAAGAAGGACAGAGCTGTTTGTGAGTGTCTTGCACGATGAATTGGGCAAGGCTGATGCACGCAAAGATTGTCATGACAATGTACAATGAGAATTCAGAGCTGCTCCTCCTCACCCTCAACGCAGTCATCAAGAACATCGCCCACCTCACCACCCGCACGCGATCCAAGACTTGGGGGCCCGACTCTTGGAAAAAGGTTGTCGTATGTATCGTTGCCGACGGTCGAAAGATTGTGGACCCAAGAGTTCTCAAGGTGCTTCAGTTGATGGGCGTTTATGCCGAAGTGAGTGCTCTGCAATACGACAGCTGAAATACTGATCATCTACCAGGGTGTCATGAAAGATCATGTCCTCGACAAAGAGACCGAGGCTCACATTTTCGAGTATACTTCTCAAGTCGTCGTATCTCACGACGGTGAAGTTGGTTTCGGTACAACACCAGTCCAAATGATGTTTTGTCTCAAAGAGTGAGTACAGCATCTTCTCGAGCCTGCTGACGTGTGACAGAAAAAACAAAAAGAAGCTCAACTCTCATCGCTGGTTCTTCAACGCCTTTGGCCCTCTCATCAAACCCAACGTCTGTATTCTCCTCGATGTCGGAACAAAACCATCCGGCACATCCATCTACGAGCTGTACAAGTGCTTTGAGAAACACGCCAACGTGGGCGGCGCTTGTGGCGAGATTTACGCAGATACCGGGAGGTGGGGCAAGAATCTTTGGAACCCGCTGGTGGCAGGGCAGAACTTTGAGTACAAGATGAGTAATATATTAGACAAGCCGTTTGAATCAGTGTTCGGATTGATCTCAGTTCTTCCGGGTGCATTTTCAGCCTATCGGTCAGTAACAATGCTATAAATCAGATCCTTGCTAACGTCTACGCAGCTACGCCGCCGTATGCAACCATCCAGACGGCACCGGTCCCCTCGCCTCCTATTTCAAAGGAGAAGCCATGCACCAGCCCGGAGCTAAAGCGACTATATTCGACCGCAACATGTACCTCGCCGAAGACCGTCTCTTGTGTTACGAGATCACCACCAAGAAGAATGCCAAGTGGAGACTGCAGTATGTCAAGAGCGCCAAAGCGGGGACCGATGTGCCGGCCACCGTGCCAGAGTTCATCTCGCAGAGGAGAAGATGGTTGAATGGGTCGATCTTTGCGGCGACTTATTCAATCGTCTGTTTCTGGAGGATCTGGACGAGCGGACACAATATCATCCGAAAGTTCTTGTTGACTATTCTGGTCATCTATAGTAAGCGCTTGCAGGGTATCAGACGGCTGCTGACAGAGAATAGATCTCATCAACCTGATTTTCAGCTGGCTGTCAATCTCTTCCTTTTACCTGGCATTCTTCTTCCTTATCAGCTCTTCCATCTCTGGCGACTCGGACCCGTTTGGCGGAGCAGGAGATGAAATTTTTCAAGTGTTCAACAAAGTCTACATTGGTCTCATGTGCGTATGGTTGCCGCTGTATACGCATCTGCTGATTGCATCGTCAGTTTCGTGGTCCTGGTGTGTTCCCTCGGTAACAGACCCCAAGGTTCGAACTACATGTATACCATTTGGTAGGTTCTCAGCCTGTACTCGTCGCCACGCTGACAAGCTATACAGCATGCTGCTGTTTGCTGTCTGTCAGGGGTTGCTGCTATACTGCGCTGGCTACACTGTCTACCAGACAGTGCCTCACACCGCCGATGGCTGGAAGGATGTATCAGCGCTGTTTGACAACAAGACCTTTGTCCAGCTCGCTTTATCCCTCATGGTATGATATCCCGTGCTTGTTTCTACACACGCTGAATACCTTTAGGCAACATATGGCCTCTACTTGGTCTCTTCGATCCTGTACTTTGAGCCTTGGCACATGCTCACCTCATTCGTCCAATATCTCCTCCTCCTCCCTTCTTACGTCAACATACTTCTCATCTACTCCATGTGCAACCTCCACGACGTATCCTGGGGTACCAAAGGTGATAACGGTGCTTCTAAGGACTTGGGCCAGGCTAAAAAGGTGGAGAAGGACGGAAAGGAGATGCTGGAAGTGGCGTTGCCGACAAAGCAAGAGGACGTAGAGGCGCTTTGGCAGCAGGCAAGGCAAGAGCTGAGGGTGCCTGTCAAGGAGAAGGAGGAGAAGAGGAGCGCAGAGACCAAACAGGCCGACGGTAAGTTCGCCTCGTAAAATGTCAAGGCATGTCTAATGTCAAAACAAACAGACGACCGCAATTTCCGTACCAACGTTGTTCTCTTGTTTATCGGCTGCAACTTGCTCGTCATCTTGCTATTCACCTCGTCAACCTTTACAAACTGGGTAAACTCTCACTTTGTGGAAGCAACCAACACGACATTCAACCCTTACTTGGTCAGTCATGCTTCTTGGACCAAAGCTCTATTCACGCTAATATCGTCATCACTGCAGACCGTCATCTTCTACGCTGTTTTGGGACTGTCAGCCCTTCGATTTGTTGGCTGTGTTTTATACCTCATCTTCCGTCTCTGTGGATACTAGGGCTTTCATGACTTCATGACTGTGTGTTCGAAACAGAATAGCAAGGATCTTCTAGCTACCGCGACGGTTTCTTGACACTCCGTATATATGTACCGTACTTCCCATCACCGTGCTTGGAAAGTTTACTGGCTGGGCTGGACCCAAAATGCTCCATATGCATTGAGCCATGAATGAAGTTGATACAGCTGCATGATCAAGTCTTCTTCCATGTCAACAAACATTCCTCACTTCCTCGGGGAAAGAGCAATCTGGGCGAGGAGTCGCCGCGGGTGCTCTATACAGGTACTTCAAATATCCGACGTTGACAGTCATGACGTCTGGCAAACAAAGTCATGCTGGTAGTCTACCCGTGTGACAGCGATGTCTCAGAGATACAGTCAGCAGAACGTTCGGCGGTTGACGACCCGAGGTCTCTTCTGACAGAAAACGAGGAGACCAGGGCAGTCTTCGAGTCCCAGATGCTTTCCTGAAGTCAAAGACGAGGGCCTCCACGGGTCCCTCGAGGTCTCTGGAAGAGGGTCTGAAGCACTCGATCAGCCAGCAGGGGCCGACGAGGTGGGACATCGTAAACAACAACGGTGCGACTACTCAACGACTACTCGTACAAATACCTCTTGGATTCGAGTTCTAATTGCTTGCGCCACACACCTTACAGAAGAAAAAACAAAATGCCTGAATGTAGACAAAAAACACACCTATCGGATGATGCTGTACCATGATCATATGCATACAGAAATATTGCCGTAAAAAGCAAAAGCAAAAAAAAACTGCTCCGGTGAGGGTCGAACTCACGATCTTCCGATTATTACGTAAGCACGCAAAGAAGTGTGGGATTTAACAGTCGGACGCCGTAACCAACTTAGCCACAGAGCATTCGTTCTTTTGTGAAGATTGCACACTACAAGTCCTACAGCCCGTCTGCCTTCAAGCAGCGTCTCTCATTCTCGTTCTCAACTGCCTTGCAAACACCCCTCGAACGCACGCCCACGGCAAAGGATACCCAGCGTATACACCGACTCAGTCCACACTCCATTGACCCTCCGCCATCCACTTTGGCAGCAACAATGCATCTCCGCTCCTAAGAGTACTTCAAAGCCCGTCGAGTCGCCAGCACCCGCTCCTTTCTTGGGATAGCCAGGGGACATCCGATCCTTTGATCCGACCCCTCCCCTTGTAAGCTTGTAGAGCACGCATGCGTGGGGGCGCAAGTACAAATATCCCGCTTTACCACCGCCAATCGAGTCCGAGAAACGTGTCTACTAGGCTACGATTCACCTGTGATCCACCTCTTCGACGCTTTGTGATACGCAACCCTGCTGTAGGCCCTTACAAGATGGTCATGGATCAATACGAACGCTTGAGTGACGTTTTGAAGGTGTGTATTCACTTCCCCAATGGTGATCTCACTGACTGTACGCACAGCTCTCTGCCCACGTCACGCGAGTCCTAGGTCAGAATCCTGGACAAATGACCTTGCAAGGTACAAACTCTTTCCTTCTTCAGCCTCCCTCGAACCCCCACGCTCCTCTCATTCTCGTGGATACCTCCTCCCCTCACACGGCTCAGCAATATGTAGATCTTCTTTTCCTCCACCTCCACCATTTGGGCCTCGAGTCGGGGATCCGAGAAACGCATTTTGAAAGTGCCGCTGCCCAGATGACTCTGCGGAACTTTAAGGAGGAGAACCGGGAAAACGTCCAGAAGATTGTCAAGGAGCAGCGTGATTTCGATCCTTGGAGAGACCATACCGGTCTCGTAGAGTATGGACCGGGCAGCTCCTGGGTCAAGGATTTTGATGGCAAAAGCCATGAGCGAAAGCTTCCCGTGGTTGAGCATATCGTTCTCACCCATCGACATCTCGACCACGTCGGCGCCCTACCCCTCTTGCTCAAGACTCTGAAAGAACACGGCTGTCCCCCACCCAAGTTGTGGAAGTTTCCATCTCCGGACGAAGCCGAGTTGAACGCTTCCGATCGAGACCGCCCCAGCTCTGACTCGTCCATCTGGCAATCTCTTCCTCCGGGCACATACACTCCCCTCTCCCCCTTCCAGCCTTTCCACCCTATCCTTCCCGGTCTCATGATCTCCATCATCGATCCCAGATACCGCAGTCTGCTCAAATACGACAAAGATGGGCGGGCAAAGTGGAATGAAGTGCCCGAGATCGCGAGGGTCAGTGTGCGATGTTTGAGGACGCCCGGACATACAGCGGATAGCGTCAGCCTGGTCTTGATGGAAGGAGAGAAGGGTGTCTTCACTGGAGATACGGTGCTGGGACATGGTACTACACAATTCAACGACCTCTCCTCCTGTAAGTCTGGCCTTAGTCTTCGCTCAAAGCTGACGGTCCGCAGATATGACCTCCCTTCGTACTCTCCTCGCGCTCAAGCCCAAAGTTCTCTACCCCGCCCACGGAAACCACCTCATCGGCCCCAAGAAGTGTCTCGAGCACATCCAAACTTATATCGCTCATCGACAGACGCGAGAAGACGAGATTGCCACTCTGCTTCAGCGTTTTTCCAAGGGCAAAGAAGAGAGTCTTGCCGAGGCTCTCCTCGAGATGAAGAAACAATTGCACGAGAAGAAGGAGGCGGACAACAAGGAGAAGGGACCGTTGATGTTGGATCGCAAGAAAGCTGTGCCTCTCCCATCTTTTGACGAAGAGCGCAGAAGACTCGAGTCTCTTGCTCGACTCGACGGTGTCTTGCCCATGAGCATCATCACCCGCCTTCTTTACAAGTCCGAAAACGAGCGTCTCCTCTTCGCGGCGTCCAAGAATGTCAACGCACATCTGGAAAAGCTCATCAAAGAGGAGAAGGTAAAGAAAGGACAAGTAACAGTTGTGAGACTTGTCGAAGGAAATGTGGAAGAGGAGAAGGAAGACACTGATGGCTGGGAGTGGGTTGGTGCGATGTAGGATAGTATTAGATGAAACCTGATTAATGTAAATCATATGGTCCTACATTATTATGTTACAAAGAGTCTATAGCCTGCACCAATCCCTGTCCCCGGCATACATTAGTATCCCAACACATTTCGAAGGACGAACGACGCCACATCCTCCGTTTTGATGCTGTCAGGAAGATTGTCATCCCCCGCCTTGTAATTCAGAGCCGGGGGCTGGTCCTGTGGCATGATTAGCATGTAATTTGGCAGCGGGATATAGTGGGACGAACACAATATATATGCCAAGCATCTTGAGTCTCCTGGAGATTTATGGGTCTGACCTACAGACTGGTCAGTGATTGCAAAGCAGTTAGAAGATAGATACTCACATTCCACGAATCCCTGACCTGTCTCTCTGCCTCTCTCTGCCCTCTCGTCGCCTCGAATTGTTTTCTCTCGTCCGGTCTGTGCCTTGTCAGCTCCTACAATCTTTCAAGCACGATAAGCCTCACGTCATAGCCCATCCATCTCCTCGATCGCCCTTCCCTCTTCTCGATTGTTTGTCCCTCTCTTCTTGGTCCTTCGAACCCTCATTGACTTTTTTGCCGTCATCAGTCTTGGCATGCCTCAGCGACCCCATGGTTTGTTTGAGCAGGCTCGGGACACTCCCTGTAGCAGCTTTCATCTTGGGTGTGCTCGAAGCCGGCGTAGATCCATTGCTCTGAACAGGACGCTTGGCATTGACTTTCTTGACAGGAGGCTTTGCACCGGCGGGCGTCGAGGACGCCGGGGACGAAGTAGGAGTCGTTTTGGCAGGAGCCCCGGAGGAACTTTCGAGTTTCGCCACAGCTTTGGGTTTAGGCTTGGGCTTTGCCGTCACTCCGGTAGCAGCTTTCGTCGACGACTTGGCATGTGCAGGCGTACTTGAAGGATGGCCGGGGGTTTGTTTCTTGTGGGGTACAGATTTCGCTGATCGTCTCGGTGGCGAGGGTGTTGCTGACGCTCTAGGAGAAGATGGCAGCGGCTTGGCTGCGGGGGGTGACGATGAGGGCGCGCGGATAGTAGCAGAGGGTTTATTGCGGCTCACTGAGGGGGTGGATGCAATGTCCTCATCAGACTCGTCTTCTGAAAGGATCTGCTGTCGGCTCTTCTTCTTCTTTAGGCCGACAGAACGCTTCAAGGATTCTGTTTTCGACTCTTCTTTGGGGAGCTGCTCCGTTGCCTTTGGCGCTTGACCCTCTTCCTCCTGCTCTCTGGTTTTGGGCCGTTCGTCCGCAGCAATACTTCTATCCTCGGCCTTCTCTGTTGCCGTACCGGTCCCCTCCTCTGTCTCCATTTTCTCTGGATCTTCCCGAACTATCCCCATTTTGGGCCTCTTCACACCCTCATCAACATCGCCCTCGGTCATATACCCCGAAGTCCGCTTTCCCTGCTTCTTTCCCTCTTTCTCAGGTTGACCGGGTAGATCGTCTTGGTCGAGCGGTAAGCCAGGGGTAGAAGTCTTGTCGGTAGCCCCAGTCATGAGCTTGACGTTCTCCTTTCGGGGCTCTTTTCGCTCCCTGGCATCGGACAGGGGTTCAGGCAGTTTCTCGGGCACAAGCTCCGCCTGAGGCGAAATGGGCTCTGCTGGAACGGGCTTGGGTTTTGCTGGGACTGACATAGAGTCGGCTGTGACGGGTATGGGTTCTTCTGCAACGACACCAGGGTTCGGCAAATGGGTTGATTTTGACAAGTCATCGGGAAGCGACCCAGGAGGTGGCGTATCATTCCTCGGGGCTTGTGGGGTAGGAGCAACCTCGAGCGCCGGGCTGACCGTCTCGCTTGGCGGCTCAATGCTCGACTCGGGTATCCTCTTCCGCGCACCCCTGCCTCGTGGTATTGACTCTGCCTCCTTCTTCAGATCCAAATCCATCTCGTCCGCTCTCGAAGCATTCTTTGCTTTCGGAATTTCCTTGCTCTTCACCCTCGAGGGACGGGCTTTGACAGTGGAGGCCTTGACGGTCACTTTGGGGGTCGGGACCGGTGGTGCCGGTTCTTCTTCAGTTTCAGACTCTTCATCTGATTCTCCATTGGATTCTTCGTCCGTTTCGGGGGGAGGGCTCAGCGAGGAGTCACTTTCGAAGCCAGACATGAGGGACCGCTTGTCTTCGGTATTCGACTGCGCGAGGTTCGTGGCCGCTGGGGCTGGTTTCTCTGGAGGAGCCACTTCGAGCGATTTCGTCGCCGATTGACGAGTGCGTGTCGACTTTCTGGTGGGAGGTTTGGAGGCCATGGGGGACAGGGCTGCAGCGAGGGGATTGTAAGAAGTGATGAAGTAGCAATGAAATGCGATTGTTATTGCCCGCACCATCATCATCAAGCGCGCCGACAGTAGAAATACGTAATACGGGCACGGCTACTGTAATACCAGGCCACCATTCCAGCCAACAACATTACAAAAGAAGAAACGACTACACTTGCTTGCTGATGCAACTATTCAACTATGCATATAAGTCTAGGTCCGCAAGCCCTATTGAAGAGGCCCGACATATTATTTTTCTTGCTGAGGTGCGTTGTGCATATGCTGCTGACTGACTGCTGTACTTCTGTATGATCTCGTTAATACTATGATGACATCGTCCTGCCAGATAACAGCGAAGAACTGTACTCTATAGCGAGAGACAGAGGTCGTAGAGTCCGGCTCAGAATGTCATGTCGACACCGCTTGGTCTGGAACATCGTCGTGACTATTGTCTATGCCATCGGGGTCTTTGTTAATATCGGCCACTGTGATGTTACCACGGGTTATCCTGCCATCCTGTGAATTGAAAGTTAGATCAGCAAGGGGAAGACTACACGTCCTTGGGGAATATTAGCAATTTACAATGATGATGATCATCAATACTTACAATCATTGTCATGGCAAGCACATTGAGTCGCGATACATGTTCTTCAACTTCCCCAGCATAACCAAAGGAGTCAGCGAGTTGACTTTCATCATCTGAGTACTCCACCAGCACTTGAAGGCAGATCGATATCGTTGCCAGAAGCCTGGATATCGGTCAGCGCGTGATCAAACAAGTATGACCTACTCAAGGATTTCTTGCAGTGTTTCCGCCGAGGTCTTGTCGATACCACGTCCTCTGCAGTCGATGATGTGCTTTAACGTGCGATCCAATAGAAAGGCGATGTCGTCGACCTGGATAAACAATCAGGATCCATGAGTCAAAGCAGATAGGAACGACAGTCTCCAGAATCTTCTCTCCCAGAACATTGTCTTGCATCGCCTCAACGATACCCCAGATGCCCTTGGGGTTGAATAGCTGCAATGTTATGTCATCAAGATCGCTGTCCACCCGGTGCAGCCAAGTGGGGACATTTCTTCTCTTGTGAGGGGGTGGGCCTGAAGCTGATCGCGCCAGAGGGGCCGTGCGCGAGCTGGCAGACGACACATGAATGATGCAGATAGTACCCTCTCGGTGGGATCCGCAAACTTTGGAGACGGGAGGTATCCTGGAGGTTCTTTCTTTTGACGAAGGTATTGTTACTAGGCAATTAGATGGACACAGGGTGGGACTCACTTGCATGTCGCTGACAACTCCACCACCCGCTCTACCCGCGCCACACACTCTTCCGCTTTGGTGACCCATTCGGGCGTCTTGATACGGAAGTGGAGGGGGACGTCCAAGACCAGGTCGATGAGCACAGTGCGAATGGATTGACAAAGTCTTGACGGCAGTTCAGCCTAGACGATCAAAGACAACCAGGTGTAAGCTCACAGAGTGACTCTGGGTAAGTTTTCGATCAAAGTCGAAAGTCGCCCGTGATCAGCCTCAAATGCGAGAAGCGATCGCGCGATAACAGAGGCAAGATCATATATTGCCTGCATCTGACCCAGACCATAGATGTAGGGGATATAAGGTGATTGAGTGCTCACGGGTAGCATCAAATTCGTGGCACACGGATCCAACTCTGCAATGCTGCGGCAGAAGTTCGAGACCTCTGTGACGTAGTTTCGGGGGAGATGAGTCGCTCGATGGCACATCCGCAAAGCAGCTGCTAGATAGAGATGACAAACACGAGCAACACGTTTGATCATAATCTGAGCGGCACGCTCGGCGGGTGTAGCGCGGGCGGACATAGGGATGTTATAGTACGGATGCGGTTTGGTTGCGTGTTTAAGAGTCTCATAATGGCCTTTCTTGAACATGTCGAGAGTGTGACAATTGGTTATAGCGGTCGAAGCGTTGTAGTGAGCAGAACACTGCAAGAACGAGGGAAGGTAATGCTCGGCAGTCGTCATGCCGCTGCGCTTATTTGTTCGGACCGTCAGTTTGGCATTTAGGTCGACCGCCCCATGTAACGTTTATCAATAAGAGGTAGTACATTGGTATATCTTCTGAAGACACACCTGACTGCCAATCCCATAGATTAGAGACGATACATAATGTCCACGATGTGATTACTACCGAGATCAGTCCAAAAATCTCACTCGTTTGCCTCCTCCTTTCCAATTAATCGTGATTACTTTCTTCCCCACCGCCGCAAAGACGATCCTCGACCCTGTCCCGGCGTCGCCCCATCCCTTGGCCTGCGCTATAGACTGTATAGTCTCCTTGAGCTCATCCATGTCCACTTCTTGGGTATCGCCTGACGAAGCACGAAGGAGAGAAAGGAAAAGGTGGGCAGAAAGGATAGTATCGGAGTTGATGGGTCTGGCCGACTGGAGGCCGGAGGACAAGGCAGATATGGAGGAGGACGAGCTTGGAGATGGTGGTGCCGGGGGGTCAGACTTTGATAAGCGAATGATATGGTCGCTAGCCCGAGGATCAGTATCCGAGCGATGGGGCAGTCGTTGAAATGCTTACACTGAAGAACGTGGATCTTCCGAGACGGTTTCTCCGCCGTTGACACCTTGTCTCATTATATCGCTCCAATGAGCCCATATTCTGGCCTATATCACCGTAAGCTCCGAGCTGCCTGTGGTCAGTAGAGGACTTACAACGCCAGCCTTCACGCCCGCCGACTCCACATCTATGCCATCTGCAGATTTCGCCGAGGCTTCCATAACAACGGGAGATGGTTTGGGTGGGGATACAGCAGCACGTGGTGTCTCCGCCAGAGTATCTTCTTGTGACTTCGGAGGTGTCACCGGGACAGCTGGTGTTGGCGTAGGCGGGGTCTGTACCGGATTTGGGGGCGAAGGCGCCCTATTCAGTCTCACAGTCTCGTCCGCCTGGTCCACTCCTTCTTCCACCAGCACTTCTCGTGGATTGGGAGCCGGAGTCTCATTCACCCTGGGCTCTGACGGGGTCATTTGGCGTTTGCCGAACAACGACGCTGTCAGACCTCTCGGCGCTGAGGGCGGTACACCTCCTGAAGCTGACGCAGCCTGAAAAGCTCGCGCCCTCTCAAATATGCCTTCTCTCAGACCTGTGCCACCCAGTGGCCGAGGAGCTCGAGGGGTAGTCAACAACTTGAGAGGGCTGAACCTGTCGATCCTTTCTGGCCAGTCATTGCGCTCATGTCTGGGTGTAGCATTAACGAGCGAATTCGTCACATGAGGCATGGAACGCCCGGGCGTGCGCGGTTGCGAAGGCATCTGTGAAGATGTGAGTGAAGTTTCGGTGGCTTGAGATGATGATGAAGGTGGTGACTGGGGAATGTTTCGTCCTTGAGGAGGTACGGAATCTTGCGACTCTGTCTGGTTGTCTCTTGCGGCTCGACGAAGAGGTGCTAATTTAGACTCGAGAGCGCGAAGAGCAGCCTCTTCAGCTTTGAGAGCTTCTTCCGCGGAAAGCTTTTCTTTGGGTTCTCCAGATATAGATTCGCCGAGGTCTTTGGGTTGAGCAGGCCTGGGCGATGAAGGAGCGCCAGCAGTAGGTTGGCTCGCCTAGGCATGGACTCAGCTAAATATCACCCATGCGTGAACCCAGTCCTATACGTACCTCTTCGATAAGCATTTCCAGTTCGGCAAGACGATCCAGGTTGGCGTGGTGAGAGTCCAACAGGTTTTGGACGTGGGCCCTAGCTCTCGGCATGGAACGACTGATGGATTATGAGCATCTATTGTGAAACCATTTTGGCAAGACTTACTAATCATCAACGAGTTTCAATGCAGTCCTCAACATGACTTCTGTTTCGTCCTTTTCTGATTCGGCTCTGGCCTTGAGCTCCTTCAAAGGTGTCACAATACCCCCATCTCTCTTCTCCACCCGCTTGTTACCACCACCCCTGCCCTTGCCCTCTCCAGCAGTCGCAAGAGCATCGCCTTCTCCCACAAATTTGAATAATCTCCGCTCTGCATCGGAGGCATCTCTTATGAGGTGGAGGACGTTTCCCTTTTCTTCGGGCACATGGGCGAGATGGGGCGGAGGGAGGTAGAGGTAAGCGGAGGTGAAGGGGCCCGCTGGGGCTGTGTTGAGGGTGGAGAGGTAGGCGATCTGGGCCGAGTGCTGTGCGAGGGTGTCGAGGGTGTCCTGGAGGGAGGGCATGGTGCTGGTGGAGATGAAAAAGGTGCCCAAATGAATGTTGTCAATGTTTGTTGGTCGACGCGTCGCGTCTTAAATGGGGGGAAGCACCCGAGGAACCCAACAGTGCTGTGGATGACCATCGGCTTCATGAGACGTTTTTGAAGCCTACTGGCGAGCTCTTCGTCCAAGGCAGAGTGCAGTGGTGGCCGGGAGTGCAAGGCGCCACTCACAAAGAAGGTGGAGCGGATGAACGCACCATAGGGCTCTGCTTTGGTCATTCGTTCAGGGGTGAAGCTCGTCCGCGAGCGCTCTCTCTGCTTCGCCAGCGTGATGTACGTAGCTTATAATACGACTTGAACAGGTCGTAATGTATGTCCATTCCTATGGTTCTTGCACAAGGATGTACACCATACTCGTACTCATAAGTCATATGTAGTGCCCTGAGTGGTGACCGCCGTTCGCGACGCGTTTCACGATCTGATTTAACGAAGTCGTCCACGCGTTGCGTTACGTTGCTCTTGCTCTATCACGCATATTCAACATGTCCTTCTTCTCAGACGACGACACATCCCTTCCTGCCAACTCTCGCCGTGCCTCTGGCTCTTCTTCCCGCCAAGCCTCTACCGCCCCATCCTTCATGGACCGTCCTCTCCCCGCCGGCCAACGCGCTCGCTCGGCCAGCACTTTCAACACAGATGCTGCATCTTCAAACAATGAACGAACACTGAGGGAGTCATCCTTCGACGAAGAAGAGTTTTACAAGGAGATTGGTATCACGTCCGGAATGCCCGAGTCGCCAGGGAGCGAGAGAGGGTCGAGCATATTTACACCATCTGCTGGGCGACGATACGCACTTTCGTCTCCTGGAGGAACTCCTAGGAGAGCCCGCGATGGTACTATCGCCCACGATCTGGGATATCAGCCACAGGGAGGTGTTGATTGGGCAGCGATAGATGAAGAGACGGATATCGAAGATATGGACCTCGTCCGCAAGATTGGGGTGGTCTGGACGCGCGAGAGAGGTACAGGGGATATCATTCCCTGGGAGGGGGAGCTGATCAACGACCTGATGGACAGACTGGAGCAGCAGCAGAAAATGTACACTGCGCTTCGGTCGGATCCTCAGACATCCGAAGAGGAACATTTCAAGCTGGTGCTGGTGCAGACGGAAGTGGAGCGAGTCAAATACTTGGTCAGGTCATACGTGAGGACCAGGCTACACAAGGTGGGATCAAAGTCGGCCTCGCGAGGTGATGCTGACTAGCTGGATAGATCGAAAAGTTCGCACAGCACATCGCCATTTCCCCCGAGATACACCACCTTTTATCGCCTATAGAGTTGTCACACGCCGAACGATACACTGAGCTCCTGCACACCCATCTTCAGCACTCAGTCCTTGACAGTCTACCGGAATCCTTTAGACGGCTGGACGAAAATTTCCCCGATGGTACTTCGATGAGTGAGTCGCGCGAGCCCATCGTACGTGCAGGAATTGACCATATCCTAGTCACAAAGCCAAACACGGAGACGCCAGTGATGGTCTACATCCGTAAAGATTGTGGTGAAGTCACTTTGGAAAGGTGCGTTTGCGGACGTCTTCATTAAGAGCCCTCGCTGATATATACGGACAGCGGCGACCAAGCGCTCTTGTCGAAAGGGACGACACATATAGTGAAACAGAATCTTGTTGATCGCTGGATATCGCTCGGCTATGCTGAGGTTCTGTAATCTAGCTGCGTGTGCAGCTGACGTTTGACTGCCATCTATAAAAATGCATACGTTCAGCATATATGTGGTTATAATACTATGAGTCCAAGATAGCAAAGGTAGCAGCGTGCAGGTCATTATATTGGATCAATAGAGAAGGAGATCGAAGAAGCCTAATGATGATGAGGGTCCCGGTGACCGTGCTGGATGTGATACGAGTACAACATTTGTGAAATTTCGGGGAGGTCGTTGGGCAGAACACAGTGGGATACGCGGTGGACGGCGAGAAGCCCGGTAGTGTCACCTATCCCTCTGCGCATTTATAATGAGGCGGCGCCGCTCAGGCTTTTTCTGTCTTGTCCGCCGCCTCAAGCTCTTCCACATTCTTCAAATCCAGCGCCATCTGCGCATCTTCGTCGTCCGCTCGAATTTTCATCATATCTTCGATTTTGCGCAGCAGATCATCCTGAGAGCAAATGTCAGCATGCTTCCCACAGATGTTATCAAGTGGCTCACAAGCCGATAAGGCTTGATGATAATGTCGTCCATCCCCCTTGCTCTAGCTTCGTCAATCTGACCTTGCCTGGCATTGCCCGCTACGTCGATGGTTAGCGACGTCGCTGATGGTTGAGCGAACTCACTCAGAGCAATGATCAAATTCTTCTTCATTAGTCCCGCTGCTTCCTCCTCGCGGATAACATACGCAGCAGTCAGGCCGTCCATGACAGGCATCTCGAGGTCCATGAGTACGCAATCGAAGCACTGGACTGGCTCTTGTCCTTCGATGGGTGTTACGCTTGAAGCTTTGCGTATCTTCTCCAGTGCTTCCAGCCCGTTGCTCGCGACTACGAGAGATGTTACTCTTGCAAGCACGGGGACGATTCAAGGTGGGACATACCGTCGCATGTCAGATTACAGTGATTCAACTGCCTCGCCAGCACCGTCTGGTTTATCAGATTATCTTCCACGATCAGCACATGCGGGTTTCTTGTCAGGCCAAAGTACCGCGGAGCGTCACGCGAGGCTTTAAGCTTCGCGCGAAGACTATTGGCAGCTGTCTGAGGGACGGTGTGACAGGTTTTGGCTTTGATATACCAGCGGAAAGTACTCCCCTTGCCCTTTTCAGAAACAACCGTGATACCACCACCCACTGAGACAGAGTCAGCGTCTTCCCATGATCGATGGTTGACTTGGGAAACGTACTGAGTTCTGCGAGCTCTGGAACACGGCGTCAATACTGGGCTGGACTTCAGGTAAGATCATAAACTCACTTCGGCAAACGAACAATCCCAGGCCAGATCCTCCAAAGACGGTATGTGTCTTGGCTACACAGGGTCAATGCTAATCAGACGCTCTCCTCTGATACTCACGAGAGACCTGAGAGAATCTTTGGAACAGCTTTTGTACCTCATTTTCAGTCAGACCGGGTCCAGTATCGGCGACTATGCGACAGTCGTTGTCAGCATGTCAATCCCACAGTCTACATCGTCGAGCCCACCTTCAAGATACAGGTACATGGTCATGTCGTCTTTGATGTCCTTTGGTAAGGTAGGCTCGCGCGGCATAGTGCAGGCGCCATCCTCGGGAGGGTCGAAACTTATTTCGGAGCGCAGCTCAACTTGACGTACAGCTGAAGTCTGAAGTCAGCCGAATACTGTGCGTATCATTGAAACAGAGAGGCTTACCACTGTTGGCGGTGAATCTGATAGCATTTGACAGTAGATTGGTGGTACTGCAAATCATTTCAGCCACCCACAAAAATACCTCATTACACTGCACACTCACATCTGATTCAACCTGACCAGGTCGGCCTTCACCCACGTCAAACCCAACTTCTTGTGACTTTCGCCAGCTTTGAAAGATAACGCGATCCTCTTCATCCTGGCCTCGTTTTGGAAGATGGACAGGATATTTTGAGCCTCCTTCCAAAGATCAAACTCGACGTCGAACACCTCGAGCATATCTGAGGCCACTATCAGCTGTGATGGCGCAATATTGATTTCAGGGCCTTACCTAGTTGGATTCGCCCCAGTGATAGAACATCGTTGCTGATCCTCTCTTGAGTCAAACCGCATTGATAGATACTCTCGAGGGCTTCGAGATCTTCGTCGATATTGTTCATGAGCTGGCGCGTTGGGTTGAATGGCTTTTGCTGGGCAATGGCCAAATGAAGCTGCTCCTGTAGAGACAAGAGGTTGGTCTTGACAAGGGAGGAACAGTGAGAGGAGGAATCGTCAGTCTGGAACGTAGAGGAATGTGAATAGACTCATCTGCATCATTGAGGAGATGGGATTCCGAAGCTCGTGGCTGTGTGATAGAAATGATCAGCGTGCTCAAGTGACGTGTGTCCAGCGAGCGCGTACGAAGTGATGTCGATCAAGAGCTCTTGCTGTCTCTTTGCTTCCTCCGCCTCCAGTCTTCTCTGCTCTGCTTCAACAACTTGTTGATGTTGAGATTGTTCGTGGATCTTTCTTTCCGTGATATCAGTCTATGTATATGTGATCAGCGTTGTGAGGCCATGGAACACGTCGTGAATAGCGTACCACACAGCCCAAAATACCCTAGGTGGTGGTCAGTACGCACGCGGATGTCAAGGCAGGCATGACCTTGTAGATCAATCGCGCTCACCTTCAATCGGGTCTGAGTCAATTCTAGTCGGATAATGGTCCTACAAAGATAGTGAGCGGGGGCCGCGATGGTTTTCGTCATCTGGTCTTACACTGTGACTATAGCTATTGTTAGCATGCTCCCGTGATTGCACTCGAGGTACTCACTCCACTTTCCGTTCTTATACCGCCAGTCTCTGGTCCTCGTGCGCTCACCGCTTGTCAAAAATCCAGACCAAAATTCGTTCAAATCATCCCTCTCCTGGTCGGGGACGATGTCTTGCCAGTCCTCCAGTGTCTTGTTAGTGGGGAATTCGGACAGTGAATACCTGACTCGCCTCATGAGCACGCTATATAGGAGCATATGGAATATACTCACCAAGTGGAGTTGACAAATGTCAATTTGCCGTCCTCATCAGCTCGGAATATGCCAACAGGCGAGACTAGGAGCGCAAGCGATTAGCGACTGATGTGTACTGATGTCACATTGACTCACATTCTGAAAGAACCCTGAGCTCCGCGGTCCTCTCTTCGAATGCTTCTTCGAGGTGTTTTCGTTTTTTGCCTAGCTGCAATCTAGCAAATAGTGCGATTAGCGTCCAGTCAACAGAGAATGTCCGATCGACCACATACTGCATGTGCGCTCGGGCGACGATCTCTCGGGCGTTGAAAGGTTTGGCCAGATAATCATCGGCGCCCGCCATGATACCGCTCACTTTTGATTCATCTGCACCTCGAGCAGTGCTAGATAAGACGCAAGTCACAGTTAATACACGACAGGCAGCATGGAACATGCACTCACAGCATGATCACAGGAATCATCCGGAACTCGCTGGAATTTTTCAGAGTAGTCAAAAGCTCGAAACCGTCGACCTGAGTCTCGAGTCAGTGTCGGTTATGATGGCTGGAGCTGGGGACTCACATGGGGCATCATCACGTCCGAGATGATCAAGTTGGGCCTTTGCTTTGCACAAAGCTCCAGCGCCTCTCGGCCATCGCGAGCTTCGACGACTGTACAATACTGCGCAAAGATGGACTTCATATACCTTCGCGTGTCAGAAGAGTCTTGTGTCTCCCATCAGCAGTGTTCAGTTCAGTCGGCCATATTGCGCACCTTCAACAAGCATGATAATATCGGACTTTGCAAAGTAGAGGGTGTTCGGGTCGAGGGCTTTGACAGGTACGGCGCTTGTCATTCCGCTCACCCCAGTTCCTCCGGAGCCTATTTGAGTGCCGCCCCCAGACTCTCCCGTTGCGTTGGAGGACTCATCGGAGCTGATTGCGCTCAATCCATCTCTATTGTCACGCACCCACTGCATTGCCTCATCAACCAGGCCTTCGCCATATGTTGATTGTGGCAGGTTGGGCATGCTGCCATGATCGATAGCCTCATATGGCAGATGGTCGCAGCCAAGAGGGATGCGAACCCGGAAAGTGGAACCGTCTTGTAGTCTGTGTCAGTGATATATTTGAGTTTAGGTACATGGACCTACGAGATCTGTCCTCGGATTCTTCCTCCGTGACGCTTTCTATCTCAAACGAGCCACCATGCAGGTTGATCAATTCCTGTATGAAGATCAGTATACAGACTTGGTATGCAGTCGAAAGCCAATATACCTTGACAAGTGACAAGCCTATACCAGTACCCTCATGAGATCTGCTAACAGACTGCACGCGATGGAATCGTTCTCCAATGAGGTGGATATCGGATCCTGTAGAAAGGCATCAATGGACTGCAAGTGAAGCAGTATGGGAGTGAAACGCACGAGGGATACCAACACCACTGTCTTTGACCTCAAATACGATCTGATTTTCGACGTAGTGAAGCTTTACGCGCACAAAGCCAGACATTGTGTACTTCATCGCGTTGCCTACGTTGTCATGAGTGCCGAATCGGAGACAGTAAAGGATATACCCACCGATAAGATTGAACACAATCTTTTCCCAATGTTCAGGATCCACGAAGGCATTTTCAGGAGTGTTGTCAATCTCAATCGTATACTGGAGTTTCGCTTTCTCGATCGCCCGTTTGAACAAGACAGCCAGATCGCTCGTCATCGTTCCGATGTTCACTGGTCTAAAGGTCCCTCTCAGCCGTCCTGCTTCAAGTCGCGAAACGTCCATCAATGTCGACACCAATCTCGCAAGTCTTCGCATGTTCCTCCTGACCATCAGAAGCATATCTTTATGCCCGTTGTCCGTCGTCTCTAGCAAGAGATCGTCGATTGGACCGGCAATGAGGGTGAGAGGTGTACGAAGTTCGTGAGAGACATTGGAGAAGAGCAGGCTCTTGGCGCGATCGATGGCGGCTAATTCGTTCAGGCGTTGATGTTCAACCTCGTAGGAGTGAACTGCGGCGATACCGGAAGCGAGTTGCAATCGAAGGCTATACAGAGGTCAGTGACACAAGAGAAACATGTCGGCGACACTCACATGTGCTGCAATGCCGTCAGCATAGCGCTTGTGATAGATACAATGCACTCACAATCCAAGACTCGTAATCCTCGTCGAAAGGTCTCCTGATATTCAGCCCCAGAACCAGTACAGCGTTCGGTACTTCCTCATCAGAGTCGCTGCTGATTGGCACAACGACAGCTGCGCTGGGCAGTTCATCCCAAACTCGGACGTTGAAGTCTTTGATCAATTCGGTCACATCCTCAACCAAGACCAATCGCCTGCACTGAAGAGCCTCGCGCAAGGGCCACGATTTCGTTTCTGGCGCAGGGTGACCTTCCGACTTGCTGCTGTCGAAAGATGCTCCGGGTCCAGGGACAGTGCCCAGACTGGCTTTGCCGGTGTTGGATACGGAGGACGAGTGCATTGACAGCGCTGAAGAACTGCTGATGTCGCCTTGGGAGAAGCGAGTGGTAGAACTCCTCCGGCGGTGGCGAAGAGGAAAGGAGACATTTGAGGGAGTCGAGGGGTGATTGTCGGGAATTCCAACAGAGCCGACAAGGGGTACATTGACGTGAATCTCGTTGGGGTCATGTTTGGTGACTTCCGCCGCCGCCGTTCCCCGCGACTGCACTTTGACTACCAGGAATGAGCTTTGTCCTCGCTGGATATCCGCAAACGTACCAGGGGCAATTTGATCAACGTGGTACAAGGCAGCGAAAGGAGCATCCCGAGGATTGTTTTCAAGAATATCGACGACCGCCTTGTCAAACTCTTCCATCGTTCTCGCAATAGCTGTTCCAAAGTCAGCCTTGGTCTTCATACTCTTTTATATGACCTCACCAGTCCTCTGCCCCATCTCTCGTACGGTCGCCATCCGCCTTTCGGCCAAAACCTTCTTTGTCGTTCTGATCGTCGCATTCCATAGCCCCCCAAAAGTGCCATCCTCTTGCAGAATGGGCACCCACATCCACGTATGGTATTCTTCAAAAACACCATCTCCCTGGTGGGCAAGCTGCCTGAAAAGCAAAAAGTCATCCTCTTTCCACACAGGAGTTCCCGCGAGGACGATCTCTGATATAGGACCGAGCGATGACCATATCTCGGACCATGCGCTGGGGCCGGACATGCCAAAGATGCTTGGATGCTTGTGTATAGCCTTGGCGTACGGTTCATTGTAGATAAGAGTAAGGTCTTTACCCCACCAAAGGCAGCATTGATGAGGATAGTTCATGACAAGGGCGACTTGTAAATGTCAGCGAAACGATCGCCTCCATAGAAGACACTCACCGATAGTCTTCAAGCTCTGCGGCCACTGTTCTCTCGGTCCCAGCGGCGTCTTTGTCCAATCCGTCGAGGCCATCAGATCATCGACACTCGCGTGCTCCTTCTTGTCACTGGTATCAGCCTGACGACTGATGGTTCCGTCCACGTTGAACATCAACGGTTTCGATGTCTTGCCGTTCTGAGCAGGTGACAGTAGACCGAGACCTCGCAGCTCCCCGAACGAAGAGAAGCTGTCATCTTTGGGATGCGGCGTTGTCGACCTGCGTGGTATGCTCGGGTCGAGGCTGGTGGGCACGGATGGTGATGGAGACAGGATTGTCGTCTTGGGTATGAGATAGGGGTGTACTGTTTCGGAAGGTACTTCTTTTGATTTAATTGGCGACCTGTCCTTGTCCAACATGGCCCGGTACGCGACCGGGGGGACGCCGTGGTGACTGACTTGCTGAGGCGTATTTGGGACGAATGCTGTTCGCGGGGTAGAAGTGATTACAGCGAAAGAGTGTGTCCTCATGGGAACATTCTCGAATCCCTTTCTAGTTCTCGGTACCGGCACCAATGTCTTTGTCAACTCGAGGGTGATGCGCCCCGGATTGATCAAGTTTATTTCTAAAGTAGCCAGGCCCGGATTGCTCTTCTCAAAGGGTTCAATACCCGTCAGATCAGCATGGTCGCTCGCTAATCCATCCGAACGGGGCGAGCGGTCCTCATAGGGGTGCTCAGCTGACCAAAAGTTCTCGGGGGAGGGCGGGCTGCCTGGGACGGGGTTGTCGAGAGAAGGGAATGTCTTTTGCGTCGGCGACAGCGTCGGCGTCAATGCCCCGCTGATCCAGTCCCCCAGTCGCCGGACTCCATCGACGTCTAAGCAGTCTAGCAACGGCAAGCCTTCAGATAGGTGGGTCCACTTTTTGTTACCCCACACAATTTCGAAGGGCTGAATCTCGCCATGGTCGGAGCGAGTGAATTGCGAGGAGGGGTCGTGGGTGGAGCGAGGTGTGGAGAATTCGTCCTGGGAGTCTGTGCGGGAGGGCTGGGGAGGGGGTATGGGGACGAGGAGGACGAAGGCGGGGTAGGGGTAGGACTGGCAGATGTCAACAGGGTGAAAAGACAGGATAGGGTGTGGGAGCCGACCTACCTGGAGATACTCCTTGGGGAGGGTGGAGTAGTTGATGGTGTCGTGGTACATGGCGCTGCGCTGGTCGCCGCGCAGAATGTGAGTGCTGGCCGGGGGAGAGACTGGAAGAGAGCAGAATATATCTGTTGATTGCGACCAGGAATGCAAAATCCCGCCTTGCAACATCAACTTGGCAAAATGACGCTAATCTCTAGATCTCAGTCCAGGCACAAGCCACTTGCTTTATCCGGAGATTGCATCTTTGATCTGAATCTCGGTTGATTCAACCTTCTTATCGCTCTTCAGTAATGTCGGCGTCAAGATCTTGCACAGCACACCACCATGCAGATGCAGCGTATGTATGTCCAGCCCCGGCACCCGTGGGAGGGCAAAGCGGGTGGGACTCTACCATGCACGCAAAACACAAACCGGCTATGGAGCTCCAGGAAGGGCTGGACTCGTCGTGTGCCCTGCATGCCCGAGTCACTATTTCTCCGTCCGTATCATACTTGTGCCACACCAGCTACCAGCGCAGATCTTTCCGAGCTCCAAGAGTCATGAGCCTTGACAAGAGCGAAGAGACCGAAGAGGCACGCTCTGCGTTGCATGATGGCTGCTTGTCGCTCGATTACAGAGTGGCCAAGTCTCATTTGTGGCTTGTGTCGAGCCAGGCTGGACAGCCCTCCAAGACTGGAATTTGTGGCACCTGCCCAGTAGACACTGCCCTTGAATGAAGTAGCAAAAGTAGTAAGTCTCAGTCTGCACCCAGTCAACAGATCCAAACAAACCATGCAATGTGGGCATCCTGTACCCAGCTATTATAGATGATACATACAATATATACACACAAAGAGACCGGGGAACACTTCGCCCCCCGCTCGTCTTGCCCTCGTTGGGCCAGGTTGTCTACATAATCGCTAAGCTACTTTTGCGCCAAGGTGTTTCCAGCGTGCTCCCTGATGGCAGCCCACGGGTTTTGCTTGAAGGCTGGATGTCCCATGACAGCTGGTATTCTTTTTGCGCTTTCTTGGCTGTTAAGGGTTTTGTCAGTTCTTGCCTCACCGCCTTCTCCTGGGCACGTACATGATATCTCTCCTCTTCTTCTCTCCCAGAGTTCTGCCCTTGCCTTCTCCAATCTTTCCGCGCTCTCTCTCTTCTTCCAGTCTTTTTCTTCTCTCCTCATCTCTTTGTTCTTTGGTCTTGACCACATCTTTCTTCGTCTTTTTGTTTATCGCCAGAGAAGCCGGAGGGTTGGGTACGGCAGCTTCAGGGGCGATGGAAGACAAGGCATTCTCCAATGAAGAGAGGCCACCAGCTATATCGCGCGCCCTGCGCTTCTGCCGTCTGAGATGAGATTTGGAGGGAACAAAGTAAGGGTGAGGAGCTTTGCCTGTGTATATGTCAGCACGGAGTTCACATAGTGTATACAGCTTAGACGGACCAGCTTCCAATCCTTCCGGTGGGACCTTCAAACCTTTCAACTTTTTGGTTGTCCGGTCTTCCTTGACCGCGACAGGTTCCTAGACTTGATATTAGCAGAGTGTCCAAATACTCGGATAAAGAGATGAATTACAGTCACAGGGGTAGGAGCAGCAAACGGCTGACCCTCGGGAGCATCGTTGCTTTGGTTCTTCTGGACAGCCACCGCAGCGGCGTGATGACGGATTTTGGCACGGCCGACTCGAGGCTACAAGTCTGTCAGGATCCCATCAGCTGCTTTGATAATGCATGCTTACCATAGTGTATCAATGTGCGTTTTGTCGGTTTATTGACTTCTTTGGTTAGAACTTAGAGAGACCTTCGACCAAATCTGTGCGCAAATTCCAAGTCGGTGATGGCCGCCCGGCGCCCGCCCGAGCAGTGATATTACAATTCCCGTAGCAGAGTATTCTTTGTCTTGCATACACATGGACTCATCCCCAGAGATGCCAGAAATATGGCCTTCAACATAGCGCCCATCCAGAATTTCCTCAAGAAAGAGTACCCTCTGCCAAAGCCAGATCCTGTCAGTGCCGCCAAGACACGCGACGCGACGCGAAAACTGATGTCGACTGCAGAGATGGATCAAGCAGTGCGTAGCAGCCCTCCAGGCGGCTGGGACGGAGCCCAGTGAACAGAGTGTCGTATGTATAGATCTCACTTGGCTATTAGAGAGATTGACTCATAGCCCACCTACAGCAATCCGAGTACCTTTTCACGGACCTCGCCCACTGCACCCTCCCCTCCTCCGCCATACCGGAAGGCGACCTTCACAACGTCATCCTGTTCCCCATACCTACTCTGCTTCAGGTTCATTCGGTGACCGAGATTGGCAACTCGGCTTTCCAGATACAGACTGTCATGGAACAACGATCTGAAGTCCTATCCGGTAGGACACGCATCAGAGGATTGGGTGACGCAGAGCAAGAAGCGAATGGGGAAGAGGGAGAGGAAGAAGAAGTGGAGGACGGAAGAGTCCCTCCATACCCCAGAAGTATGCTGAAACTGGATGTGGGGGACGGCAGAAAGGTCTTGAAGGCCATAGAGCTTCAGAGGATACCCGACTTTGTGCTGGGCCAGACCAATCTAGGATCCAAAGTGCGTCTCTTCTTTGTATCTGAGCGTCTTCATTTGCTGACGATAGTCTAGATCCTCGTCCATAATGTCAAAGTCCGACGGGGTATTCTCCTCCTTACCCCTCAAAACACCCAGGTCATTGACAGTTGCGTCGACGATCTCGAAGCCAACCAGCGCGAAATGTTTGTTCGCGACCTCAAGCGGCGGTTAGGCAAGCTCGAGCCTGGGGAGGACAACGGCGAGGCCGCGCCCAGGATTGTTATACCGCCTCCTGTAAGAGACGGGGGCCAGCGGAGAGGCGCAGGCGGAAGTCAACCCAGGGCAAGAGCGCGGCCAAGAGCAAGGGCGGAGCCGAGAGCAAAAGCCGAGCCCAAGTCGGAACACCAAGATGCTCCGGCTCCAACAACTTCCAGGTTCTTCAAGGCGCCGAAATGCTCTCCAAGCCCTGCGGCCGGCCCTTCCAAACGACCTGCGCAAATCCCCACTCGACCGCGCAATCGATCCCCAACTCCAGACTTTGACGACGAGGGTGACTCGATCTTTGATGCGTTTGATGAAAGTTTCTATGATCATGTGGATCAAGCTGCTGCTCAGTTGAAGAGTACTGCGTCCGGCTCTGGGACTGGGGGGAGGAAGGAAACGGAATTGTTTGAAGAGGCGGAGACTGATGATGATGATGACGGCGACTTTATGATCCTCGACGAGTCTGTCATCCGTCAGCTAGACGATATGTCTTCACGGCCCAAAGTCGGAGCTCCATCCACAACCACAACCACACAAGGCATTCGACAGAAAAGTGTGGCCACATCCTCCTCCACAAGCAAAGGGAAGCCGCAATACATTGTCCCAGATGACGGGGATGAGACGGACTATGGGATGGACGAAGACCTGGACCAGAGCTTCGTGAGGCAGGTGGACGAGCAGGTGGCGGCGCTTGTGGGTGCAAGCAAGGCTGCTTCTAGGACTGTCCAAGTGGCAGCCTCATCAAAATGTTCGCTGGGAACTCCCGCGGCGAGCGCCATGAGGGGGTCGCAGTGGAAAAAGACGTTCTCTACAGACATTTCTTCGGATGAAGGTGATCTGCAGAAGGAGAATAGAAAGCCTGAAGTCATAGAGATCTCGGATTAATCAAGGATAGGCTGTGGTGTGTGGACCAATTGTTGTATTTGTCGGATCGTACTTGTATGTAATATGTCACTACAACTGTCATGGTATACGGTGCCACTGCGTGAAATTCCAGAGACCATGAACGCGAAACCATCGCTCCCATTCTCGGCAGAGGGTTCTGGTCTATCGTTGCTATGCACCGACAACGAGCCCGGTGCTTATGATGAGCGCACAATGGACTCATCTTTGATATCACAGCACCATTCGGCAGAGTATCTGGCATAGACTAGATGGCAGAACGTGATGGGATCAGCAGAAGCCACGGTGTGTCTTGGGTGTTGAACGTGTGTCCCGCGGGGTCCTTTGAGGGGGTTCCCTGCATTCAAATTTTGTGGTGGTTATCTCGACGACGCCCTGTGAGATGGGGTATCCTGGCAAGACATATAAAGTCCATTCGCATCCAACATCCCCCTCAAGCCTCAACTCTTCCACCCTCGCAGGGCGGCGTTACTCGGAAATATTCTGCGTGCTTTGTGGCCCAGCGGCGTCCACCGAGATTCGCCCTAAAACTGAGTTGACGATTTGGCTCTCCCAGGATTTTGGTTGGCGCATTGCATCTCACCAGAACCCACCGCTCGCACACCCCCACGCCTATCTCCTCTATCCTCCCGTAGCTCAGACCCCCCCTAGAGAGCCGGCAACGCACCCCGCCAAACCCCTATTCGACAAAGCATCTCATCGACGCCATTCAAACTGTCCGGCCTCACCCCCTCCAAATCTACCAGTGGACAAGGCAGGAGCCGCGGTCTGAACACCCCCTCTGGATCCATCCGAAGGCAAGCAACCCACAACATGGCGTCTGCAGCGTATTCCACAATCAAGCTTTTCTCTGGTGCGCTTTTTGCCCTTGCCTTGCCTGGTCCTTAGAGTCACATCTTGGTCTGGAGCTGACGAGAATCGTTCGGTGAATCAGGGTCCTCACATCCGGAATTGGCGGCCCTCATCGCTAAGCGTCTGAGAATACCTCTTGCGCGAGCCAACATCGTCCAACCTCCTTCTGGAGAGACCAAGGTCACCATTGTCGAGAGTGTACGAGATTACGATGTCTACATTGTCAACACTGGTGCGGGCTCTGTCAACACTTCTCTCATGGAGTTGTGTATCATGATTCACGCGTGCAAGGCAAGTTTACATGCAAAAAAAAAAACGATGACGTGCCAAAGCTGACCCAACTTAGATCGCGTCCGCACGAAGAATCACCGCTATCATCCCCCACTTCCCCTACGCTCGACAAGATAAAAAGGACAAGTCTCGAGCGCCCATCACAGCCAAGCTCGTCGCCAACATGCTGAGAGAAGCGGGTTGCGACCACGTTATCGTGAGTTTCTTTCCAAAAATCCGACCATGTCGGGGGTGCGATCTGGAAAGATAAAGGGAGCTGACGACCGAGCCGTAGACTATGGACTTGCACGCTTCGCAAATTCAGGGCTTTTTCGATGTCCCTGTTGACAAGTACGTTTCATTGCATGTCCGATAGGCCCGGGACTTATGGCCGTGTGACGTAGCCTCTATGCCGAGCCTTCCATGGTTCAATATATACGGAACAACATCGAGGTCCGAGACTGTGTTATCGTTTCTCCCGATGCTGGTGGTGCTAAGCGGTTAGTCGACCCATTGCGAGTGTACCGAACTATGCTGATCTGCATTCCAGAGCCACCTCCATCGCCGACCGCCTCAATGTTGACTTTGCCCTCTTCCACAAGGAACGCAAGAAGGCCAACGAAGTCTCCCGCATGGTCCTCGTCGGAAGCGTCACGGGCAAGATTGCCATCCTCGTTGACGACATGGCCGACACTTGTGGTACCCTCGGTCTTGCCGCCAAGAACCTTCTGGAAGCTGGTGCTACCAAGGTGTACGCTTTTGCTACCCACGGTATCCTGAGCGGGCCTGCGTTGAAGGTGATTGCAGAGAGTGGGATGGAAAAGCTGGTCATTACCAACACAATTCCTCAATCGGAGAACTGCGAGCAGTGCGAAAAGATTGAGGTCATTGATGTCAGTAGGGTGTTGGCCGAAGTCATCAGGAGGAGTCACTTTGGAGAGTCGGTGGTACGTCAACTATAGTTTCGCATTGTCTTCTTACTGACGAACAATGCAGTCCTACCTCTTCCACGAGGTCCCCTACTCCAACGGTGTTGGTGCTTGAGGATGATGTCTTAGGCTGCCTGTGCCGAGCAAGAGTACGAAGTGGGCGCTGTGTTGAGAAGAAGATTGTACAAATATCACGAGCCGAGTGGGGCGTCAGAAGTTAAGCAAGGCGGAATTATCTCATAAGGATTCTCTTTTTCTTCACAGAGATCCGAAAAACCTCAAATACATTCAACATTTTTTTCTCCATCATTTGATCTATGCAAGGGGCGTGTCTGACCGACAATGTACTGTACCCGGGCCCAAGGTTAATAACGCTGTTATTAAGATTCATCCCCTGTCAGAATCACCCTCCCCCTTAGGGAGGGTCCGACACCGGAACGGCACTTGACAGCGGAAGGGCACTTTTTCATGTATCTTTTTGTTTTGAGCCCATTTCTCGCCGTTTCCACATATCAACATGCCCCCAAAAATATCCGACGTCGAAGCTAGGGTCCTAGAGGCCCTACATGCCGAAAACCTCACGTTTACAAAGCCTGTATGCATGAGAATTTACCCAATCAAGAATTCCATCCCGCTTGTTGGAAGCAGACAGATGGTGCCGAGGCCCTTGTTTTGAGTGTTTGTACAGGCAAAATTGCATTCAAATTTTCACACGATTGAAGCTCTTGATCAATAGTACTCTTAGGATAAGAAAAAAGTGTGATCTGAAAGGGTGACACAGTCAAAGTCATACATCCACGCTGACCTAGCTGACGCGCCAAATATGGCGAAATCACTAAAATTCATCGTTCTCTTCCACACTGCCCTCCATGTCATCACTATAAAGTACATCCTCTCTTTCTGTTGCCCTTACATTCTTGCCATACCCAACTGTCTCTTCCATGTACATGAACCCCACCTTGTCGCCAACACGCCACCCCTCATTTCGGCTATATGGGCCCATCCGCTTTGCCCAAGCATTCTCCCCCCAGCGGCCGATATCCTTGATCCCCTGCAAGACCTGCCTCCATCCTCCATCCTCCTTCCTCAAGTAGACCTCCCTCTTGTTGCTGAGATGTTCGCCCTTCCTCTGCTTTGCCTCAAACTCCTGCTTTTTCGCCCAGTCTTGTGAGCGGCAATTCCCAGACTCGAGGACACTCGAGACAAGAGAACGCTTGTTCGCTTTCCTCTTCTCCCTAACCTCAGCAGCAGCTGTCTTCTCATCCAAAGTCTTCCTAGCCATCATCCCAAGCTGTGAATGTATGTAGGTAGCTTTGGCAAAAGGCGGGTAATACTTGATTTTCTTGGTAGGCGAGACGCGTCGGAAAACTCACCTGGATGCCATATTTATCTCTCACTTCCATGAACTCCCTGAAGTATTTCGCTATCGCCTTCGGCTCTAGAGCAGCGACTCTGGCCAGCTCAACGCTCTTCTGCTTAACGCGGTGGAGACTCTCTGTTCGCTGGTGGAAACGGTCGACCCACTTGGAGCCCACAGTGGGCGCGTCCTCCGCGTCTCCCTCCCACGCCCGAGCTATGATTTGGTTGGCTGAATCCTCGACGAGCGCTTTGTCGGAGGCATCCCCCAGCCATCCAGGAGACGAATCCATTCCAGCAGTATCTTCTCCTCCGTGTCGGTGAGTGCTTTGTTGACAGGTTTATTGTCATGCTTGGACGGAATACCCTTGTGTCGGTTTCGGAGTCGCTTGACGGGCACGTTGTATTGGCGAGAAAGTTCGGCCAAGTTGGGTTTTTCCTGCCGGTTTGCAGCGCGTAGGGCCTCTAGGACCCTAGCTTCGACGTCGGATATTTTTGGGGGCATGTTGATATGTGGAAACGGCGAGAAATGGGCTCAAAACAAAAAGATACATGAAAAAGTGCCCTTCCGCTGTCAAGTGCCGTTCCGGTGTCGGACCCTCCCTAAGGGGGAGGGTGATTCTGACAGGGGATGAATCTTAATAACAGCGTTATTAACCTTGGGCCCGGGTACTGTGTGAGCAGTGCATGGCTTGGGGCCCGAATCTACAAGTCCTATTCGCTACACTGTGAAGATCTGCTACTGGAAAGATCTAGCTGAATTATCCGTATACAGTCCTTCTAGGTTTCTCCTCGTCGCCATCTTCCTCCACCCCATCCTCGAGGATCTCAAGGGTCCTAGCCTCGTTTTCGGGATCAGTCGGTGGGTTTCTTGGCCCTGTCCCCTCCGCCGAGGCCGAAGACTCTGCCGCAGGGTGCAGCAAGTGCGGGTCCGGTCTGCTGGTGATTTCTCCCCCCAAGGCGAGTTTGATGATTTCTCCATCACCGATGCTGCCATCCAACAGCTTGCCGGCCACCTTGTTTGTCACCACATCCCTGACGACTCTTGCTACCGCTCTCGCCCCGAAGTGCTCGCTATACCCCTTCCTCGCCAACCACGCCTTGACATCGTCCCCGACGTCCAAGGTGATCCGCCTATCCTCGAGGCGTTTCTGGACTTCGCGAAGACGAAGGTCGACAATGTCGATAATGATGGATGGAGGGAGCTTGTTGAATATGAGCAGTTCGTCGAGACGATTGATGAGTTCGGGACGGAAGAAGCGGCCAACGTGGTCAAGGACGTTGGTGCGGGTAGTTTCAGTGATGCTTCCGTCTGGGTGGCAAGCGTCTGGTTCGTAAAGGGCTCTACAGTAGTGCGTCAGCACAAACTGTCGTCCACAAGGCCAGGAGGACTCACTCTGAACCAAGATTGGAAGTCAAACAGATGATAGTGTTTTTGAAATTGACCTGCTTGCCTTGACCGTCTGTCAGACATCCTTCGTCAAGGATCTGCAAGAGGACGTTGGCCACATCAGGATGCGCCTTTTCAATTTCATCAAACACTACGACCGCGTAGGGTTTTCGCCTGACAGCGTCACAGAGCTGCGAAGGCTCGCCGTGTCCGACATAGCCTGCGGGACTACCGATGAGACGGGAAACAGTGTGTTTGTCGTGGAATTCAGACATGTTGAGTTGGATCCTGACGAAATTGTCAGCTGATGTTCAGGTGTAAGGCGAGGAGACTTACAAAGCCCGTTGTTCATCGGCAAACAAGAATTCGGCCAAACTCTTGGTCAGCTCCGTCTTACCAACACCGGTAGGACCCAGGAAGAGGAAGGACGCCAGAGGTCGGGTGGGAGACTGCAAGCCAGCGCGAGAGAGACGGATGGCATCGGCCACAGAGTGTACAACTTGATCTTGGCCAACAACGCGTTTTTTGAGCGAATCTTCCATCTGGGACAGTCAGTTGGAGTGCCATGAATGGACCAAAGACGACTCACATGTATGAGGCGTTCACGCTCTCCCTTGAGAAGGTTGTTTACAGGGATACCAGTCGCCTTGCCGACACTACAGCGATCGTCAGCTGAGGTTTCTAGATTGCAATATAGACTTACACAATGGCAATATCCTCGCTAGTCACCCTATCCTTGACTGCCATACCTGGCTCTGCCTCGTTCTCTGTAACTAGCTCCGCCTGAGCTTTTGGTAGCCTGCTCTGCAGCTGAGGGATGGTGGAGAATCTCAGCCTCGACGCCCTTTCAAACTCTCCATTCCTCTGTGACATCTCCAAATCAACGTTTGCTTGTTCAATCTGCTCCTTGATCTCCTTGATTTCTCCCACTCTTTCTCTCTCCTGGGACCACAAATCAGCCAGGCGTTTCTGCTCTTCCTTCTTGGTCTCCAGCTCTTCCTCCACCTTTTCCAGCCGACTGGCAGAGAAGGGATCGTCTTCATTCTTCAATGATTCTCGCTCAATCTCGAGGGTGACGATCTCGCGATCCAGCTTTTCGAGCTCGGCAGGACGAGACTCTTGAGCAAGCTTTAGCGCGGAGGATGCCTCGTCGACCAAATCAATAGCCTTGTCGGGAAGGAAACGATCGGAGATGTAGCGATCCGAATAGACAGCCGCGGTGACGAGAGCAGAGTCGGCGATCTGCACACCAAAGTGAACTTCAAACTTGGACTTTAATCCTCGCAGAATAGATATGGTGGACTCGACACTTGGTTCGTCCACGGAGATTGGCTGAAAGCGGCGCTGCAGAGCCGCATCTTGCTCAATGTACTTTTTGTACTCGTCGAGCGTTGTCGCTCCAACGAGCTGGAGACCACGGGCAAGGGCAGGCTTGATCATGTTGCCAGCATCGAGGGAGCCTTCAGCTTTGCCAAGATTGAGGAGGGTGTGGAGTTCGTCGATAAAGACAATAACGTTGCCTTCTTCAGCCTCTATATCTTTGAGAAGGGCTTTGAAGCGGGATTCGAATTCGCCCCGGACGCCAGTGCCGGCCATGAGAGCTGCCAGGTCGAGGGCAAGAAGACGTTTCCCATGTAATGACTGTGACTGTCAGTATGTGTCCTCCGAGTGGATCATATGACTTACCTCTGGCACTTCTCTATTGACGATCCTAGTGGCCAATCCCTCGAGGATGGCGGTTTTACCGACACCAGGCAGACCAAGAAGCACGGGGTTGCTCTTTGTCCTCCTGCTCAGAATCTGAATCGTTCTCTTGATCTCCTCGTCTCTACCGATAACAGGGTCGAGCTTGCCTTCATTAGCCAGCTCGGTCAGATCTTGTGAGAACTGTCTTAGTGTCTCGCCCTTTTCTGGCCCCTGGGCCTGGCCGCCAGGAAAGCGCATGCCACCAAAGCCTCCGGGGCCACCGCCGCCAGGAGGTTGAGAAGCATACCCACGTGCAAGGGCGGGGGCAGGGTGGGGAGCGGCGAGGGAGAGGGAGGGGAGAGATGGTCGGACGAGGCGAGCTGCTCGGATGGCCGGTGGGGGGATGGAGGGGATGCGGGCTGTTCTGATGAGGTGTTTTCGTGCAAGCATGACGGGCGGGGTGGTCTATAGAGAGGCGGTGGTTGGTTCTTATATAGGCTCGTCGACCATACCCATAGAATATTCTGGTATACCCTACTGGCGACTGGACAATGCCCAAGTCGGCGATGTCCGCAGGTACAGAAGAGACGCAATCGTCAGTTCGTCACTGCTGCATATCATCAGCCAGCCAGGTTGTATCGATATGTTACTCTGTGAAGCGTCATGTCCTGCCAGATTGAGCGGGCAGTGGGCGACTGGCACCACGACGGATTCACCTGGATATCTCATTGGGCTCAGTGATGGCTGGATCGAGAGTGGCCAGACGGCACATGCGAGGCGCGCGAGAATGTTGAATGAATGCCACTTTCTTTCCTTGGTTCTCGCAGACTGACTGATCTCAAGCAAGCCTCCACCCTCCACCAAGTCCACCAAGTGACCAAGCCCAACAGACAGACACCAAGACGAAAACGCGCCATGAGATGACTATGTAGTCGAGCCTGGACCAACGAGCAAGATCTCTCTGTGCCTTCAGGGTCGCGTTTGGGGTGTTGTTTGTGCGCATATTTGATCCCGTCTGGTCTTTTTCGAGCCCATCCATGCACTGGCAGCGAGGAGGAGGGGCATGCATGGGGGTGGGCGGGATTCATAAAGAGGAGGACAATACGCTGCGCCGGGTGGACGGATGCATGTGGGATGACGGATGGCGGTCTGGGGCACACTCCTACTGGAACACGGGGAAGAGGCCCCTTTGTCTTTCTCTTTCTCTTTTCTACATCAATCCATTCTATTTCTTTTTGCTTTTCCTCATCTCTCACAGTCCGGCCGGCAAACTCAACCACACTCTTTTGTATCAAATACCGCACCCGCCCAAGAACGACCTTCGACCACCATCCCCAGCACACCCCCCAGGTCACTTGACAACCACCAGACCGACAGCAACCACAACAACAATCCACCATGCGTCTCTCGACCGCCCTCCCCCTCGTCCTCCTCCCCGCTCTCACCCTCGCCCACCATGATCCCCTCCGCCCAGCACACCACAGAAGACAGCTCGCACGACACGGGCATGTAGCTTATGGCAAGCGAGTCCCGGCCATTGATGACATCCTTGGTGGTGGCAGCACTTCTAGCAGCGTATGTCTTTTGGGTATCATCGGGTGCTCTACCGTGCGTCGATCCATGTTGAGATCAAGCTCACGCTCCTGCAGGACGCGGCCACTTCGACAGCGTCCGCCGATGGAAAGTCAACATCAGGGGCCGCCGCCGCGACTTCAGCCGTAGCGTCGACCTCCGAGGCAGCCACGACGACCAACAGGGCCGAGGCGTCGACGTCGACAGCTGATACTTCCTCGGCAGCTCCCGGAACATCTCAAGCTGCCACGAGCACGGTCAATTCAAGCAGTGCAGGAAAGTCTTCCGCTGCTAGCTCTGCAGCGGGCAGTTCCAGCGCCTCTGCTTCGGCATCTGCATCAGCCTCGGATTCGAGTTCAGCTTGTAAGTCTTCTCCCAGGGGTCTACAGGGGAAGAGCCATACCTGCCCATCTCGTACATCCTGCGATATGGTTGCACGTCTGCGTTCTGCACCCCGTGGCCCGTGCGTCAAGTTTTCACGCTAACATCTTCCTAGCGGGCGCTGGTTCTATCCCTGCTTCGGGCCTCTCCGCTTCTTCTTCCCAGTCCGCTTCGCCCAGTCCCTCAGAGGTCACCGAGACCGCCTCGGGATCTTCTTCTCCCACCACCCCCGCCGCCCAATCCGTCCAATACACCACCGACTCTTCCGGTCAGACCCAGATGATTACAGTCGTCCTGACCCAATCTGCCGACGACGACGACCCCTCTACTGCGAATGCTGCTGCTACTGCCTCGTCTGCCAACACAGCGGCGACGAACGAAGATGACGGCTCGCTGTCTACGGGTGCGATCATTGGTATCTGTGTCGGTGTCGGCGTTGCCGTGTTGGCCTTGATTGGACTTGCACTTTGCAGGATGAGGAAGCGAAGCTCGGACGAGGACGAGGCTATTCGATGGTACGTGGCAAGATGTGCAAATTGAGAAAAAACTGACGTCCCCAGGCCTGAATTGAACCGTCACGGCGACTCTGACGTCCACCACGCCCTCCCTGCCCGCGAGACTGGTCAACACGGCTTTGAAACCAGCGGCATGTCTCGCCCCCTCTCTTCCGGTTCTTCCATTCACTACGCAGACTACCCCGCCGAGTACGGCTCCGCTGGCGGAGACTATCTCGGAACACCCATGCCCCATACCTCTGTCCCCATGGCTCTCGGCGGCTCCAACTTTGGCGCGAGCTCGACTCTGGAAGACGAGTACGATGAAAAGTACTCTCCTGCTCATCTTGACCACTCGGCCACCCACCTTGCCGGCGGTCCCCCTAGCCCCAACCCCAACAGTCTCGACGAACACGACAACTACTCCTCCTTGCCCCCTCCTGTCCAGCCGACTCCTGTCGGTCTCGGTATGGGCGGTATGATGTACGGCCAGGGGCACCCAAGCCCAAACCCGAGTGAGCACGCGATGCTGGACAATGAGGATGTCTACGGTGGGATGGGAGCGCAGAGTGTACAAATGACGCAGATGGGTGCAAGGGGGGGGGTTACATACCCACAAGTTGCCCTTACTTCCCCCGTGCCAGAGTATGGCATGGAGTACCCTGACTACCCTCGAGGTGGTTATTAGGTTGGAATGAGCAGGGGGTTTGGATGTTTCTTGTCGAAACATGTTTCGAGTTGCTGAGCAACGCTTTCTATATCTCTTCTATGTGTTGACTTCTTGAAGGAGAGCCGTGTATATACCGATTACTCGAGTTGATGCTGTGAGGAATAATAGTCCCCTTACTTCTCATATCATTTTTGACAAGCTCGAACCTGATTTAAGTAGTACAGTACAAGGTACTCTGAAATAACGATATAAGGGATCTTTACCGTATATATGTATACCCTGCCTATGACTTGCATCATTTCCGTTTTTAGCTCTTCCTTTCCTATTTCACTTATCCCGTTGACCACGAAATGAGTAATAGTAACAGTCAACAGCTGTTACATGATTACATCCAGCCGACACATTGTGTATCGTTTATCGTATTCGTGTATAACATCCCTAGCAGTCTCTATTTTGGAACCTGAAGCGTTGAAATCGCGCAACTAGGCGAGCTTCTTTGATCTTACAGACTTTCCACCGGCAGCCTCGGTCCTATCGCCATTTCGTATCATTAGCGCCATTCGCCCACAAACAATTCTCCCAAAGACTTCTGACTCACGGACTCGCAGCCCCTGCCTCTCCCTTCTTGAAGCCGAAAGCATCCTTATGACCCTTGACCATATGGGCACCCCTCTTGAATGCGCCTTGCATGTTCTGAATGTATTCGTCCCTCGAGGGGGCAACACGGTCGGTCTTGATAGCGACACGAGAAGCAGAGGCGTCATATGAGACGTTGGAGTTGAAGTTCTTGGAGGGGGCGGTAGCGTTCGAGTGGGGGTCAAGGAAGTGGGCATAAGGGCGCGCGAAATCTGGTAATGTGTTGGCACGCACGAACAAGGATGGCAGTAGATGGGATTGGAAACTTACGGACGGCAGCGCAGAATATAGCCAGTAAGACCAGGGAAGAGATGATATCGAACCAAGAGCTATATGGAGTTAATATATGATTCTGATGTGTTCCTCGCTGCAATGATAAGGGCCTTGGTGAGGAGAGTGGGATAGCTGGTTGCCAGTCACGAGCAAGTAGCAGGCGAAAGCGCAGCAGCAGTCTCTCGTGACCTCACAGTGCCCCCGAGATCTCTCAGGTGAGGTTGACTCAAGATGATACAGGGTGATTCCACTTACGCCATGATGACTGTTTATGCTCTCGACGATTATGGACTGTGGTAACCAAACAAAGCAGTGAAAGCGACATGTATGGCCACAGTATGGGACATTGGCAGCACGAGATTTGATCCCGCGTAAACAACGAAAGGTCCCGTTCAGATTTCCGTCCATTCCAAGTCCATTCTCTCTTTCACCACTCTCACTTTTCTTGTTCACTCCCGAGCGGTTTCTGGAAGCAAAGAAAACCGACATGTCTCTTCCATACCCCCCGACAGCTCTCAGGAGCACCCAAGATTACGCCGTCATCGCCTCGGGACCAGAAATCTTCCTGTACGACCCCAGGACAGACAAAGTGGCCGCTTCCAGCTCCAACGCCGGGACAGGCAACACCAAGCACTCCGGCCTGATCAGATTCATTGCTGTATCTGATGACGCCTCCCTCATCGCCACTCTTGGCGACGACAAGTCTCTCAAAGTCTGGGACGTGAAGAAGGAAGGAGAAAATCTGTCGTTAAAGTTGAGGAGCGACAGGACAGTGGTCAAGAAGGGGAGTGATCTTTGTTTCGGTCCGGATGGGAGTATCATTTTATCTGATAAAGTGGGAGACGTCTACTCGTCAGTCTGAACCTCTACACGTTTCGAAACAACAGCTTACAGACATGTACAGATACCCCCTCGACCCTATCCCAGCCTCCGCCGAACGACCCCCTCAGCACGCCCTCGTGTCTGACCCTTCTCAGAACCCTGATGCCACCTACCTTCTCGGTCACGTCTCCATGATCAACGCCCACCTCATGTCGGCTGATGGAAAGAGGCTTATTACGGCGGACAGGGATGAGCACATCAGGCTGAGTCGGTATCCCAAGGGATATGTGATTGACCGATATCTGTTTGGGTCTGACGGGTGAGTCCATCATATCACATCTGTAAAGGCTTAACTGAACATCCTGGAGATTTGTATCTGCACTTCATATTCCTCGCACGCATCCCAACACTCTCCTCGCAGCCGGCGGTGAACCTTTCCTCAACATCTTCTCCCTTTCCCCGGCTCTTGCCTCTTCCCCGCTCCTCGCTTCTATCCCCATCTACCCCTCCATCCTCTCCTACCGTCGTGTTCGCTCTCACCTCCGGCGCCACAAGCCCGGATCTCGTAAGCTCAAGCTCGAACCTGCGCACGAGGACGTGAAAGAGGAGGACAAGGCGTTCTACGAGGCAGAAGATGGCTATATGCTGCCAGCTGGGCAAGGAGTGTGTGTCAAGAAGATTTGGACCCTTCAAGTGGGAGAGGAGGTGGTGGTTGTGTTCTTCTCGGAGGGTGCCGCTTCGCTGCATTCGTTCGTCTTGCCGAAGGAATCCGAGATCCAGGGGTCAAAGCCACAGGTCCACACACTTGCCGTCGACCATCCGGTGATTGAATTCACCAACGTTCCCTCCACTTTCGCTTCGGACCACGTCAACCTCTTGGTGTCGCTCGATACCGCCTGGGACGTATTGAAGAAGAACCCTGGACCGGGGACAGAAGGTCGACAAGATGTTGTTGAGAAGCAGGATCTTTCAGAAGAAGAGAAGGAGAGTCTGAGGAAGGTGCTCGTGGTCGTCAAGGTCGCAAAAGACGGAAGTGTAAGTCCCGCATCCACAGTCAGATCGACAGTGATTAATGAAGTATGTAGCTCTCACTTGAGCAATCACCTCCCAACTCCCTCACTTCCTCTTTCCCCACCACAACCCCTTCCCAAATCTCCCAAGCCAATTTGTATCCCCTCCTTGGCGTCCTTCCTCGCTGGCCCGGATACGAAGAGGAAGAAGACGCTCCCAACTCTTCCGTCCCCGGCGGCGAGCCCATCCCTGCTCCTGCCGCGGGCCCTGGCGGTGCGTACACTAACGAGGAGCTGGAATCGATGAATACCAAGCAGCTCGGGCGACTCAAAGCTTCAGGTGTGGATGTGGGTGCGATCATGTTGAGGAGGAAGAAGGAGGCAAAGGAGGAGAACAGGAGGATCCAGAAGGAGAAGGAAGAGAAGAGGAAGGCGAAAGCAGCTGAATGGGGAGCTGGCAGTGGTCAGAAGAAGAATGAGTGGAGGGGCGAGAGACCAGCCAAGAAGAAGAAGGTGGCGGATGAGGAGACTGCCGGCAATGAATAGCCAAAGTTTGTGTTTGGTGTCCTCTTCTCTCTTCTCTTTTGTGTCCTCTTCTCTCTTCTCTTTTGGAGTTCAACTTGCATATGCATCGCATTAATTGTCCCTTAGCCCTTGTCGCCCACCTCATTCTGTATACGGGGATGGGATGCATGTCGACGTTATGACTATTGTACAATGGGCCCCTCTGGTTACCGAATGGAGAGATGCTGGTGAAAGTTTTGAAATTGATGAAACTAAGCCTTGGGCGCAGGAGCGAGACCTCGCAAGGTGAGATCATAGACGACATCTTCACATCTCTTGAGGTCGTACTTCAGCGAGTCGAAGCGCCTGCGGAGAGCATCATTTCGCAAGTTCAGCTGCGTAAGCCCTCGTAAGTTCTCTTTCACTAGCCCGACTTGATTACAGGTCGTATGATGGGACATACAAGGGAGTAAGAGGAGAAGATATCATTGACGAAAGCCGAAATCTTGACGGGCAAGTCAAAGTTCTGGGAGGTGACGGCGTTGATGGACAGACGAGGCTACACCATTGCGATCAGCTTGACGTGTATGGCTTGACAAGGTGTCTCGCACGAGTTCGTTGACAGCGCTAATTACACCTTGAAGGTAATCTTCAGCGGACAGTATAAGGTTTTTGGTGGTATCTTGTTCCACTGTGATACGCAATCACGTCAGCCTTCGAACTGTGAAATACCTCTCATGATCTTCTTTCGCATGCAGAAAATAGAATATGAGGCCAAGGGATGGAAGTGAACAATACGCACATCCAATGAGGTCCGAAACGGTGAAAGCTGGTGTCAGCTCGTCGAAAAGCATGAATCGAGAGAAAACGATGGTCTGGGTAAGGGAGCGGTTGATGGGGCCAATAGCATAGGAGTATCTATATCACATGGATCAATATTCATGATAATGGAAGACTATAGTGGAAGTCGGGAGAAAGACGTACCTGTGGAATTCACCCTCGGGGATCAAGCTGGCGACACTGGCCCATAGAGGCTTGATGTCCCTGGTGATCTCCAGCGACTTTTCGCAGATCGCCGCGTCTAGCCGACCACCATGGTCAACGTCAGCTCTCTATATGTACATCGGATCCAAGGCGCCTGTTGGTGCGGGATACACCGGGGAGCACAAATGGCACTTCAATGACACAGGACATACGCTGGGCAGAGGGAGCAGAGTGTATTTTGTTGACGGTGCTCCACGCAGATCGAGCGAGATCCTCGATGGGTTCGAGCGACTCTTTGACTTGCTACACAGATCCAAAGATGTAACGTCAGCACGCATATACTTTCCAGTCATGACCAGCCCATCGGCGTGAGAGTGGGTGACCGGCAGTGCGACCGACCTTGCGAAGTTCTTGGTCCTTTTCGAGGTTGGCGATAGCAGATGCGAGGGTGTTGCTGACGGACTCTGTTCGAGAAGACATACTGACGTTGTGGCGGTTGTACTTGTCCAGTGCTCACAAGATACGTTTGAGATACGTTGGAATTGCAGAGTGGAGGCCGGGAGCTGATGCGGGAGAAAAGGGAGAAAAGCGCTGCACTTAATAAACGCGTCGCGAAACGCGTCCTGACCCTGAACTTTCCATCTCTCTTCTCTCTTCTCTCTTTCTTCTCCATCCGCCATGTCCTCCCCCCCCTACCCCCCCTCCTCCCAGCAGCGTCCCAAACGACCCCGCTCCCGCTCCAGGTCCCCCACCGCCGGGCCATCGGGTCTGCGCTCTTCCCCGCCTCCCTCGTCTCTACCACCATCCTCCCTGCCCCCTTCTTCGCCCCCTCAGCCATTCTCTGACTTTGGAGATGACCCCGCAGTGGGCGATGATGAAGCCGAGGCTAGGCAAGTAGGCAGGGAGAACAACGATGATGATGATGATGAGGGCGAAGACTTGTTCAACGATGACATGCTTGCGTGAGTTTTCTCGCGCGAATGCGCCATTGGGCAGTACCTAACGCGTCTGATCAGCGACTATGACGAAAATGCCGGCCTCGACACATACTCTCAAGCAGACATCGATGATCGATCGTCCGTCGCTGGCCCTACGCGTGGCGAACGACTCGCGGCTGAACGTCAAATGGAGCTCCGAGACCGTGGCGTCTCTGGTCGGCGCGCAGGCCGTCGAGATCACATGCCGGCGTTCCTCCAGTCTGATGACGATGAGGCTGAGCCTTACGGCGATGACCCGCTGGCTGGAATCAACGTGAGGCGAAGGAGGAGGCAATATGATGAGAGGATGGATATGGATGATGTGCAAGAGGAAGAGGAAGAGCTGTCATTGGAACATTTGGGAGATGTCAAGGCGGCGAGTATCTCCGAGTGGGTCTCGAGAGATGCGGTCAGGAGGGCAATCCAAAAGCACTTTAGAAGCTTTTTAATGACTTACCTCGACCCCAATACCGGACAGTCTGTCTATGGTCAAAGGATCAAGCATCTTGGTGAAGGTGAGTGATGAATCCAAGGTTGTGACGGCCTGTACTGACGTCTTCATAGTCAACTCTGAATCTCTCGAGGTCTCATACATCCACCTTGCCAACGCTCGTCCCATCTTGGCCTATTTCCTCGCCAACTCTCCCCAACCCGTGCTTGAGCTTTTCGACCAAGTTGCCCTTGACGCCATCCTCCTCTACTATCCCTCCTACGACCGTATCCACTCCGAAATCCACGTTCGTATCACTGAGCTCCCCACGTCCTTGTCTCTCCGAGACTTGCGTCAATCCAACTTGAACTGTCTCGTACGAGTGTCCGGAGTCGTCACCCGCCGAAGTGGTGTCTTCCCCCAGCTCAAGTATGTCAAGTTTGACTGTCAAAAATGTGGCGCCACACTGGGCCCGTTCTTCCAAGACACAAACAAGGAGCTCAAGATATCCTTTTGTTCGTCCTGTGAGAGTCGAGGCCCCTTCTCGGTCAACTCTGAACAGACTGTATATCGAAACTACCAAAAGATGACTCTGCAAGAGTCTCCCGGCAGTGTCCCTGCAGGTCGTCTGCCTCGTCACCGAGAAGTGATCCTTCTTTGGGACTTGATCGACATGGCCAAGCCTGGTGAAGAGGTCGAGATTACCGGTATCTATCGTAACAACTTTGACGCATCCCTCAACTCGAAGAACGGTTTCCCAGTCTTCTCTACCGTCCTCGAGGCCAACCACATCAACAAGAAGGAGGATCTCTTTGCTGCTGTCCGATTGACGGAAGAGGACGAAAGGTTGATCCGAAGCATGGCTCGAGACGACCGTATCGCCAAGCGAATTGTCAAGTCGATTGCTCCTTCCATCTACGGGCATGACGACATCAAGACGGCCATCGCCCTATCTCTTTTCGGGGGTGTCCCCAAGGATATCAACCGAAAGCATCGAATCCGAGGTGACATCAATGTCCTCTTGCTTGGTGATCCCGGTACTGCCAAGTCTCAATTCTTAAAGTATGTCGAAAAGACTGCGAACCGTGCCGTGTTTACTACCGGTCAGGGTGCTTCGGCGGTTGGTCTTACCGCCTCTGTGCGTAAAGATCCCATCACTCGAGAATGGACGCTCGAAGGTGGTGCATTGGTGCTTGCCGATAAGGGCCACTGTCTCATCGACGAGTTTGACAAGATGAATGACGCCGACCGAACGTCCATCCACGAAGCCATGGAGCAGCAATCCATTTCCATCTCCAAGGCTGGTATCGTCACCTCCCTCCAAGCCCGATGTGCCATCATCGCTGCCGCCAACCCTATCCGAGGTCGTTACAATCCGACCATTCCTTTCCAGCAGAATGTCGAGTTGACAGAACCGATCTTGTCGCGATTCGATGTGCTGTGCGTGGTCAAGGATGCGGCGGACCCGGTGCAGGATGAGATGTTGGCGCAGTTCGTGGTAGGAAGTCATTTGAGGAGTCATCCAAACTTTAACGCGGAGAGCGATGAGGTGAATGTTTCTACCTCGGTGGATGCCGATGTGAGTGCTTTTTTAAAAATTGATGATGCGCGGCTGACAGCGAACAGATCATTCCCCAAGATCTCCTCCGAAAGTACATCATGTACTCCAAGGAACACATCCGTCCTCAGCTCCACCAACTCGACCAAGACAAGCTCGCCCGTCTCTACGCCGACCTTCGACGTGAATCTCTCGCTACGGGCTCCTTCCCCATCACTGTCCGACATCTGGAGTCGATGATCAGAATGGCGGAGGCGAGTGCCAAGATGCATTTGAGAGATTATGTGCGAGGGGATGATATCGATTTGGCCATTCAAGTGGCTGTTGGAAGCTTTGTCAATGCGCAAAAGATGTCTATCAAAAAGACTCTTGAACGAGTAAGTCGCCGTTTTGCAACATATTTATCATTGCTGACGATGATTTAGGGCTTCCGTAAATACGTCCACCAGGCCACCGACCACGAGGAACTCCTCTCCTTCCTCCTGGGCAGCATCGTTAAAGAAAAGGTGCAGCTTTACCGCCACGCCCACGGTGAGAACCCCAACAAGGTGCAGGTCAAGGTCTCGCAGCTCGAGAGCCGGGCCAAGGAGCTGGAGATTTACGATGTGCAGCCGTTCTTGAGAAGCAGGCTGTTTGGGACGAATGGGTACAAGATGGTGGAGAGTGACGGGGTGAGGAGCGTGGAGAAGACTTTCACTGTGGGAAATTAATAAAGCCTTGGGCCCGGTGAATGGGTCCATAGATCTAGTCTTTTGGTATCTTTCGTACGCTTTTGAATGTAAATCTTGTATGGCAGTAACGTCTTTCTGTATGTCGGGCCAAGCAGTGCATTCAAATTCAGACGCTTTAACAGAAAGTTGGAGACAGATATGGAGATACACGACTAAAAACCTGATACATACAAGATTCCCTTTTGTTTTCTATCGACTTTCACTACCCAAGCAGCACATCTTGCTCAGTCGTGGTATTTGCCGGTGAAACCGGGCACAATCTGGGCGTTCTCTCCCTCTCTGTGCGCCGACCTCTTGGTCTGCTGCCACTTTTGCTTGAGCGTGACAAACTCTGGCGTTTGATCAGCTTCAATCCCTTCAGTACGCAAGGGGTGACTTACCGCCCATAGTAGGCACTTTGTGTCCACCCTTTTCAAACTCATTCTGGGTGAACCCTTCGCGCTTGAGCAAGGGGCTGTCGACAGTGCTTAGTGGGGTGTCGTTTTGAGGTCGGGCAAAGTAGAGAAGACCGAGACGGTCGAAGGACTGTTGGTCCTTGGGCGGCAGGGAGACCTGGCTTCTTGTCAGCCAGGAACGTTGGAGAAAAGAGCCGAGGGACGTACTCGGTGGATGGTGGACTTGATGTAACCACCAGTGAGGAAAGACAAGGCATCACAGGTGTTGACGGTCAAAGACCCATCAAGCGGCTTGGCCCATTTCCAATCGCCCGTCGCGTGGTCCTTGATCTGGAGCGCTGCCACCGGCTGCCTGAACAGCAGCGTCAACGTCCCCAGATCCGTGTGGCCGATACTGTAGAGGCCATCCCCTTCTCGAATCTTGGCAATTTCCTCCTCGTTAAAGTGGCGGTACATCATGTAACGAAGGTGGTCTTCCGACTGCTGCTCGTATTTGTGAAGGTTGGTGAAAAAGTCTTCAGGGAGCTCGAGAGCGAGGGCGATGAGGATATGAAGGGGGTCGAGGACGTTGGTGTGAAGGGAGCGAGCGAAAGACTCAACTTCGCCGATGTTAGACTGGATCACCTCTGGCTGAGCACGCTCATGGAAGCCGTCAAATTCTGTGGGATCGGGTCAGTAAACGTCTATACGAGAAGAGTAGACTTGCTAGGGATGTTGTACACCTCAGTTCTGTCTTTGACACCACCGCCGAGTACGGCTCTTCCAGCAGGCCTGTAGCCATTGTACTCGCCGTTCTCGAGGTCGGGGGTGTACTTGCTCTTTTCCTGGAGGGGCAAGTTGTAAAACTTGCTGCCCAAGGCGAACTGGCGGTCGACCTTCTCCTGGGGGATGCCATAGTTGATGACGTAGAAGAAGCCCTTTGTGCGGATAGCATCGAGGAGGGTGTGTGCGAGCTCTTTGCGGCCCTCGGGGTCGTTGAACTTTGCGAGGTCGATGGTGGGCACTGGCTATGGTGAGCGGGGCTGCCTGGGGGGGATATGATTACGTACGGTCTGCCCAGTCGAGGTCCTCCTTTGTCTCTGGGACGTAGTCGTAGTGGAATATCTGGGGGACGGGGACGGGCATCGTGTCGTGGTTGTGCTTGTGCTAGTGAAAATGGCAGCCCTATATAGCCGCCGTCGGCGATCCCGACGCTGCAGATGACGAGCTCGGAACGCCGGTTGAGCACAGATGGCGCAATGTGAGCGTCCTTTGGTCCGGCCAGCGCCGGGTGGTGGTGCGATGGGGATGGGGAATGGGGGATGGCCGAGATCGACTACCAGGACTCGGATTACAGATAAGAGAAATTTTATTTCAGCATGTCTCACTCGAGCTCCAAAAAAGTTCGCTTCAAGGCTTCATGGCGTGATACAACATGTACTTTACGTGCGTGGTACAACATGTACGTGATCCACCGTTCCCTCGTAGCCTGCCAAATAGACAGTCTTATAAGCCTAGCTGAGATGAAGAGGCCCTCATTCGCCCAACGCTCTGCGAACACATCACAGTAATATGGGCGCGTTACAAAGAGCAAGACAAAGAAGCAAGGTCGTGGACGTGGTGGTCGACGTCTTTGACTGGTACCGTGAGTCGCTCAGGTACTACTGCTCCGGGACAGCGGTTGACAATTTTTGTAGCCGCGCACTACCCCAAGCAGGAGCGTAAACTGCTACGTAAGATGGACATCGGTATCCTCATCTTTGGTTGTCTGAGTTGTGAGTGGCTTTGCAGTGCTTTCTTTCATGGCCTCTAACACAGTGTAGTCTTCTGCAAGTATCTCGATCAGACCAACATCACGAACGCCTATGTCTCTGGTATGGAGGAAGACATTGGGGCTACCGGCAACGACTTGAATTACTTTAACGTGGCTTGTACTTATCATCTCTCGCTGCCACACCAGAGTCAAGTTGACATCTTTCAGACTTTACCGCCTATGTCATTGGACAGATACCACTGATAGCCCTCCAGTCAAAGCCTGCCATGTAAGTATATTACTGAGCTAGTAGACCATCTCTGATGCTTGCTCAAGAGCTCCTTACCTTCTGCCGACCATGGAAGTTATCTGGGCCATCCTCACCTTTGTCCAGTGCCGAGTCACCAAACCTTGGCACTTGTACATCCTCCGTGCTCTTCTGGGATTCTTCTCTGCTCGTGAGTCCACTAAACTCCACATCTAACACATGACTAATCGAGATATAGCCTCGTTTGGCGGAACCCATCTTGTTCTCGGAAGTTGGTACAGAAAAGAAGAGCTTTTCAAGAGGGCCGGCGTTTGGTTCACTGGTAACGCTCTTGGTAGCGCCTGCGGGTACGTCTGATCCTATTCTTTGAACAATAATTTACAGAAGCCCAGCGGCTACATCCAGGCAGCTGCCTACAAGAACCTCGAGGGCGTCGGAGGCATGCGCGGCTGGCGCTGGCTTTTCGTCATCAACGGCATAGTCACCCTCCCCGTCGCCGCCATCGGCTTCGCCCTCTTCCCCGGACTCATCAACTCACCCCGACGATGGTGGTGCACTGAGGAAGAATACGAGCTCGCCAGGACGAGGCTATCAAAGGACCATGGAGCAGACCAGGGAGTTACGTGGCAGACAATCAAAGATGTGTTGAGGAAGCCCATGATCTGGATATGTGTGCCGTCCTATATGTGAGTCCTTCTCTGGACAGAGGAGATCAAGGCGCTGACTGAGAACAGCTTCTTATGCCAAGCGTCGTATTGGACAGGGTACATGACTCTTTGGCTCAAGCGCGACACCAACTACTCTATCGAGCTCATCAACATCCTTCCCACTTTCTTGTACCTCATCCAGGCTATCGCCTCTTGGGTTGGCACGACTCTCGCCTGTGCACTCAGCACTAGGGTCTTGTGGACGTTCCAAGCGTTTGCCATCATCTTTCCCACGATTCTGCTGTGTATCTGGAACATTCCCAACGGGCTCAAATTCTTTGCATTCTACTTTTCCGGGTTCCATTACATGGCTTCTCCCATCTTTGTGAGTCATCTTCTTCAATCCGATCAAGACATATACTGACTCTATAACAGTACTCTTGGATAAATGACACCCTCCGCTCCTCTCCCGCAGAACGAGGCTTGATCATCTCCGCCTGTATGACCCTCGGATACACTTTCTACATCTGGGTTCCCCTCTTTACCTTTCCCACCGTCGAAGCACCCCGCTTCAAACACGGCTATCCTCCTTCCATCGTGTTCGCAGCAGCGCTGTATCTCTTGGTGCTCTTTGGAATGTGGTATATGGAGAAGCATCCGGCTGTGCCAGAGGTGCAAGAGGGAGATATTGAGAGGAGGAGCCAGGAGAGTGAGCAGGAGGGGGCGAGGACACCGGGAAGCGAGTATGAGGATGAAAAGGACGCTTCTGAGGTAGGGAAAAAGGAGATCAAGGGGACCGTCGTGCTCGGCCGGGAAGCCAAGGCGTTCACTTCGGTGGGAGTACCGACGGCCAAAATAGGTGCATAGAAGATACGTTAGATTGTATGTTCCGGTTTCAGGGTTATGTATGTTTTTCAGACAATGATCTTGTACGCTGCTGTTTCAATGGATGGTGTAGACACTAGATAGACATATCTCGGAATGTCACGAGAATCGAGGGGCTACACTTCCGGGTCTACATCGATAGCATCATCATCATCAATGTCTCCACAACACCGATCATGGCCAGGAAAGAAGGCATTCAGAAACAGATCGTCCAGGATTTAAGGTGAATATGAGTACTAGGGTGCGTATAGAGCAAGACTTCAGTAATGTATCGTCTTTGTAGACTTTCATCTCGTGTCACTCAGCTTGCACTCAGCCCCTGCTGCTGCTGCTCAGCCCGGCTGACGTTTACTTACGTAATCAGTTCTTTCAAGCGCGACGCGATGATCCCTGCTGCACTCCTGTCATTTAAATGTCCATCTTCGAAACCTCTTCATAGCCAACATAAGCACTGATGGCGTCGTCATCATCCACACTACCGCCCCCACCAGCTACCGCGAAGCACGCCGATGCTGAGGGCTATGAGATGCCTTGGTCCGTCTCCCTCTTGCTCCCAAAGCCACGCGCCTAGCTGACATGACACGCCCCCAGGGTCGAAAAATACCGCCCTGTCCTCCTCCAAGACATTGTAGGTAACAGCGATACCATCGATAGACTCAAAGTCATCGCTGAGGATGGCAATGTTCCACATATCATCATTTCTGGAATGCCGGGTATTGGAAAGACGACTAGTATACATTGTCTGGCGCATGCGCTGTTGGGTGATGCGTATAAGGAGGGAGTCTTGGAGCTTAATGCCTCTGATGAACGGTAAGCGCTTCTGCCAATCATGAAAGAGATCACTGTTGATCAAAGGTCAGTGGTATCGATGTGGTTCGAAATAAGATCAAGACATTCGCACAACGAAAAGTGACACTTCCTTCAGGAAGGCACAAGATCATCATCCTTGACGAAGCCGACTCGTGAGCACTCACGCAAGCTGCTAGAGTCTGAGCTGATGCGATCGGCCCCAGCATGACAGCAGGTGCCCAACAAGCCCTTCGGCGTACAATGGAGATCTACTCCAACACCACTCGCTTCGCTCTCGCCTGTAACATGTCGAACAAGATCATCGAACCTATCCAAAGTCGATGTGCCATCTTGCGGTACGGTCGTTTGAAGGATGCGGAGGTGTTGAAGAGGCTGAAGGAGATTTGTGAAATGGAGAAGGTATGTGCTTGTGCTTCGTTCTCAAGATCCAGAGGGCTAACCCTCGAGACCAGGTCGAGTACAACGACCAAGGTCTCGCAGCCCTTATATTCACCGCCGAAGGTGACATGCGTCAAGCAATCAACAACCTCCAATCTACCTTTTCTGGCTTTGACTTTGTCAACCAAGACAACGTCTTCAAAATCTGTGATCAGCCCCACCCCATCACCATTCGGCAAATGATCAAGGACTGTCAGGATGGGAAGATCGATGAAGCCCTGGCGAGAGTGAACAATCTTTGGGAGCAGGGGTATTCAGCAGTGGACATTGTTGTTACGATATTCAGGGTGGTCAAGGGTATGGAGGAGCTGCCAGAGTATCTGAAGTTGGAGTTCATCAGGGTGAGCACTATTGCGCAATGTTCTCGCGAGTTACTGACTATCCACAGGAAATCGGATGGACACACATGCGCATTTTGGAAGGTGTTGGAACACTCGTGCAGCTGGGTGCCATGATCGCTCGTTTGTGTAGATTCAGCCTTCCTCCCAAAGCTCTGAAGATATAGCCGCAACTCCATGCACTGTATGACATTATTACAATACGTATACATCAAAACATGAGTTTAGAGTTGAGTCTATCCGTAAATGCTTTTCACTCCTCGAATCTACCCAAGGCTTGCCCGACCTTGACCTTTTCTCCGGCTTCAACGCCAAACTTCCAGTTCTCTGGCGCTTCAAACACAAGCACCACCGTGCTTCCCAACCTAAACCCTCCCATCTCCTCTCCGGCCAAGAGCGGCTGTCCCTTCAGGACCGACGCCGAACTGTAGGTCGCCTCGGCGTAGGTCTTGGGCGGGTGCGAGAGGACTCGGGTGTTGGTCCGAAGGGCTTGATCAAAGTTGATTCGGATGGAACCGACGTTGGTGGCGCCGACGGGGACCATGGAGTAGAACCCGTGCTTCCACCTGCCCAACAACGCTACTCGCTCGTTGAGGACAAACAAGTCTTGCATCCTGTTGGCAACGTAGGGCGAGACGGAGAAAAGATCTCCTGTAAAGTGTCGTCGACGCTCAACGACCCAAGAGGTGGGCGAATGGAAACGGTGGTAGTCTCCCGGGGCGAGATAGATGACCATGAAGAAGAGCTTGTTGTGCTCTGACAGCCTGGGGAGCTGGGTGTGAGAGTCGATCTTGTTGCCGAGAGCGCCTACACCCAGCTGGGCAGCGACCGAGGCATCGTGGGCCAATTGCTCTCCTTTGGGTGGATGACTAGCATCTTCCACCTGCCCGTGCTTTTTCGCTTCAGATTGCTCCCTTGTCTGACCCGCAGACTCTGGTCCAGCACCTTGGCCCAGCAGAGCAGACAGGGAGTACGGGATGTCGTTGATCTTGGCAAAGTTCTCGTCTTCAACGACTTGAGGTTGGGAAGTTCGGGGAATATCGGTAGATTGGCCATAAGCGGGAGAATCAGAACCAAGAAGGGCTCCCAAAGAGTAGGTGATACCCTTGACTTGCTCGACGCGTTCGCCAACAATCTCGCCAAAGTGGAGGACCTTGCCGTCCGCTGGAGACACCTGCAGCAGCAGGTTAGAATTGCAACCTAATTTCGAGGCGAGAGAACGTACCATGGGGCTGTCAGCAACAGGCCTGGCTCCGACCTTGATCTCTCTATAGAAGAAATCTCCTAAACTCTCATACTCCTTCAGATCCTTCGGCACTTCATCAAGGTTACATCCGAAAATCTTGGCGTAAAGTGTGAATCCGAATGGTCTGAACCATACAGGGAGTACGAGACCATTCAAATAGCCCCAGAGCTGAGAGAGAGAACGAAGAGGGAGGGCGCCCATGACTCGGACCTGCTTCATGATCAGCGAGCGATTGAACACCTCATCAATAAAGACGCACTTGCCAAGGGCCATCGGCTTTCCTTTTCAGCACTGCCCCTCCTTCCCCTTGGCTCTCCACCTCCACTTCTCCTCTGGCTTGCTTCCGGTATTGCACGCCTAAAAGTACGAGGGCACCGAGCGCGATAGGGATGGGATACCATTTGGTAGGAGTAGACCAGGCATGAGCTACTTTTTCTGCATGGCGGGCAGGTGATGAGCTAAGGCTCCGGGTGTGGTATTATAGCTTACCATTGTAAGACTGCTCTTTGGAACCTTCGCTTCCAGACTGGGGAGACCGTCGCGGAGTAGCCTTGAAGTCTTCAGGCTCAAACTTGGGTGGTCTAGTGCTGTTCCATCGGAGCTGGGGGCTGACCCTGAGCAGAGGCAGGGAAGCGTAGCGGTGGGAAGGAGCAAGGGTGCGCTTGAGAGGCGCAGCGTTCCGAAGAATCATCATCGAGAACAGAGGCAAGTGAACAATGCGATAGAGACAAAAGTCGGAGGAAGGCAGCGTCGGTGGAGCGAGGCGGACAGCGCCGCTCTCTGATCTTGTATTGAGTTTGAGATGTCCAGAAACAATCTCGATCGAGTATGTCAGGATGGATCAACAAAATCTTGAATCGGGATAGAATTGATCTACCCTGTTTGATCTCAGTTTGGGATTGTTTTGAACTTGGTTCAGGATTGTTATTTCAATCTCATTTCTGGATCAAATGTTGCATATGCCATGATCTTGATCTAGGCTCAATTCTACTCTCCTTATGGCTACAAAGATCTCTCCGAAACAGCTGAACACACACAAGGACGCTATCCTATTGTGAAGTAGTTGCTTTACCCTTCATGATACGAGTCGGAGCCTGTATAGCATGATTAGTGAATGCGTATCTTCCTTCCACAGATATAACGACTCACATTCAGTCATTCCATGCACTCAAGGGGGCGTAATTGGCGGAAGAGAAGCAGGAACAGAAGGGAAAGGAAGCTCACTATCAGCAAATTGCTCGGTGCGCGGGCCTGGACGGAAGGTGTCGTCGAGTGTCGTGAGGAAGAGCTTGTGGGGCGACGTTGGGCGATAAGCACGCGTCCTGGGAAAGGCAGCGAAAGTTTTGGCGAGTATACTGGTGGTGATGAGATGAGAAGACGATGAATAAGAGATGGATGAGTGCCCGAGCGTAAAGATAGATCAGTTCAATGACGCAGAGCAACTAAAGGCGGCATACTCAACTGCTTTCCGAGTACCGCCAAATACACCCCGTCTGATGAGTGGGGAAGAGCATCTCGCTGGATGCAGGGGGAAGGTAGCCTGGCAAGATACGAGTCAGTACGGATGGAAACGTTGGAAAAGACAGCGCACGGACCTCTGCCGGGTGGCGAATGCGGGTGGTGTTGACGCCGGCGTTGTTTCAGAACGCACGGTGGGATGCAGCACTGGGAGACGGTGTTGAGGAGGGGAGGACGGGGGTGTATATAGGATGAGTGGCTGACGGAGAGAAGGGTGTGGTGGAAGGCGGGAGGGAAGACATTGTAGAAAGGTGAAAGAGAAAGAGAGATGACAATCACTCAACGACAAGGACGCGACTTGCTTCGGCGGTGGCCCAAGCACGCGGTGTTTGGACTTAACCATTTGAGAGGTCGCCAAAGCCCATAACAAGACTACGGCGGCTATGTCTCTATGGCAATGATCACAGATATGTCAAAACAATCCCAGACTGGGATCATTCAGTGACAGACAGATCAAAATGATCTTGAAATAAGATCACCAACCGGGCACCCAAATCTCGCCTCGATCAATAGCATCCCAGTCCAAGATAGAAATAATCGAGCTAGATAGAAATGATCTTTGGCTGGATGAATACAGCCCTGCATTGATATGAAAGTAATCGAGAAAGCTCAAAACAATCTCGCGCGGGCCCCACAGTGGTGCAAGCAGCTAGATACTTTGACCTGGTACAGCACAGCTTCATATGGACAGATAAGGTCTTGAATAACCAGCGCATGACATGCTTTTTGATATCATATCCGCAATGGCCACTCAGAATCAGTCGACTGTCTAGAGTGACTCTCCCTCAACCTCCAGCAACCCTCCCATATTCGTCAAATTGCACTACCTCCAACATGAACGAATTGTATAATACAAATCAACCGAAAGGTGAGCTCTCCTCACGGGTTCAAACAACAGATATGACCGAAGCTCTCTTGCGTCGTCTGCTGCAATCGTTACTCAAGACACCCGGCGCCGTATCGATTGTGAGGATGATCAGACAATTGCAGAGTAGACCACGAGTATGTTGAAGGTATCAAAGGGATCCCGAAGACGCTTTCCATTGTTGACATTGCGACGAGTACCACATAATGCATATGCAAACTTTCACAAGCCATCTTAACGCTTGACCCAAGTGTACTAAGAAACTCTGGTCAGTACCACCACAACAGCAGGAGAGACGACTTACACCCTTCCTGGCCTTGGCCCTGCCAGTCTTCTTCCTCTCCACCATTCTCGGATCTCTCATGAGCGCACCGTCTATGGCACAATTGTCAGCGTAAGCAGGCCATACAGATCGACTGGATGAACGCACCGGCCCTGAGCACGTCAACAGCATCTTCCTTCAGCACACTCAGCGCCCTTGCAAGACCAAGGGCTACAGCTCCCGCCTGTCCGCTCACACCCCCACCCCTCGAGAAGGCAAAAACATTGTAAGCCCCCAGCAGGCCTGTCAAGCGGAGGGGCCGGAGGACGGCCTCACGGTCGGCGAGGCGAGGGAAATAGGTGTGAAGGGGTTGGTGGTTGATGAGAATCTCCGGTTTCGGGATGTTGAGGGAAGGAGCAGCCTCGGAAGGGGCAGAAGAGGAGGAGGTAGATTCGAGAATAGGCAAAGCAGAAGGAGTAGGTATCGCCCACACCCTCGCGCTACTCGTCTTCTTCCTCCCCATGCCGTACGCCCTTCCAAACTCATCCACAGTCTTCTTCTTTCTGCTCTCCTTCTCTTCACCGCTCTTTACTTCTTCCGATAATCGCTCATATCGTGCGAGCTCCTTGTCAATTTTGCCCGCGAGGTCGGGATAGCCAGAGAGATCAGAGATGTGTCGGAGATTGTGAAGCTCGGACAGGAGGTCCATGACTTGCCTCAAAGTGCTCGTCTTGAGCTTGGTCTGGAAGATGGACGAGAGTTCCTCCGGAGAGACCCAAGATGCTCTCGGGGGCGTGATGGTGGGCAGTCCATCTGGCAGAGGGTAAATGTGCGCTTTACGGAGGACCGAAGTGGTCTGCGTCACAGTGGAGGAAAGGGTGGCGAGGGCTTCGTGGAATTGGGGACGACCGGTGAAGAATTGTGGGGAATCGGGGCGAGGGCTCCGGCGAGGAGGGGCGTAGTCGCGGGAAGGAGGGGAGTATGGTTGAATGGTGGCGTAGGACCTGGAAGCAGTGGTCGCCACAGACCTCAGGGAGCGGAGAGAAGAGGTGGCAGGGAAGGCCATCACGTCGCTTTCGGGGTGGGTACAGGGGAAAACGACGCCAGATGAAAGAGAAGAATGGACTTTTCGACGTCGGCGGAGGGTGGCGCCTATTCAGCGGAATCAAATGAGATAGGCGTGCGTGAGATACAAGATTTGTTGCCGCATATCTGATCTGTTGTACTGTACTCGAGTATCTGATAAAGTGATAAATAAGGCCAGTGAGTTTGCGGCCTTTTGACAACATCCAACTGCACTCGTCAAGATGGAAGTGGATCATGCGGTACCCCCAGTGGAGCTCGCGATGGAGCACAAGCTGAGAGAAAAGCTTGAAATACATTACCTCGTACGTCACACCCGCCTGGATAGAGCTCGTGGCTGATGTCGTTCTGCAGGAGTTTGTGGATACTTCAGGCAATTGTGGAATGTCCTATGCCGTCACTATCGTCTCGCCCGGGTTTGCGAAAAAGATTACTTTGCAAAGACATAAACTTGGTGAGCCTTTCAAGTCGCGCAGGATGACGAAAGCTGATTCATCACTCGTCTTAGTCAACCAGATACTCAAGGATGAGATAGCCCAGCTCCATGCTTTCTCTCAGGTAAGGGTACAGGAAGGCACTCAAACCGCCAAGCTGACGAGTCACGCAGAAAACCTTCACGCCAGAGCAATGGGCAAAGGAACAGTCCAAATAAGCAGCCAGCAGACGACCCTAGACGGAAGACGGCGCGGGCATTGTGTCATCATCTCAGTTATCACCACCGTATAGATCTTCATCAACTATGTATCACTAGCATATGATCATGCAATACCTTCATGACGACAGACGAACGGCTCGGGACCAGAATAGTGGCACGCAGGGGCCCTGGACTGGTGGAGGAACGAGGAGATCTGAGAGAGCGACGCTGCTGTTCAGCTCGGTACACGACTCGGGCTCTGCTATTCTGTTTGTTTCATCCATCCCGGCCTCTAACTTGCCAAGACTGCGGTGACAGCGTGACGAACCGAGCAACTGTGTATGTATGGCTGAAATCCGAATGTTCGGTAAAAGACGCTGTGCGGCCCCGGCCCACGTCCGCTTCGCTTCACGACGGACGGACGGGATCATATTTGTTGTGAGCCTCTGGAAGGATATCTTGCACTTTTTCCTGCATCATCTCCATCCTGTCACCATCAGAAGAGCGAGCAATGGGCACCCATCCCCCGCTGCTATAATCGTCCGCCCAGTAAGACAGTAACAAATCCCCTCCCTCGCCACCGGCCTCGTTCTGGCTGCCGACCAACTCCGCCCCCTTTCGGCCGTCCACTCATATCTCTCCCATTGGCTTCCTTCCGCAGCATATCTTTCCAATAATACGCTCCACCGCCGCCGCCTATCCAAGAACACTGAGGTGCGGATAGAGGATGGTCCTGATCAACGAGAAGAAGTACGCCTGCGAACGGTGTATCAAGGGCCACCGCGTATCCTCATGCACCCACACCGATCGCGCTCTGTTCGAGATCAAGAAGAAGGGAAGGCCTGGGACGCAGTGCAAGCATTGTAAAGAGAAGAGAAAAAGTGTAGGGAGCAGTGTGCATACGAAGGTGAGCATGTCTCCTGGAAATGAGCAAGTGGCCCCTCTATGAGCGATTGCCGGCATGCTGGGTGTCTGCCAATGGGCGGCGGAGAGTGGATCATGGGCGCGAGTCTGGGGGCCATATAGCTAGGACGTCTCTTGGCACTTGTATGCGCTTCTTGGCCCCGCTGGTCTTTCCGATCTATTGTGCCTGTATAGATCTCGGTCAGGTCGAATCGAAGGCTGACATTATTGCCCGTAGTGCAAATGTGGCTCGTCCAATCCCCTGGCTTGCGAAGATACTTCAGCAGAGGGATCCACAGCTCCCGCCGCTGAACCCGAGGTTGAGACTCGAAAAGGCCAACCAGGCTCACGGCCTGCTTTCCCGAGAGGGCTGAAGGACGTGCATGAATTGTCAGCCGCGGCAAACGCCTTGCAGGGATTGGGAGAAGACGATGCGGTGGTGAAGAGTGCCGAACGGACGGGTAAGTCTCAGGATCCTACCTTGATAGGCCAAACTGACAAAATGCACAGTGCAAGCACTGTTGAACCCCTGTAGATGCGACTACGGCGGCCCCTGTTCGTGTTGCGAGCCCAAGCGTCGTAGCAGAAAGCAATCTCCACCCTCGACTGGTACTGGCACCCTCATCGCCAGCACTGCTCCCAGCCCAATCGACACCATAATCGCCTCTTACCCCACCGAGGCCTACTCGAAGCTCTCCCCTACCTCCTACCTCAACCCCGACAACCCACAACGTGCCTCGAATAAGACCCGGCTCTATTCACCTTATACCACCGACCCCAGGGGACGGCGCGACAGCCCTTCCAATTCCGTGGGCTCGACGTCCTCGCCTTCCGGCTGGAATAGTCCGAGATCGGTGAGGCCGCCTCCAACGAGGGTGAAGCCGTTGACGGACATCAAGAGGTTCTTGACAGCGGCGATGAACAAGGACGGGTCGCTGGCCTCGGAGATCCCACGGTCGGTCCTGGGGCTGCCGGGCATCCAGACGTTTGATGCCGCTGCCAAGGGTGAGCTCGTGACCGGGGGCGGCGGGGCGTGCTGTGGCGGAGGTGGCGGGGACGACCCATCGGAAGATGTTGATATGGCACTTGCCTTTCCCACCTTGGAGGACGTCGTCCTCGGTGCTTGTATGTGTGGTGAGGATTGTTCATGCCCCGGTTGTGCCACGCACGATACCACCAATACCTCCAACGGTGAAACTGGTCATGACGGACCTTGTGGCGAGCCATGCCAGGGCCATCACAACTGCTCATCGTCTATCCCCATCCCGTCAGGTGTCCAGTCCATCGCGCAGCTCGTCGTCCTTGCCGCCGCTCAGGTACCCAAACCTCCCTCTCGTCCCGTCGGGTCTTTCATCGACCCACTTGACACTAGAGTCCTTCCCCCTGCTGCGTTTTCGAGCGACGAAGCGGCAAGAAAGCTGGGCTTGGTCCCTTTGAGGCCACTCGAGTGTTGCGGAGGCAAGTGTCAGTGCCCGCCGGGACAGTGTACGTGTCAAAAACAATGCTGTGGGTGCTGCGGAGAGTGCTCATGTGACAAGGATGAAGATACGCACATGGGCGGAGACCAAGAGGCGGAGGTCACTGAGGGGCAAGGTGCCTGCTGTGGGGCAGGAAAGGGAACGACTGCAGAGCTGATTCCCAAGGAAGTGCCGGAACCGTTGGCGCCCACCTCGTCGACGAAAGCTGCCATCGCCAACATAACCTACCACCCAACTATGCGACATGCCATGATGCAGTCTGCTCAAATTCAGGCCTCGGCTCAAAGATCTATCGACCCTTATCCTCCCAGCCCCGTCACTGCTTCGGCGCCACGACCAGCTCAAAGCGGTTGCTGCAGCTCCAAGGCTCAATTACCGAAACCTCCTGCTCTGCCGAAAAGAGCGTCTGATTCTGGCATTCTGTCACATACGGCTAGTCCACGAGCTTCGTCGGGTCTGGGTCGATCTGGTAGTCTATCATCGGGCAACAGGAGGGAGACGGGACAGAGGAAGATTGCTCCTTTGCCTGTTGCGCAGACACTTGAAGCGCGTCCTAACAAGCAGCGAGCAATGCAACCAGCTCAACCCAAGCTTTACGCTGGCACAGCTGCCAACCCGTCGACAGCGGCTGTCCCAGCCATTCCAGCCAACATTGAGAAAGAGAATCAAGCGCTGCTCGAGTTCATTGAAAAGCAATGGCAGTCTGCCCCTGAGGACGAGTTTACCCTCACTTCTGGTCTCGATGGCTCAGGTGCCATTCAAAAGGAAGGGATGGCCATGCCAATCTCTTTTTCAGCTGAACCCTGGGCGTACCCACCGCAGAAGGAAGACGATGAAAATCAGCACGGCCAGGCTACCCAATTGCTGGAAGCGGGTGCGGATCAGATGGATCTAGATGCGTTTCTGAGGAGCATCGGGGCGCAGTATGCTGGGCAATCTGAAGTCGGCACAGCACCCGTTGCCCAAGCCCAGATCCCCTCACAGGCCCGATCAGATGTACCGAGCATCGAGCAATACGGGTTTGGGTCGCCAGACTTCTTCTTCACGCCTGGCCAGACATATCCTCAACCTCCAGGAAATGTGACTGAAGAGTCGTATCCTCAATCAAGCCAGATGCAGCATCATACAATGATGCCTGCTATCGCCCCTCCCAAGGTTTCTGATGGTGAACGTCCAGAGGCGCAAAGCCGTGCGACAGCGCCCCCGTACACGTATCTGTGGAATACCTTCATGGGGCAGATGCCGCTTGAAACTGAAGGTTCTGGTCAGGGACTGGAAGCAGCGCAGATGCAACAGTACAAAGGCAAAGAGAAGGCGCTGAGCGTGGGAGTATCGAATGGGGATGGGCAAGGGGGTAGAGACATGGTTGATCTCTCAAAGCCAATAGATGCGGCGGTCTACCAGAGGATTCTGCAGGCTCTCGAGAAGCAGCAGTTACAGCCGAGCTTGTCTACCCCGAATGCTCCTCATCATGGCGGATCTCGCGCCCAACCTCCACCCCAGCTTGCTCGAAGACCGGCTTCCCGCCCGTCCTTCTCCGCCCGCCCTCGATCTGCGCCCAAACCGTTCTACCAGTCATCTGCTTCTCCTCAGCAAACCTTCCCACCTGCCCACTCTCCGTCTCTCAATTCACCGTATGCTACGGATGCGGTTGCGAAAGAGCTCGATGACATGTTTAGTCAATTCGTCACGCTAGACGGGGTGGTGAATACCGGTCAAGAAGGCGGAAGTGGGCATCTGGAGGGCTTGGGGGGCTCGGCGGGTTTGGGCATGGGTATGATAGGCGGGGGATTGGACTTTGTTGAAGACAATGAGATGGGTTTTTCTCAGCCTTCGAGACTGCCTGATTGGTCTGGGCCTGGTGACAGTGCCGGTAGTACGGGGCCGAAGGAGAGTCCGGAAAATATTAGACGAGGGTGGGAAATGATGGGCTTTGGTGGGAATGGCAACATAGGGTGGGATAAGGCGCGAGTATGGGGAAATTAGGTACTCTTAAGGACATTGAATATTCAATATTCTGTAGCGGATTGTAAGGATCTGGGGAGCTCGAAAAGTGTGTTGTAGCTCTGTTTCAAGTCTGAATTCAGAAGGGCCGTGTTTTTAACAGTATTCGAGGGTTTTATTCTATGTAGCATACTTTTTTTCTGCAAATGACTGATCTAGGGAGAGTTCAGAATACGCTGCTGACCATACAAAGCGACGAGGATCAGGGCGCCGTTGATGATCCGGGAGTTGCCCGACGCGACTCCGTATGTCTTCTTGGCTTCACTTGCATCTCCATCATAAGCCGATCAACGAGCTAACGAGTGTAGTCTTACGAGACTTTCTTTTCGATGCTGTCTTGGAGCTCTCCTGCTCTCCTGCTTTCCACTTCAAGAACCACGGTTCTTTGCTGCCATCATCCCCCTCCTTTCTTCTCTTATTAGAACCCCCTTCTCCTCCTCGAACGTGCTTGGCGTGAGAGCCTTTCGAGACAGGGTGGACGTCATAAGGCTCACTCAGGGATTCGCGAGATGTCGTGGAAGAGAGAGCGTGCTTAGACCAAGAGAATCCAAAGTCGAGTTTTGAAGCTGGCTGCCTTTGGGCTTCAGAGGCGGTCTGTGCGTTGTGTCGAAGAGGCTCCCTTTCATGCAGTCTGCCTTTCTTTCCGCCTTCTTGATTCCAATCCTCAACTTCCACACACTCTGGTTTAACCTGAATTTCTGCAGCACCCCTCGTCAGGTCATCAGAAAGATCCAGAGAGTCGTGATTTGGATTAGGGTTCAGGTAGGCGAACATCCCCCGGGGCTTCAAGGAGAGGTAGCCGGGTGGTAAGCGAGGGTAAGAGTCTTCGGCAGGGGTCTTGTTTTTCCTTCGGGTGCGGTTCCTGAAAAACATTCAGCATCTGATCCACAGACTGCCTGTATAGAATGCTGGCTTACAGAGACGAGGAGACATAGTTGACACCAGGCATGACGCGCGGACAATGCGTCTACAACGTTGAGTCTTCTTTACTGATGCGAACGTAGGCCATACCGACGATTCAAAGCTGAGGTGGAATGCTGTGGCCTGTGGCTGGATGCTGGGGGGTGTTTCTCTATCTGTGCAAGATGCCGGTGTATGCAAGCTCGACTGTGGAAAAGAAACACAAACAAATAGCTTACACTCTTCTCTTCGTTGCCAATAAGTGGCGGCGCTGACCGCATCATTACGTAACCCCAGATGAGCCCTTCTCTTGCAACAAGCTGGCAACGACGGAACAAGCCCCTTATTTCTCCAATCTTCAAGTGTCCTGCTTTCACCATGTCCGCCCTTCTCTCAGGGTATGCCTCTTCTGACGAAGAAGACATCAACACCGCCTCATCCGCCCCCCTTGTGGCAACAGGAGCTTCCTCGAGGACCGCGGCTCTTCCACCCCAATCAGCAGCCGACATCGACGACGAAGAAGATGACGAGGTACTGCAAAAACAGGCTCGGAGCGATGCTTTTGGCCTGAGCGGACAAAAGGCTGCCGAGCATGCCAGGAGAGAGGAGAAGACGGTTGTGAAAGCCGCGCCAGATGTGCTGAAAGAGGTACGCACATATCCTATGGCTGCTTGCAAGGAAGCCCTTGAAGTACCGGCCTGCTGACATCCTGTAGGATTCCAATGGAGCTGGAAGTGCCATCATCACGAGACCGACGGACAAAGTCATGAACGTCAATCTGACATACGAAGATATGTCGCGTCCTGTCGCTGGACCCGAAAACCCTTTCGAGTCCAGAAAGAACAAGGGCATGAATACCCTGTCAGGTGAGCATACCAAGAAGCTTCGTATTGATAGAACTAATCATTTACAGGTCATGTTGAGGAGCAGTCCATGGACAACTACTCATTCTTGATGGCTCAGCGTACTTTCGACGTCCACGGCTACGCCCTCAATCCTTCTCTCACCCCCGGATCGACCCCCATAGTAGGCTCCTTGAACAACGCTCACCAAAATGGTTACGCTTCTATCGAGAATATGAAGCCCACCCGTAATGAGCAGAAGACGACCAAGCGAAAGAGAGGAAAGAAGGGTGATGCGGGCGTGGTAGAGGGCGAAGGAGCCTATTTGGGACCTTGGGCGGATTGGCAGACGGAAAAGCCAGAGGAAATAGAGGTGGAGGACGAAAGCGAGAACGAGGAATGGAGAGCAGAGAAGAAAAGGAGGGAGGAGGCTACCGCCAAGGCAAAGGAGAAGATGCAGGTGGCGATGGAAGAGAAGAGTATCTTCCATGGTAAGTGCTCTATGAGGCAGATTTTGGACTATACCAACCATTGTCTATAGGGAAGGAGCTGCACGACTACGCTGGAAGAACGTACATGCACATCCCTACGGATGTCGATGTCAAACTCAACCCCTCAGATGGCGCTCCTCCGCCAAACGCCTATGTCCCCGAACGGTGCATACACACCTGGGTACGTGCATCGACCATTGTGAGAATACCTAGCTCACGCATCGCAGACTGGTCACAACAAGGGTGTCTCCGCCATCCGTCTATTCCCCAAATCCGGCCACATGCTGCTCTCATCCAGTATGGACACTAAAGTCAAGCTTTGGGATATCTACCACGAAGGCAATTGTCTTCGTACCTTCCTCGGACACTCTCAGGCTGTCAAAGACATTGCTTTCAACAATTCTGGCGACAAGTTCTTGTCGGCGAGTTACGACAAGCAAGTCAAGCTTTGGGATACCGAAACGGGCAAGTGTATCCAGGCGTTCTCAAATGGAAAGATACCGAATGTGGTCAAGTTCCATCCGGATGGGGACAAACAAAACATATTCATGGCTGGTATGCAAGACAAGAAGATCATTCAAGTGAGTCTTGTTTCTTTTCCCTTCAACTTGAAAGCTAATAGACCACCAGTACGATCTCCGAGAGCGTGAAATTGTTCAGACATACGATCAACATCTGGGTCCTGTCAACACAATCACCTTTGTGGACGAAAACCGGCGATTTGTCACCACCTCTGATGATAAGACGATCCGAGGATGGGACTACGATATCCCTGTCGTGATCAAGTACATCGCTGAGCCTTACATGCACTCGATGCCCGCTGTGACTCTGCACCCGAGCCGTGAGTCCCGACTTTACTTCTTCATACTGACATGCGCTGATGGATTGCAGACAAATACTTTGCTGCCCAGTCTCTGGACAACCAGATTCTCGTCTACTCGGCCGACGGTGCTTTCCGTCAAAACCGCAAGAAGCGCTTCGCCGGTCACACGGTCGCGGGTTACGCCTGTAACATCGGTTTCTCTCCCGATGGCAAATTTATCTCGTCCGGTACGGGTAGTGGAGAGCTTGTCTGCTGGGATTGGAAGAGCGGCAAGATCACGAAGAGATTGAAGGCGCACAAACAAGTCGTCATCGACCATGTGTGGTTACCTAATGAACATGTAAGTCTTGAGTCTGTCGAGGTGAACAAAGAGCAGTGTTGACGAGCTGTTACAGTCCAAGGTTATCACTGCATCTTGGGACGGTCTTATCAAGTTATGGACCTAGTCGTCTCTGGAGGCGTATATGAAAATGGCGGCACCCGTATCTAGCCATAGCAAGGGCATGTAACATCTCACTATCAACAATACAGACATACATACTTGATCGATCGAGTATGAACAATTTTACAAAGCTTTTAGCTTCAGCCATTCATTTTGACATTCCATATTCACTTTCCAGCCGTATAGCTGCTGGCGGCCCTCCTCCCTTTTCCATTCTCGGAGTACGAGTTCCGTTGTCCATGTCCATGTCCGTGTCCATACGACCCTCCACCCTTACCATACTGCCCCTGGCCATGATACTTTCCACCGCCAACGCCACCGAATGACACTGTCTTCCTATGGCCAGACCCGGGCTTGACCACAACGGTTGTATGGTTATAAGAAGGCTGGCGGTCTTGGTACGCCACAGTCTCTTGTATGACTGGCTGATTGATCGGGACGGGTCGGGTGGCAGGATAGACCGGGGCGATCGGCGCAACAGATGCGACTGGAGCAACAGGGGCGATTGGAGCAAAGGGAGGTATTACTGGGTAAGCTGGGTAGACGTTGTTGTAATACCATTGGGGGCGGTAGAGCCATGGGTTTACGACTGCATCGCAGGTCAGATACACATACAAAGTCATCAGTATGAGTGCTCACGCATGGTGTAGAGTTGTTCTGAGTTGATATACTTGTACTTAGAAGCTCTTTGTATGAAATCATCAAGTTGTTTAGGGCGGTCAGTAGAAATTGTCCAATGCAAGGCGATTATATAGATCTCACAGGGTGCACCGTTTGACTTGTCGGTAGGAAAAACAGACATAGGCCGAGCCCATACATTGTGAGACGTCCGAGCCTGCCTCTTCCCTTGTATCAAGGATCGAAAGAGTGCTCAGAGACAAAAGCAAGCAGGGGTCGCTGCTAGCACCGAAACATGCAAGAGTCATGATTGAAAGGAGGGTCATGCGAGCCGATGAGTCATGAGGCGCAGGCATCTTAATTTTGTTGTTGTGGTGGTCTAAGGAGGCGAAGATTCAGCGTCTCCTTTCGGCTACCCTGTACATAGCTAGACAGAAGCATGGTGAACCGACATTGGGAAGCTTGTGGCCAAAACATATAGCTTGAATTGTCAGGATTGCTCTTCGAAAGAAGTACCATGGTTGACAAGGAGATAGGGATTTGCTTCGTGGGACGAGGAAGCTGATCAGGCGTATTCAGAAGCTATGAAGCATCCGTCTGTGAACTCATTTGTACATGTGTCCTTGCATGGTGAAAATGTCTCAGCTGTTGTAAACGATCTGAGGCCAGAGTCAGCAAATGACACTTCTGCAAGACTCAATATGCCCACTCACGTAGTCTATTCTCTGAGCCACGCCTGGTTTCTCTGTTTCTTCTCGGCCGCCTTCTTTCTGTAACGATCCTAGATACTCATCAGCGGGCGCATGTCGCAGTCACTGGCACTACCCACCATATCTTTCCTCGTAGTCGTCGTTTTCCTACCCCCGTTGGCTTCTTCACGTGCTTTCCTCTCGCTTTCCTCAGCCTTCTGTCTTTCCCATGCCTCCACATCGAAGTAGTGACTGTTCATCCGTTTCGCCCTATTGTACTCATCCAAATGCCCAACAGTGTACTGATAGTCCAGTGGCGTGAAGCGGCCTGTACGGGCGTTGAATGTGGCCTGTTGTACCAAGTGGGCATCAGCCCCGCCCGGTGCACCGGAATTGCCACGCTGAGAGGGAGGAAGGAGGAGGGCGAGAGCGGGGTCGATTTCTGGCAGCTGCCCGAATTGATTATGCGGGTCGACGTCGGGAGCGGCAGACACTGGGGCAGATTCTGTCGGGGCAGGACCAGCAGGTAGAGGGGGGGGTTCATTGGGAAGAGGTGGCTGAGAAGCATCTTGTGGGAGAGGCGGAGGGGCAAGTGGGTTTGTCCAAGTCACTTCGCCAGAGTTCGAGTTCCAAAAGTAGTACGCTTGAGGATACTCGTCAGCCGTCTGCCATGTACAGAGAGGAGAGACGGCATACCATTCTGCTCTGGAGCCCAAACAGCTTGCCACCCCTTAGTATCTCCCCCTTCCGCCTGATCCTCCCCAGCTGATGGCTCATCCTGCGCCTTCTCCTCGCCCTTACCCTTCTTGCCCGTCTCTCCGGGCAAACGCTCCTCTGAAGGATCCCATTCCTCCGTTTCTTCTTCGTCACCAGCCTTTGGAGTGTCCTTGGCTTCATCTTCTACCGGCATCGTATCAGGAGAATTATCCTGCACACCCTCCGTCTCCACATGTGCCTCTTCCCCGGCTTCTTCGGCGACTGTCACTGTTGTCATCTTTTTGGCCCTCTTGGCTGGGGGCTCCTCGACCGCTTCGGGTTCGGGTGATGGTGATTTCGGCGCTGCTTCGGCGGCGGCAGCTTTGCGTGTTCTTCGAGGGGGCATTTTGAGATGGTTTGGTGTATTAGTGAGAGTGATACAAACAAAGTGAGAGATACATAGACATGACGAAAGAAACGGAATCAAATCGCTGCATGCAAGCAAATGGGTCTCAACTGCATACTACTCCCCCGCTTTCCCCTTTCCTGTTGTGGTCGATTATATCAGTTGGTTTAGATTGTGGACCTAATAATTCAAACGAGTCATTAGTCCAAGGTCGGCAGTTCGATCCTGTCATCGATCATTCCTTTTTTGCCTCCTTTTTGACAGCACCAAATGGCATGACAAGAGCGAAGCCATGGCGCATTGGCGTTTCGATCACATCACGGCGACGACTGGACGGAAACGTTTTTATCCCCCGCCGTGAAAATGACTGTCGGCGAACCGGAGCGAGACGGCGGCGATGACCTGCGATTAGTCAAGTCAGCAAAAGCCTCCCAAGAACGTCGACGTCGTCTTCGGGAGTTATTACGCGATGAGAGAAACGGCTAATAATAGTTTCGAACTTTAAATCATTGGAAGGAATACATAGGCCGAAGAGGCCGCCCTCATTGTCCGCACCAGCCATCCCTAGCCCGGCCATACCGACTTTGTCCAGACAGTCCAATCAAATGATGTAGGCAATGGGGCAGCTTTTCCATGATAATCCTCTTTCGAGCATAGCGGCTCTATGCATGGAACTTGCACATCATGGCTCTCCAAGCCGACTTGCATTGAGCGCTTAGTGGCGTGGCGGAGGGGTGAGGTGGAAGCCATGCATGCTGAAAAGGGGCAACCGCGGAGGCCGCGGGCAAACGGCGAGGCGGTGTGCCTCTTGTGTTATTATAAAGCAAACAAAGACATGTCCTTCTTGTGTTATAAAGCAAGGACATGCTCTGACAAATCCAAGCAGCCGTTGTGGATCTCTCCCCTCTCCTTTCATCTCTCTACATATTATATCTTCCGCACGCCGCCCACCGGAAGCCAAATTCGTCCACGAATCCGCCGGCCAGCACCAAACAACATGAGGGTGGCAAAAAACACGCATGTGTTGCCTGTCACGACTTTTCTAGTCTCGACGCTACTTTTCTCGGCCGTTCTTCCTGTCCTCGCCGCTCCCGACAACGCTGCCAGACCGGCATTGCAAGTCAGGCATGAAGGCGAAGGCGGCGATGTACCCATGGACATGGGGCATGCCGAGGACGCCGTTGAGTCGACGCCGACTCGACAAATTCCGACTCCCGTGGCCTCTACGCTTGGTTCGGCCACTAGCGCTGTCCATTCAGCCGCGGCTTCCTCATCCCATGCCGCTGCTGGGCATTCTCATGGGGCGTCTCACGATCCTCCTTCAGCTCCCCATTCGCACGGGGGCAACCAAGAGGCCCTGACGGTGCTCAACGACACCGACATCCATCGACGGCACAA